AAGGGAAACTGCTCTAGGTGTTGTACTAATTGTCGCTCTGCGCGCTTATTAAGCTTTAGAGGTCTCCCTATGCAACAGGCCTTTTTCTAGGGCTTATCTTTACATTTTTGCAACCGCTTAAGTATTAACTTAATTAACAGGATTAGAATAGGAAAAGTCTTCTGTATCTTTAAGGGGCTAAAACTAATACAAGAGAGCGCCTAGATGCTAGCAAGGGTAGGCTTATTGTATTCACAGCGAGCAGTTTTGGGTTGGGAAGGCATGGTGGTAGTGTGGAGAAGGAGGAGAACGAGTGGTGCGGAAAATTTTGAGGTGTGTGGGTTGACCCGATATAGTAAGTTAAGCGAGAGGATGATGACTTCTTGGCACCTATTGTACAAGAGCTCCGACAGTGCAGCCTGCTGCGATTGATGGCACGGAGCCAGTGCGAACGTATCCTGTAATGCCTCCCCCAGCAGTCAAAGCGCCGAGAAAGATGGCGATGGTGTCGAGAGATGCCTTAGATGTTAAAGTTAGGTTCTAATTCTGCATCTTGATATCTAGCACGGAACATGGTATGTAATTCTTTTGCTTACCATTGTTGTTATTTCGATCTCAATATTGAAGTGAAAGTGAAGTCCATGTGGTTCAGCAAAACGCGGGGAGCTCCAAGCATTCATTCCATCATCGCTCTCCGCAAACCCCGAGCTCCGAGCCCGCACATCCCTGTCAGGAACATTGCAAACGTAATCCACCTCTTGGCATAAATCTACGCACAGACCATATCGAATCCAACTGCTTTCTGGCCTCAATTCAAGCTCCGAACCACGACCTCAATTCCCAGAGATACTTCTCCCGACCCTCTCACCAACCGAATCCGCCTCTAAGCAGACCAGTCATAAAGTCACAATGCCTCCGAAAAGCCGCCATACTCAAACCTCCCCCCCTTCCTCCTCGACACCAGCAAGGCCCGCCCCTTCGTCATCGTCATCGTCGAAAGCAAGCAGCTCGTCGGCACTCGATGCCCAAGACATCGTCCTTAGCGTCTGGAACAAATATCTCGAGAAAACGCCACAGCGAGTAAAGTTGTTGGACAGCTTTATGGGGTTTCTGGCTGTAGTCGGGGTCCTGCAATTCGTGTACTGCTGTTTGGTTGGAAACTTTGTACGCCTCCCGGAGTGTCAATTCCCACACTACACTAAACATATATAAGTAATGTTAAACTAATTGATGTGACCTCTAGCCATTCAACGCGTTCCTCTCCGGCTTCAGTGCCACCGTTGGTCAATTCGTGCTCACAGCATCTCTCCGTATTCAAACCAATCCCGAAAACAAGGCTGAATTCGAGAGTATTTCCACCGAGCGTGCATTTGCGGATTTTGTTTTCGGAAGCCTGCTTCTGCATTTCTTCTGCGTTAATTTCATAAATTAAACATGGCTGGGCGGGGCAATGAGAATGGCTTGTGCTGGTGAGATGAGGTGAAGAGGCTAGGGGAGATTCCTAAGACGGACAGGGCTTTATCCCGAAAGTAGAACAGGATGCTTGGATGCTTGGAAGAACCAGTGGCTATTCGGTGGGCGTACAGGTTGATGGATTTTGAAATGGCCTTCATGTGTACTACTCGGACTAGGGATTCTAAATATCAAAACGCGTTGAAGGGTTTCATGCCACATGCCGGCATGGCCATGTAATGGCAGATTGAGTAAATGAGTGAGAAATAAATGCCCCCCCCCCAATGATGTTGTTGTAAGGCAAAGTAAACGCAGCAGATAGCGCCTCAGCACTAAAGATCTCTTTGAAACCCCTTCCCTTGCCATCATCCGCATACACCCTTCCCCATTCCTTCCTCAGGCTTTTCCGTTCCCATTCCTCTCTCTTTTCACCAACCCAAACTCAGCCCTCAGCGCTAACCCCAATCTCCTAATCGCTTCCTCAATCTTCTCAGTAGGTGTAGCAGCATACGTCGCTCTAAAGAACAGCGTATCGTGTTTCTCGTCCGCATTCGCATAGAACCAAGAACCGCGCATCACTAGCGCGCCATGCTCGATGACGGTCATGAAGATCTCTTCTTCGATGGTTTCGATGGACTTCACTGGGTAGTCTGGGTGGGATTTGAAGTCGATTTGGAGCCAGTGCTGGAAGAGGGGTTAGATGTGAGTGTGAGATTTGATGTTTGCGCCAGTGTTTAAGTTAAAGGCCGGTGATGTGATGAGGATGTAGAAAGCAGGATTTGTGGGATGAAAAGGATATAGAATGATATTTGGGGAGGGATATGCTGGAAAGAAAGCCCACTGACAAACATTCCCGCCATTGGTGGCTTCCAGCTTACTACCTCTTTTGGCAGATATCTCTCGCAAGCCTTTAGCATGACGTTACGCCTTCTTGTGTATTCCATGCGGATATAAATCAACCAGTCTAGATACCCCGCATGCCCCCAATGCTCGTCTAACAATTTCCACACAACGAGCTGTGACATTCCAGCCGGACCTTGCGTTGAAACGTCTGCATGCTTCTTGTACATTTCGACGACCTGCTCAGATGCTGTGATCCAGCCAATTCGTGAGCCAGGTGATAAGACTTTAGAGAAAGAGTCAAGACGCATGACACGGCCGTCGATGTCCACGGATAGAAGACTTGGGACAAGGCTTTTGAGGAATTCAGCGTGCGAGGAAGGTGGGGGTACGTCGGGGACATTGGGGCCGGTGTAGGGTTGCATTTGCAGGAAGTAATAGGGCTCGTCCTCAAGAATATAGATGTCGTGTTTCTGGCATACGAGGTATATTTTTTGTCGCCGCCCAGCACCTTGGGTTGCTCCAGTGGGATTCTGTCCGGATGGAACGGTGTAAAGTAGATGTGGCTTTGGTGCTCTACGTGCTTTTTCATCCCAGGCCGAAAGGATGTAATCCAGAGCATCTGGTAGGAGACCTTCCGAATCCATAGGGATACCGACAACGCGGACGCCCATTGGTAAGGCTGTCTCGACGGCAGTGGCGAAGGTGTATTCTTCGGAAAGCATCATGTCTCCTGGCTGAGTAAAAATACGTAGGGCCATATCGAGAGAAGAAGTGCTGCCGATGGACATCGTGCATCTCCAGTCAGAATAGGGGGGGTCATGAACGAGTTCGGTATGCTCTGTGATCCAGCGCAAAAGCTGTGCAGATCCGGTACCTTGGCCATAGTTGAAAGCCGTGGAAATGTCGAAAATAGATTTATCTTGAGGGAGATCGTGTTTTCCGGCAGTGATGATGACTCCTGACTCCTTCGTCTCGGATTCAGAAAAGTGGCCAACCGTAGGTACTTTGAGACTCAACTCTTCAAATGGGAAATATTCACTTGACGGAAGTCCACCACCCAAAGAAATCAGCCCTGGCTTGCCCAGGTATTTAGCAGCCTTTTTGAGAGAATTTCCCTTACGAATCGACGCTTCGTGGCTGATGTGATCTATGAGAGGCTTGCATTAGCACTCATGCACACTGCATCCATCTGCTACCTCCCCCACCTTTGCAGAGAGGACTCACGATCCCACCTTTTGGCCCTCGGTTTATGGTCCTGAGAGCCATGTCTAAAATTGACACTGTCTGCAGGAGCAGCTACGCCCCATTGCGCTTTCTCCGTCTTTCTCCTCCTCCCATAAATTTCGTTGCTTTTGATGGGAGTAGACAGCGGATCCGGGATCGCCACACCTGATGTGTCGGTGACGGCTTCGGTGTCCATTGCTGAGTGAGGCGACATGATGCTTAGCTGTGGACAAAGATGAGAAGGGTGCGTGTAACAAGGAGAGAGCGGGGAAGGCAGGAAACTTGAATGCCCTTTTATGTTGCCTCTGACTTATCGCACGCCCTTGGGCAATCAAACGGGAAGAGTGGTTGAGAATGGTTTGGACCTGCAGGAGGCGTAGTTTTGTTCTTGCCCGAATAGGCGCGGCTATCGACGGATCTGGTAACAACGTGACCAGAAACCATGCCCCGAAGCCGAGTCACGACGTGAGCCAAGGGATCACCGGCCAGGGCTCAACTTCAACCACGCCCTCCGATACTAGGCCGGGTTGCTGTGACAAGCGGCTTGCGTTTGTGATGTTTCTTCAATTGCTGTCAGTAACAATCCACTCTTAACACCTAAGAAGAAGCTGCTCACTGTTCATGAATAATTGGGTGCATGACCAGCCGGTCGCACTACAGCCACCTCAACACACGTAAGAAAATGCTTCATGATTGGCCCACGCCAATTTCAGACAGTCATCAGAAACTCAACGAAAGCCGTGAACAACCGCAGAGAAGAACACTTCGATCCAACATTAATCCTCATTCATCGTTCGCTCCAGCAAACACTATTACTTCTGGTCTGGTATTCTGAAAGAGTTCCATCCTTTTCAGCAAACATTTTGAAAAGAAGGTGGTGAAAAAAAAAACCCAAGATTTTGGTTACCAGAAAATGCAATGAAAAATGCGTGCAACATGCCGAAAATCCCAATGCTTGCTTGCCTGCCCCCCGGTGAAATGCCGTCAAGACTCCATTTGAGTCAAAGGTGAGTAGGAATATGCATCGAGTATTAAAAGAGAGCGAGGACAACCGAGGGATATGAGAAGGGAAGAAAAGTTGATGTAACGTAAACCCAAAAATGCAATGCGGTGATTGAGCAGGCTGGCTCACATGACCACACAATTCTCGTCCTTCCCTCCTTTTTTGAGCTTATTTTTGTCGTTCGTTGGAACACCTGTCTGGCCTGATGCCGCTGCTTGGATAATTGCTAGGCGTTGCTTTGCTCTCTCGTCTCCATGGTCGGCGGCCTTGACGTACCAGACATTTGCTTCAAGAGCATCGCGTCGACAGCCGATGCCCATTTCGGTGAAGTATCCGACAGCGTACTCTGCTTTTGGAAGGCCTGTGATGTTTAGCAGACAATAAATGTCAAGTAAATTATTGTTGTCAACTCACCATGCTCAGCAGCCTTCTTAGCCCACTCGTACGCCTCGTTCTCATCCTTTTCCAGAACAGGCTCAGCGCCCACCATGTACCACGCACACAGGTTCATCATCGCTTCGGGAATATTGGCCTGGGCGGCGCAATTGTAATAATGAACGGAAAGAGCGGCATCCTTTGGACAGCACAAATGCCCATGCTCGTAGGCCTCGCCCAGCTTCAACGCGGCTTGCGGATGTCCCAGTTCCGCGGCCTGGGTGAAGAGTTGCACAGCGTAGATTTCGTCCTTGAACACGTCTTCGCCGTACCCCGTTTCGTGCAACAATCCTAGTTCATACGGCGCGCTGTTGTACTGAGAGTCTGCTGACTCAGTCGCTCGCTTGAGCCATTTGAGACCCTCCCTGTACCGGTTCGTCAACCCCATATCTCCCGTTAGGCAGGCTTTGCCTAATCGTGTCGCGGCCCCAGGGTGATTCTTTGATGCTGCAGCTCGGTAAAACTGTACTGCTTTGGCGTAGTCTTTGCGGCAGCCCCAGCCGAATTCGTAGCAGAGCGCTGCTCGATACCCGGCTTCTGCGTGGCCGTGTTTGCTGGCAGCCACAAAAAGAGGGAATGCTCGATCATAATCAGGCTTGTCTTTATTAAAGAGACCTGAGGCATAGCCATCAGCTAAATAATATTGCGCGAAAGGGTAACTCCGGTCGGCTAGCCGCTGGAGAATCTGTCGTGCCTCTCGGAGCATCTCCACTGGAGCAAGTCCGTGATTGTCGATCCCTGGGTCAGACGCCATAATTTCCCGGGCGACTTGAACCATGAACAACGCGAATTCGTACTGCACAGCCATGTCTTGGGTTTTCTTCACGTTTGCTCGATACATGTCAAGGGTTTTCTTTGTATCCAGAAGCGAGGCGTTTTGCCCGACAGCATGTCGGAGAAGCATGTTATTACCTAGCCCTGCCGAAGGCGCAATTTGCTGATTGTAGGGCAAATTCAGCAGATCCACGTATGAAGATGGCCTTGTTTCGGGAGACCGCCGATTTGAAGACAGCTGCCGACCGTAATTCGCCTGTGATCCATTGGATGAGGGAGAACCTCCGACGGAGAGGTGTGGGGAATGTGTACGACCGTGGGAGTTCAACTCGGAACCCAACGTGTACGCAGAGTTGGGTCTCGGGAGGGTAGTGCGGGGTACTTGCAGAGGTACTTGTACATCAGGCCCAAAGTTGAAAGCATTGCGCGGGTCACTGTTGTTACTTCTTGAAGAATGCTGCGATTCAGAACTAGGAGAATGCACATTTTCGCGAGGCAACAATGAAGGAGGCGGGGGTGTGGGTTGTTGGTGGTACTGGGCTGGTGGGTATGCCTGAGCCTGCTGCTCTCTTGAGCCGTAGTAGTACTGATCATCCTGCAGATTTTCGTTCGCCATCTCCAACTGCGCTGCTTGCGAATGACGTGGGTTATATGGGCCGGTATTGATGTTTAGCTGGTGCATAGGAATGTCCTTTGTCACCGCCACTGGGTGTGCAGAGTCCATGTCTCCTCCCTGATCGGCTGTCTCTCTTGATGGGCTCCTCGAATGCCCTATGGAACTAGGTGTGAGCGACGACCCCGACTGCCTCGAATCCCTTCCTCCTGCCACAGTATCCTCATGTCCTGCAATATTAAACGAGGGAGGGCCTTGCAGCACGATGGCGGGCTGCTGTGCGGCGCCAGGAACTGGCTTTCGGCGGAGTGAGTGCGTACGACTTTCTGGGCTAGAGTCGGGCTGCTCGGACGGCCTCGAGTTTGCGACATCTGGCGGGGGGGCTGGAGGGAGCGTCTTGCTTCGTACTGCTAGGGCAGCGTCATCGTAACCCATGGCCATGGGTTTGGACAGAATACTCCAGAGTGCTCTAGAAAACCCCTTTGCTGGATTGCAGCTCCACTTTGGTGTGGTCGCTGCTGGCGAGGAGTACGGGGGTTGGTGACTTGTGGTTTGCGGGAGCGGCCGCGAACGCAATTAAATTTACGAGGACAGGAGCTCGGCGGAGGGCGCGGAAGGACAGTGGTCGCATTCACTTTCTACTCATTAAGTTCTGTACTGCATTGCGGTGTGAAAGCTTCGTGGTGTCCTCTGCAGAGCTGTGGCATGGAAGGATGCGCCGAGCCTTGCTATTGACGATCTGACCAGGGAAGGGGACCACTTACAGGACGGGATGGGACGCTGGGAACGGCCCCAGAGCTGACCAATGTGCTGCTGGATCCTATGTAAATGGTATGAAATGGGCGCGGTATGGATTGGCTTCGGGCTGCACCTCCTCGACGCCAACGTAACAGCTGATGATGGCAGATGCAGTCCTTTTGACAAGTTGATCGGCCACCCCACACTTGCAAAGACACCTTCTTTTTTGTAAGTAGAAACAAAACTAACCTAGGAGGGTTCGGTCGTAGGCGGTGCAGAGTCCGGCTCTTTTGCTTAGGCAGCCGAGTATTGAACCCTTAACAAGAAGGACCCCTTTCAAGTCGGATCTGCCCGGCGTGGCGCCCGTGTGTTCTCTCCACGCCTGGGCACCGATGAGGCTCGCTGCGTAATACGGACAATAGTTCCAAAAAATTGGGAGCGCAACGGGCCAGAGCTGTACCAGTCAGTGAGGAGAAGGAGTCAAGCGGCTGAATTGAGATGTCACTTTTGTGGGAGCCGAACGCATTGATATTTGAGAGAGTGAATGGCCGCCGCAGACGGAGCGCCATTTGAGACAGATTCTTGCGACGTGGACGGATTAAGCAGTCGTGGCGCGACGACACACTTGGACGCACTCGTTTACTCGTCAGTCTTTTCACCGCCAGGCTGAAGGCAGATGCTGAAATGGGAGTGGGCTTGGCTTGGGTGCGAACAGAAATGCGGCTCACCCAAGCCACCCCTTCAACCACTCCCGAGCTCGAGGGCAAGAGCAATCTTGCCGAGCCTGGGACAATGTCGCGGTCGTAAACCTGCGACCAGATGTAATATTAGCCTTTATGAGACCCACTTTTTGCACTGAACTCTGGAGGTTTCAATTGCTACTTTCTGAGGGAAGATAGCTGGCAGAGATAGATTTGAGGTGTGCGTTACGACACAACCTGATACTGGAGCAGGCATCTCTGCTTTCGGTATGACGCTATTCCGCCCGGCGACAGGCAAGCTCCCAAGCCGTCGGGCACTCTGGAGACTAGCAATTCACTCAGATCTTGAGGCAGTGAATATCTTTCGTAAGAGTTACACAAGAGAGAATTTGAGATGCCGCGACCTCAGAAACAAGCGATGTTCAAATTCATGGCGCAGACAGCCAATAACATCAATGGACGAGCCCCGTGCTGGCCCTCAGGATCTCCGACACCAAATAGAGAGGACCTCACCGGTAGTGATGCTTATGTATGAATATTAATGACGGGCTACGCTGTCCGGATTTGCTCGAAGGATGTACTCTGCACCCATAGAGTAGTGGACAAAATCTGCGACAAACACCTGCTCGCCTCGTCAGAGATTTGGCGACATTGCCATGAGATGACGGACGCCCACAAATTAGAGCGCTCTCCTGTTTCAAGCGTCTGGGTAAAGAGATGCTGCGCGCAGTTGAAATGTTGATCGGGGACGTTGGGTGAAGTCTGTCACGGCCTGCACAAGATGTTAGCTGCAGGGAAGCGGGTCGTGTCCTTCAGCGGTACTCCAGTCTCCCGCAATGCAGGAGCAGCCTCGCGTCGCCGAACTTTGGATTGAACCACCTTTTGATCCTTGGCGGTCCTCAACGCACCTGCATCAGCCAGGCGAGCGTACACCTCCAGCGGAGAAGCCCATCTTGAGAGTTTCTTTGCCTTGCCCTCTCGCAGACCTGCCGAAAGCACGCAAAAGGAGCACTGCCAGCGAGGCGTACGCCACCCGTATTGGCTAGCCGTAACTGGGCCAACCAAGCCCTAAGCGGATCATCTATTTCTGAATGATCCTTCACGCACGCGGGGAGGCGATTCGTCCACTCCCGGCTCCGGCTCTCACTCGATCAGGGGCTTCGCTGCCGTTCACTCGCTCTGCCTGTCTTGTTTTGCTACCTGTCGCAACCTCAAACCAAGCCGCCTTGTGCCTGTTTTCCTGTCCCTCATTCCTTCCCGACCATTCATGCCTTGTGCCGTCACTCGCTTTTGCACCTTTGCACCTATCTCTAATCTGACCTAGTAATATACAAACATTATCACAAACATCGCCGGCAGCGCCAACTCGCACCCACTGCCTCGCTCGCCTCGACCCGACTTCGTGACACTCGCTGAGCAGAGCTGTATATTCTATTGCGCGAGCCGGTCGTAGACGTCGCTGCATCTTCAGGTCCACGGTGGCCTGTGCCGTCGAGCTCTCGACAGGTGAGCCGAGTGTCCGCACCTTCCTGGAATCAGTGTACTGATTGCATTCCTCAAAGCACCATGTCTCTGCCCCAACGGCCTGACGCCTCCTCCCCTAAGCGTGACCAGCGGCATGTTTTCCGCGACTCCCCTTCTCGTCGTCGACGGCCCTCCGACCTCGAGAATACCCGATCTAACGATCGGTCCCCAAATAAGGCAGGAACCCACCAGTCGTTTTCAAGACCTCTACCATCGCCGGGCACGCCTGTGCCAATGGAGAGGGAGCCCATAATGAGCGGGCAGCGAGGTGCACCTACGGCAGATCTGGGGAGGAAAAGGAGCTTAATCCGACCGGAGCGACAGCGTATAGACCCGAACCACCCGAACTACCACTACCGAAAACACGCACAGAACATGACCGTATTCCCGTCGACAACCGGCAATGACCCTATCATGGAAGATCATATGGAAGCCGAGACTGTCAGCTCGGAGAGCACTGAAGCAAAGGCTCCCCACCTTCGAAACGCATCTAACGGTCCCTACAATGACAAACAAGCACCACTAGACGATGACAGACCCCGGCCGCAGCGGAGGCTGACGCGGAGTAAGACGGTGGAGAAGCTGGAAAAACAACGCCAGAAGGAGAAGGACGCCTTGCGCCCCCCGAGCTTGTGGAACGTATACTGCGCCATCATCACTTTCTGGTGTCCTGATGCGATATTGCGTTGCTTTGGAAAACCGCAGAAGGCTCAGCAGCGCGCTTGGAGGGAGAAGATGGGCTTGCTGAGCATAATTGCTGTTATTTGCGCATTTGTTGGATACCTCACCTTCGGCTTCACGCAAACTGTCTGTGCCAATGGTGGTCCCGAACGTTTGAGGATCAACAAGGTCGATAAGGGATACTTGATTGCACATGGCCTAGCTTATGACCTCGCGGAATCTAATCATCCCCTTGCCCGTGGTATACCAGACGGTGCCAACGTTCTCTTCGACTTGCCCGAGAAGCACGGAGGCCAGGATGCAAGTTTTCTTTTCCAGAACGTAAATGGAGCCTGCAAAGGCTTGATTACACTCGCTTCAGGTTCCGATGTCCCTACAAACGCAAATAAAGATTTGGCCTGGTATTTCCCCTGCCAGCCCTTCAACCAAGATGGATCTTCGAAGCCGAACACTACATCTCCACCCTATCGCGGTTACGCTTGTCATACGGCTGGCAATGCGCGCAGCGCTTTTTACAGCCTTCGCAATTCTGGAGAAGTATATTTCACCTGGGATGACGTTAAGAACAACACTCGTAACCTCATAGTTTGGGGAGGAGATGTCTTGGATTTAAATCTTCTCGACTGGTTTAACAGGTCCCAGGTGGATTATCCTAATAGGTTCGATGAAATTCGGCAAAATACCAAACTGAAAGGGTTGGATGTTACCCGCGCATTTTCTTCAAACTATGACAAGCAGATTGCGAGGTGCTTTGCCGAGATCATCAAAGTCGGCTCTGTTGATACCGCCACCATTGGATGCATCGCGTCCAAGGTTGTGCTTTACGTCTCTCTGGTCTTCATTCTAGCCATCGTTGTAGCCAAATTCCTTCTTGCCCTGGCGTTTCAATGGTTTCTCTCCAGAAAATTTGGAGCAGCGAAGACTTCATTGGGTGCAGACTCGAAACAACGGAAGCAACAGATTGAGGAATGGAGTGATGACATCTATCGTCCACCACCAAGGCTTATGGATCCAGCCGCCGGGCCAGATAGGTCGAGCAAGCGTGGTAGCCAGTTCTTGCCCTCGACCTCAAGGTTCACAAGTCCTTACGCTATGGAAAAGTCTGCGAAGAGCCGAGCACCACCAACTACTATGACCAGCCAGAGCTCCACATCCCGCCTCCTGTCCTCTAATGCAATGTACAGGCAGCTGAACAACAGCCATGGCACCCTCCCCACATATGACGGCAAGCCCTCGATTCAGGAAAGCCGATCGAGTCTCATGCTCTCCGGCACGACCGAGCAACCCCGCTATCCAAGTGTAATGGGCGAAGTGGAAGGTCCTGGACCAGCCGGCTTCATCCACGAAGCCGTGGTGCCTCAGCCTCCTCCTGAATGGCAGCCTTTTGGTTATCCATTGGCGCACGCGATTTGTCTTGTTACAGCATACTCCGAAGGCGCCGAGGGACTGCGAACAACACTGGACTCAGTTGCCACCACCGACTATCCAAATAGCCACAAACTTATTCTTTGCATATGTGATGGTATGATCAAGGGCAAGGGCGAAGATCTGACTACCCCTGAGATCTGTCTTGCAATGATGAAAGACCATGCCGTGCTACCGCACGAAGTCCAGGCCTACTCTTACGTTGCGGTCGCCAGCGGCTCCAAGAGACACAACATGGCCAAGATTTATTCTGGCTTCTACGACTATGGCGAAGATTCTCACATTCCCATAGACAAGCAGCACCGTGTTCCAATGATGGTTGTCGTCAAGTGCGGGACTCCCGATGAAGCTAAGAAGTCGAAGCCAGGTAATCGCGGAAAGCGAGACAGTCAAATTATCTTGATGTCGTTCTTGCAGAAGGTTATGTTTGACGAGCGAATGACGGAGCTCGAGTTTGAGATGTTCAACGGTATCTGGAAAATTACTGGTATTTCACCGGACTTTTACGAGGTCGTGCTCATGGTGGATGCGGACACAAAGGTATTCCCGGACAGCCTGACGCACATGATCTCCGCCATGGTCAAAGACCCCGAAATCATGGGACTCTGTGGCGAAACAAAAATTGCCAATAAGCGCGAGTCGTGGGTCTCCATGATCCAGGTGTTTGAGTAAGTGCTATGTTGACGTTTAACGATCGCGCCACTGACAGCTGCAGGTATTTCATCTCTCATCACTTGTCCAAGTCGTTCGAGTCCGTCTTCGGCGGTGTGACCTGTCTGCCGGGTTGTTTCTGCATGTACCGCATCAAGGCGCCGAAAGGAGGCCAGAACTACTGGGTCCCAATTCTTGCGAATCCGGACGTTGTCGAGCACTACTCGGAGAACGTGGTCGACACGTTGCACAAAAAGAATTTGCTCTTGCTAGGCGAGGATCGGTATTTGTCCACGCTGATGCTTAAAACGTTCCCCAAGCGCAAGCAAGTTTTCGTGCCCCAGGCTGTGTGCAAAACCACGGTACCCGAGAAGTTCAGCGTTCTGCTGTCACAGCGGCGTCGGTGGATTAATAGTACGGTTCACAACTTGATGGAGCTGGTGCTGGTACGAGATCTCTGTGGCACCTTCTGCTTCAGCATGCAGTTCGTTGTGTTCATTGAGCTCGTCGGCACCCTGGTCCTGCCTGCCGCTATTGCCTTCACTATTTATCTGAGTAAGCATTTCCCCTTCCGATGCCTCGCATGTGCACTGACGTTGTCTAGTTGCCATTTCCATCAAGGCAGCCATCCTGCATACGGCGGCGCCTGTTATTCCTCTGGTGCTACTCGCGCTTATTTTGGGTCTCCCAGCCGTTCTCATCGTGCTTACCGCCCACCGATGGTCATATGTAGCGTGGATGTTTGTCTACCTGCTGTCGCTACCTATTTGGAACTTTGTGCTCCCGACGTATGCATACTGGAAGTTTGATGACTTCAGCTGGGGCGACACACGGAAGACGGCAGGCGAAAAGACGAAGAAAGCTGGACTAGAATACGAGGGCGAGTTTGACAGCAGCAAGATCACGATGAAACGATGGCATGATTTCGAAGCCGGTAAGGCACAGACCCACCACTCAATCCCGATGATGCAGCGACTGACATGATTCCTCTGCAACAGAACGAAGACTCAAGGCTCCAAGTGCCGGGTGGTCGCAGCAGAGCACTTCGGCCGGGGGATGGCCACCTTCGCAGCAACAGCAGCAGCAGCAGCATGGATATGAGCAGTACTATGATAATTGATTCTCGCATTGTGGCGTCGCATGGGATGAAAAGCCGTCGTTAGCGGTCCTGCACGACGAGCTAAAAGATTGCATTTGTGTTACCCGTTTCTGGAACACTGCGTTTTCTTCCAACTGCATTTGCTTTGGGGGGGGGGGGGGGGGGAGGGGGGTATATTTCTCCAGTTCTCATTCTAAGGTTGCTTTGGTACAAGGGGATGGGGCTGTTCTTTAGAAGAAGAAGGGGTTGAATTGTATAGTGGGGTGGTGGGGTCCCAATCAGATATAGTCCTAATCACAGTGTATATTCCATTGACACGACGGCCATTGGGTGAGAATACTTTCCGCAGCCGTGGCATTGCGACGTGGCCAGCCAGCCAATCCGAGGTGTCACAATACCAGAGCTGGGGGCTCGGTGAAGGCTGCAACGATCCAAAAACGGCAATGGCAGCAGGACTCCGACTTTTCGCGAGACAGGGCCAGGAAGAAGGCCCTTCGCTTCTTAAAGCTGCTTTGAGGGGTGTGCGTTGTGCTACCAGGTACGCATATAGGCTAAGCTTCGGAGGACCAAAGAAGGGACGGCGACGCTGGCAGGTTGGAGGATGCAGGTAGCACCAACGTTGGGAACATGGGGACAAGCGTGGCATGATATAGGTAGTTGCAAGGTTGGCTCCTTCACTGCCTGAGGACTACGCCTGCCGTTCCTTCACACTGCCCCATCCATCACTCCTTCCAAGAGCTGTCCGCGTGCGACACCACCATCACCACCACCACAAAGACGCACTCTCTCTTCTGTAGGTTGTGCTGGTTCCGCGACTCGGCGACTCGGCGACGCAGCGACAGCGGGTTCCGGCAGAGCGAGCGCTGCATGCTGTCGCTTTTCGTTGGCGGTCCGTGCAGAGAATCCCCACACTCTCTGCCCTCGCCGCACCCGTCGACGCCGGATCTGGCCCACCTTCACTTCGCATCCGTCTGCACCAGTCCTGCAGTCGCGACCCTTCCAAGGCTCGCGCCAAAAGAGGCACTCGTCCTGCGTCGTCGGTCGAGGTGCATACGCCGCTAGCGACAGAGCCGCTCCGATATCAAACTTTGCCTCCGCCCAGCGCAAATACCCGGAAGTCCCCTCCTCCTGCTTCCATCATCCACGTGGACGTCCATTTTGTCGCAGGTCCTGGACCGACGTCGTCGTGGCGAGACTCGCGAGGCCTCGATGGCCCCTTCCTTCCCACCAGACGACACCAGCACCGACCTCCAATCGCAAATCGCGCACCTGTCCTCGGGCCACCCGCCCTCGCTGGACATCACTGCCGCTGCCCTCCTCGCCACCTTCTCTGACAACAGGCCGCCCACCAGCCAAGGGGACGATGAGGACGGCATTGAAGACATTCATGGAGGAGGCATATCGCTGTTAGACTCCAGCCAGAGCGTGTTCACGGCAGTTCCGTCGACTATGTCGGTACCGGAACCTATCAGCGACTCCAATCCTGAAATCTCTCTCTTCTCGACGTCGTGGCCCGCGGATATGTCGATGCACGATTTCCTTGATCAGCACCCCACCGCTTTCGAGTTTCTTAGCATGGGATCGGTGCCGGTGCCTGCCTTCTCAACGCTCGCAAGCATGCCTGACGAACTTATCGGGTTCGAAACGTTTGCCCAGGGTAATCTGCACGAGCTGGACGTCGAGCCAGACCACTCCAACGGAGAGAATCCGAATGCGCAGGACAAGGAGTCATTTGTGGACATCTCAACTTTCGTCCGTCAATACGTCCCGCGACCCAAGGACGTCTTCCTCGTCGGTCTTGATGCAGTGAAACAACCCGAGACGATCATCCGGGAGGACCTGCGTGGGGACGAATGCGACTTTCAGGGTATCAATTGGTCCCTCCTCAATATTCCGAGGCAGTCTGTTCGAGCGAAACGAGCCGCTTTCGAAATCACGCGGCTGCGTTCGAGACTGGGGAATGTACGACAGGTATGATGGCTCCCACGAGTGATAGACGCTGTCTGACTAGCTTCAAGCAATGGCCCAATGAAACTCCAAACGTGGACAACTTCTTCTCGTTCAGGAGAATGGTCTCAACACACAGAGCCTACATATCGCATTTCCAGCTCCGCAACCTCCTTGCGTCTACGTCCAAGAATGATATCTTCTATTCCACGAGGGATCAGGTAATGGGGACGGATCCCTCGGGCGCGCCGGCCCGCTGCGTTATGGATCTGTCCAAGTCTAAATCCGAAGGCAGGAACATCCTCATTACAACCCTGGCTGCTGCAGAGAATTTTCTAATAGTAGGGGGGTTCTGCGGTGAATACGCCCTCACTAATCTTGCTTCGGAACACGGAATGCCTACTACTATCGGTCGTGCGATACATAAGACACATATTGTACCCAGCCCCATCACCAATCACATCCACATGTTCAACTCCCGATCGAACTATACCCCGCAAGCCGTACTCTGCTCCAATGACAATCGCCTCCGCATCCTCGACTGCGAATCCAACACATTCACCCATTCCTTCCTCTACGCGAACCCCGTAAACTGCTCTGCAACGTCCCCCAATGGCCGGCTCCGCGTCGTTGTCGGCGACTTCCATGAAACCCTCATCACGAACGCCGAAACCGGCCAGGCCTTCGAGACTCTCAACATGCATGTCGATGATGTCTTTGCCTGCGACTGGGCCGACGACGGAATCCACGTTGCAACGGCCGCGCAAGACCACAGGATCGTGATCTGGGACGCTAGGAACTGGTCACAGCCTCTTAATATCTTGAACTCCGAGCTTTCAACTCCGAGGTCTCTGAAGTTCTCACCAATAGGAAGCGGGCCTAGGGTTCTCATCTCTGCTGAGTCGGACGATTACGTCAACGTGATCAATGCGCAGACGTTTGAGACCAGGCAGGTCTTCGATTTCTTTGGAAAGACGGCAGGGATTAGTCTCAGTCCGGACGGATCGAGCTTGTTTGTGGCAAACTCAGACCCCAGGTTCGGCGGTATCATAGAGCTTGAGCGTTGTGGGTGGGGCAATACCAAAGAAGAGAAGATGTGGAACGGTGCTAGGAACGAATATACACCTGTAGATTGGATGGACGATGATACCATTGACGACAACTGCGATATAGTATCGACATGGCAAGAAAGGAATAGGAGGGGGGTCGAGATTGCGGGGCTGATGGTATAACAGAAAGGTGTAGATGACCATATGACGTTTGGTGAGCTATGGTGGATTTATAACAGTATCTGGTATCCCCATCCTCCTTTCCTTTTCTCATATCGCACGACTTTCCCATCCTACCATTTTCCAATTTGTCACGTCTTATTTATTCCACAACTATCGTTTATCTGGATAGAGCACATTCTGTCCTCAAGAAGCTGACTTTGGTGTCTCTATTCCTACTACCTTGGCCTGAAAGAGGCTTAGAAGGAGGCGTTTTGTATATCTTTCTTCTGTTTGTGGTTGTGGGGTTCAAAATTTCTCTTTGATTGAATAGTTAAGATACCAGAGCATCAGCATTGCGATCGGTGTTGCTGACTTCTGATGGTCTGTTTCGCTTTTGTTAGCACCTACTCAACATCACATCATATCATTATTTTCACATGAAGCTGGAGGGAGCATCTGGACGCGATTCCCTCGATCATGGTGGCACCGGGATACGGAATACCAGAGTATATATAAGATTAGGGATGCCCACGCGGGTAATATGCATGCATAGTTTGGTTGGGAGTGTTGGCTGGATAGCTTGGAATGCATTGGGACCGGATTGCCCGCGAACTTGAAACAGTGTACATAACATTTCAGAGGCAAAATCGAAGTCTTTATCTGTTGTTTGGGATACTTTTGCGGATACTCCTAGTATTGCGAGTTGTTCCCCTTCTCTCTGGAGTTTCTGCAACTTCCGATGTTCGTCTAATTACTCACCCCTCACCGGCATTAGCCTTCCACCCCTCGATTTAAACCAACCCAACACTTCCCTCCTTCTTCAACCTGTAGGTTCTAGAATACGGGCCAAGATTCTAACATTCCCCCCAAATCGATGTAATAATGCTGTACCCAGCTTTCCCATCACTCCCAAGGTTGTCACTGTCCATTCGGCCGAAGCCACGTTCAGCCAACCATCTGGGCAACCTGCACTGTCGATCCCGATGTCCAGCACACACCCTCCGGGCCACCCGATTGAAGGCTTCGGGTCATGTACCCCGGCCCCCAATATTCCAGTGCTTAGTCGGCGTGTGATGGCAGCAGGAGCCCCGTTAAGGTATGAGAGCAGTTGTTAGGATTGGAGGTAAGGTAGGAGTATAACAGTGATAAAGAGAGGGAGAGTGGAGCAAAAATAAAAATAAAAATAAAAGACCGATTATAACCCGACTACAATCTAGAATGAATTAGAGCTGCGCTTGAAAAGGTAACACTAGCCCATGTATCGTGTTAGATAGCTTTGCCATGCATCCATGAAATAATCTAAGAAATCGACAACAAGCGTAAAATCGAATAATGCCTCACGCAACAATTGGCTAGCTAAGCGAGCGCACAACTAGCTTGTGTTTCAAACTGCGAAGAGCTTAGTGTGCCAGGTGGAATTGAGCTAGCTGCAGGGATATGAGTTCCCTAGTTTCTATTCCGTACTCTCTAGCCTCTACCCGAACCCGACACGGGCCTGTTTGGTAGGAACGAGGGTTTGTGTGTAACATTCGTGCAGACGCATTAGCACCCTCTTCAGATGAAGTCGTGGATGTGGTGGTATTGGTAATTTCTAGGTGATTGGTCGAATTATGCCGTGGGCTTGCACCGCATCTATCCCGAGAAGATCGAGCTCAATCGGATATTTGCAAATTCTACCCAACCTTAGACGCGACGAATATCATGTAAACTTTCTATGAGCGGCGATGGTTAATTCTCGGCTTTCTAGATTCAGATACCTCTTCTCTTCTGCTGGTGGAGAAATAGCAGCTACGACCCAAATGCTTTTTCCTAGTTACCCGAAGCCGACTTACCTAATCTCAAAGTTCCGCCTGAGCACAGTTCAATCGCAAGTGCAGTAATATACACCAATGTACAGCCTTTGAGATCCATCGCACTTGCCCTTCATATGCGTTGTAGAAAGTCAGAAGACTAGAAGGGTAAAAGTCTGTATAAGTATTCTCAAGCTTGGAGGCTTCCGAGACTGAGTTTGGTAGAGCGGTGGATAAGATATAATTAGTTACCTGGGATTGATGATTTAGGGGAACAGGCTTTGTAGGTGGGCTGTAGGGAAATGAATGTTGTGTAGAAGTGAAGCGGTAAAGAGGTCTAAGAGATGTAAGATTCCCGTCTCACCAATACCACTGCCGATCCTCCATCTAACCAAACATCCAGCCGTCCTTCGATCATGCCTCCAACACTCAAGGCTATTTTGTCTGTCAAGAGTTCTCCTTGCTGTACAAACCCACTAAATCCTACTCTACATCCTTTCGCTAAAGCATACAAAGGAATGCCTCAGACCTAGATGTCGTCATGGATGAATGCGCTCAGAAGCTCATCAGCCCGCTGACTCCGCAGAAACTTCCACTGTACATTCTCCTCAGCAAAGAACCTCTGCACATGCTTTGCAGCTTCCATCCGAGCTTCAATATCCTTGGCCAAGACTTCATCTGTGTGAACCCTATTTGCAAGCTCCAGTACATCAACTTGCTCTTCTACGAACGCGTCCGCGCCTGGAGTGGCAAACCCGGCGGGAGGGAGATCATCGACACCAAGGATGATTTTAGTGAGCTCGACATCGTAGAACGGAGACCTGGGTCGGGTGGAGTTGAGGGAGAATGGAGAAGTAGGAGGGATGCAGATTGTATTTTGTGGGGGAAGGGTGCCGAACTGGAAGTAGTTTCTGATGTGGTTTAGGGTACACGGTGTGGGTGTTGATATAGAACAATGCTACAAGATAACGTCAGCCGCAAATATATTGAATACGTTACTGCTTCTCGGTAACTCACCCCAGCGCTATCCTGAGTAAGCACAACACTCCCCACGAACCTTTCACCCATAATCCTTGCGCTTTTCAGAGGCGTCACTGGGTCTGCGGTATTTCCAATCCAGAGGATGGGATGGCTTGTCTTGCCTCCAAACTCTCCTTTGAACCGATACACAGCCCTGATCTTCCAAGCCGCGCACTTCATCCTTAGCATCGCCCATATCGACCCAGAGGTTGGCGACGTATGGGCGAGCTCGTGCCAGTATTTTTTGAAGGAATCGGTATTCTCAGAACTCTGGTCGTATCCATCAGAGCAGAGGATGGCAATCCCAGGGGTATCTGTTAAAACTTGAACAGCGGGGGTGGAGGAGTTTAGTGGACATTGATAGACGTGGCTAGGGCGGAAGGCTTCCACGAGAAGGTTGAGGGCGCTACCGCTACCCGCTTCCACTGCGACTAGGACTTGAGCCAACAATGGGAAGATTATGGCCGGTAGGTAGAGCGACGAGAATGCAAGCGACTTAATGTCAGAGTACGAAAAAACTTCTGGTCCTGTGGCGGTGACAATGGGAAGTGGGTTGTGATAGAGAGAGCTTATGATGGATTGCGTGCGTTCCTTGACGTCAGTTGCAGTGGATGTATGCGTAGCTAGAGGGCATGACTTGGGTCCTACGTTAATACAATAGGTGTAGAAAGAGTTCATGACCTTTTCAGCGTCATGCAGGCTACCATTGCCAAGGCTTTGATTGTAGTCATCTGAATTGACAACACCATCCAGAATAAGACGGCCAACGCGGTCTGGAAACATGGACGCAAATGTTGAACCGAGGTACGTGCCGTACGAGAATCCCCAGTACTGAAGTTTGACGGGTTCCGGCCTACGGTTACAGTGCAGGTTTCCATGGGCTGGCTTCTTACTTGCTGATTGGTCTTCGACATATGCGGCATGCTTTTCTGCCAACTCGAGCATATCCCGGGCTACCGACGCAGTAGTCATGTATTGCTTGATATCGGGTCCATCTTCGTCTTCTGCGACTTGCTTACACGAAGAACCAAAGGCATGTGTCATTGACCAGAGTCGACCAAGGGCAGCATCAGAGCTCCCTAGAATGCCTTCAGACTTTTCCCTCAGCATCCAGGACCATATGGAAGGGCCATCTGGAAGACAGACTGCCGCAGGCTCGGTCAACCCAATCCCGCGAGGGTCAAATCCGATGATATCGAAGTACTTTGCTCCCAGGGGAGTTTCGTTTGGCCCCTCTATCGGGTCGACAATAGTCTGAAGTTGATATGCTCCGCCAAGCGCGAGCAAAATGCCGGAGCCACCCGGTCCGCCAGGATTGATGAGTATGGGCCCTCCATAGCGAGGATCAGTCACGGGGACCTTGGCGGGCAGTTTGACAAGGGCAAGGCTTATGGTTTCATTGGGGTAAGTTTCATTGAAGTAGTCGAGAGGGAGTTTCAGCTTTGCGCATTCAAACCCGCCATACCCGGAGTAGCATGGGTGGAATTCGAGCTGCTCTGTCGCTTCGATCTGCAAGTATAATGAGCATGATGAGGAGACGGGCTGTGGCACATTTCATGGTTCTATATTTTGAAGAGAAGGTTCGGGGTTGTCGATTTATGTCATGTAGCACAAGAGGAGTGGGCTTGGGGGGAGATGATCAGATAAGAGGAGTGGCGGTGAATAGGCGAGTTTGACTGATGGTCAGGAAACGAACTTACATCAGACCATTCAAAGGTAGCAGACGCAGGGTACGAATACCTGATTCCATATTGAGATATCGCCGATGGAACAAGACGCCCTGAGAGCGAAGGAAAAGTCGATAGAAGCCCTGAGGTGATCAGAATTCCCACCAGAGAACCAGCGAGGAATGAGGCGACAGGTCGACGGTTTCTACGCTGTGCAGTGGACAAGACTTGTTCTGAATCGTTCCAGCCCTTCATGTTGCCCGCAAGTTCATGCTAGAAAGGAGTCAGGATATGGAAAGGGAGAGAGGGCGTCGAGGTTGAGGTTGGAGGTTGAGGTTGGAGGTTGAGGAAACCCAAACTCGCGATCCTTCCTAGGCAAACACATTCAATGCGTTTGCGTTTCCTGTGGCGGTGCTGCCCCTGTCCACAACAGCTCCTTGGCGAGCGACCATCAATCCTTCAGGATTCCCGCACTTTCCTCTGCCGCTGTCGAGGCGTCTGACGCATGCACGTCCTGTGCAATCCATCACAACTCAACAAGACCGTTTCCCGGAGCGGTTTGGCGTCTTGTTTGCAGTTCTGCAGTGGAACATGCAGCCAAAGTCCCAGAGGAGCACGAACTGCCATATTAGGGCTATCGGCGATATTGAAGACTCTCGTATGCGATAATTTTGGTATCGGAGTGCGGAGAAATAGCCGAGACCAGGATCCGAGAGTATCAGAGTCGATCTATACCCTTCTGAGCATCTGGCCTTGCACTTCACTCGAACATATTGATGCCCGAACCCTAGATCCTCCCCGTGCGACCCAGAGCGCTCAGTTGTAGGTGGGATTGCTCGGTATTTGTGACCATGTCAGTGAGAGACGAGCGCTATTGCAAGCCATAGGTCTAGAGAAAAGTAGTGCAAGAAGCAGACAGCAGCAGGTTCTGATTTGACTATGGGTATTAATCATCTCATCTGATCAAAGTTACCAGCCCAACTCGCAATCTTTAACCCATCCTGCCCTAGAGACATGGGAGGAATTGCAGAAGCTCATTGACTCGCCAGCGCCAGCCCATTAAAGCAGAGGAAGCCACACATCCTCCAAGATGATCGAGGCCATAAGCAAATCCATCCATTTGGGGTGTTCCATCGCAATTTCGTTCCAGTAATGACCGTCAAGAAAACAAACAGGAAAGTAAAGAGAGGTGAGGTATGTCGATTGGGTCTCGTGCGAGGCCTCTACCATTGTTGGCCCCCACCCTGCCCTCCTTGCTCCTGTCCGCCCCCATAGCCTCCTTGGCCGTAGCCACCTCGGGGTGGATATGAGCCCTGCTGTTGAGAGCCCCAGTTGCCAGCACCACCGCCGCCACCACCACTGTAGCCTGTACTGATTGTTAGCAAACATTCGGATGTTCTATGGGAGTGGGTAGCCTACCTCCTCGGCTCTGGTAGCCGCCACCACCGCCACCGCCTGGAAGAGTGAATGAGCATGAGACAACGGCATAAAGGCCATGTCAAACTTACCGCCGCCTTGATAGCCTCCACGAGATTGATATCCGTAACCACCACCGCCACGTCCACCGCCGAAGCCTCCTCCGCCCCCTCCACCACCTCCTCCACTGGCACGGTCCGAAGCCTTGTCAACGCGGATCGAGCGTCCATCGAAACTAATCACACATTAGCACGACGCCGAATAAATGCCGGTCTATACAGATAAGAAACTTAAGTGAAGGCTGCAGGGGCCAATCAGGAATGGTGGATTGTCCAGGGAAAGCCACCAACGTAGAGAGCACGGCTAGAGAGACAGAGAAAACACTCACTCGACATTGTTCATTGATTGCATGGCAGCATCTGCCTCGGAATCCTGAGAGAAGCGTACAAAACCGAAGCCACGGCTGCGCCCGGTATCGCGATCCTTCACGACGACCTGGCGTCATGTGAGCATGATAATGGACCACCTTGCCGTAGGGGGGGTACTTACGGCCTCCTCGACCTGGCCAAACTCCTCGAACTTCTCGCGCAAAGTCGCATCATCGGTATGCCAGGCAAGGCCTCTGGGGCTGGTATCAGCTTGGTATTTCGAGTAGGTGGAATGTATGGGCTTACCCAACGAACAGCTTAGACATGATGGACTCGAACTGCACTCTAAACGGTCTCAATTCACACACTCTTCTCAAGGGACGCGCGCGACAAGAATTGACTCATGACATGCTCAGAAAACAGGAAGTACAAGGATGCAGAGCGTCAGCAGAGATTGAGAAAGGAAACAGGGCAGTGAGGCCGTGGTGGCTCCAAACGAGTCAGGCAGCAGAGGGCATGATGATAGAACGAACATTTGGTCTTATAAGCACCGGAGCGAAGGTCGGTCGATTGCGCACGTTATTGGCTCCCGTGAGTCAATGGTAGACAGTAACAGTAAGTAAGTGGTGGTGGTAGGCTGTGGAGCTGGGGATGGTGAAGCGTCGAGGGTTGGAGATGGCGGGGCAAAAGAAAAGATTGCGAGAAAATCTGGGAGATAAGTTTACCCCTCCGTCAAAGTGAAAGAGCGCTAGTGGACTGAAAACACTCTCGCAAGCGGCCGGGGGCAATGGATGATAATAAAGGCGGCAGCCGGGTAGGGTAGAAAAAGGTCGGGTCAGGATTGCGTGTCGTGGTAAGAAGCAGAATACGACACTCGGGGATTCTGATACGCAGGACAGGCGACAGACAGGGCTTCTTGTAGCCTTTGCGCCTGAGAGCGGGCATCATGGGCATGAGGAGCCTTTCACATTCACACCCCGTGGCCACAATATCATGCGGCCTTTAGCTAGTGCCAGGCCCTATCCGCGAGCCCCATGCCCAATGACAGGCGGGCGGGAGGTGCTACTGTCTGGGCTGGCCGTGCCTTATGCAAAAGACGACTGCTTAGATGCTTGATAGGCCGGACTGCCACGGCGAGTTCTCACTGGAAAAGTGGCCAGCGTGCGTGAAGAGGCATTATTGGACAATTCCAAATGTGTGGAAGGAAGACGCCTGCCGTCGAGCGTGTGGCGTGTCCGAAAGCGCAGCAGCGTTTGGGCAGGGCAAAAAGTAAAAGATATTTGCCGTGAGGGTGCGTGGACGGCGCGCGAGCATTGGATGGGGGAGGGATGGTTTAAAGAAGCTTATCAAATTGATTATCGCAGCGCGAGTGCGGAGAGGAAATTTTGACGGCGTTGAACCCGGCACCGCGACACCACCCTTGGCTCGTGCGCAGGCCAGCACTGGGCGGCCACTTGCACGGGTAGGCGAGAAGATGGAGAGCGGTGCGATGCAAGGTATCACTGTCGTCGTTGTCGTTGTGATCGTTGTTGATTTTGAGCATCAGCGTGGCATTGAGCGTGATTCCTGTCATGTAGCAGAGTTGGACAGAGCAGGGTCGCGGCGTCATGCCTCAGTCTTTCGCAGTCCCACGTCCGGCCAATCAGCGGCCGGCATGGCACGCCTCGCGCACTTCGAAGTCACCGCCGTCCAGCAGCAGCTGTCAGTTGTGAAATGTGCTCCCATAAAGACGTCTCTGCTCCGGCCGTGAGAGCCCACTCTGCTGGCCCCCAGCCCCAGAGCCCGCGGGAGTAGTGAATGGCCGAGTCTTCCTGTTCGCGCCTGCCATGTCCACTGCAACGGCAACGCCAGCAGCATTCGAAGTTTCCCTCTCCAGCGGTGACGATGACCCTTCCACTGCCTCGCCTCCCCCCCCACCATAAGACGCATTGTGATATTACGGGGCGTGCAACAGGCCGGCCTTCAGTCCCGTTACACACACCCAATCTCTCCTCCTGATGCTGGACGCCTCTCTCCGTCTCCTGACCGGCTATCCTGCTCGCAACCTCGCAAGCTCATGCTGTACTACAACAACTGATTCCTGACAGAGGCGGTCCTGTGGCCGAAGTCTCCGAATCCCAATTACGGGACGGCTCGCTCGGTCAGCCGCCCGCATCGCGCCCTCGCCATAGGCCGTGATAGTTGCCGCATCTTAAGCTTCCAATGGACATTCGCACATGGCTGGCCGATATTGAACTGCCAGAGAGGCCCCCAACTCTCTCCGAGCAGCTCGGCCTGCCTCCGTTCCTCCATCCAAAGGGGGAGTCCCCAAAGGAGGTCCGCCGGCGGAAGCGTAGTACGTCGGACAGTTCACTCCTCGACACCCGCCCAGGGCGCCAAATCCCTCCCTCAATTAGACACGGGGCCGATATCGACGACAGCGCCGAGGACAGCGCTTGCAGTCATGCAACTAGCGCTCTAGGCGACTCTGCAGGAAACAGCAAGTCGAGCCACCCCTATGCACGCAGGCCTCGACGCAAGACACGCCTCGAGCGCTACGAACCCACATCGAAGGATGTTAAGGGACGGGGGAAGCAGGTATATCAGACCCGGAGCGGCGAATCAAGGAAAACCAGACGCAAATCAAGGCGCAAGAAGGCCGACCAGGGGGTAGGCCTAGTCCAGAGCTTCCACGCCAAGAATGTCCCGAGAGATCGACTGACTGTATGATGTCCATCATACGTTTCGTTGGCTGGGGAGGCACTGACAACTGGCGTAGTTGAAGCCTCGAGAGAAACTGGGGATATTCAACAAGGGAAGAGCGTCGTCGCCAGTCAAAGGTCGAGGCCGTAAGCCCCTCCTCTGCCGGTCCCCCGCACCTCAGCCCATTGACTAAGTCATCGGTAGTGCCGGACTTGGTCTTCTCAGAGATGAAGTTCTTGCAGAAGAATAAGGGCCAACCGGAAGCCGTCCCTCAGGCAGGGTTGCCAATGAAAAAGCGCAAAAAAGATCATGCACAGGCTAAGCAAGAAGAGATATCTGCATACTTTACCTCTCTCCGACCAGTCCTAGCAGAGAAGGATGCGAATATCCAAGCGAAGGGGGGCTCGTGCCGACAGAGCCTTGTTCGGGACCTCGATCACGAGCATAAGAGATCGTCACTGATCGATAACGCCGTACCTACTGTCGAGCTACCCGATAAGGAAGCATATCTCAGGGTTGGGGGCCGGGTAGCAAGACATGAGAGTGGGAGCTATGTCTCCTGGTCTGAGTCCGTCCGACCGTCGAGTCCAACGATATTCCCTCGAGCAGGTTCTACTATCGACGTTGGTAAGCTGGCCGCGATACTAGACAGACGAGATGGGGAAAGAATGTATATAACGGATCCATTGCACTCACGGCCGGACGCCTCTTCCATAGCCAGACACATAACAGATGGTAGTGGCGGATGCTTCGAGATATCCTCATTAGCTCCAGCAAATCACCAGGCATCCCGATCACACTCGCTTCCTCAACGTACCTCTTCCCCACGAGCATCGAACACTGTTGACCGAGCTAGGAGAAGTAATCGTAAAGGGGATGAAACAATAGCATCGCCAGCTTCTACGCAGGCCGCTATACCTCAAGCTGCAAAGCCAAGCGGCATAATAGCCGGCTGTCCAAACGTTAAGAACAGTATTGGCTTAGAGAACACTGCACATTCGCCCAAGAAAACCGAGCTCGTTCATGACAACCACGCTGATGAGCTTGCAGTTGGACATACAGAAATGGCGGTGAACACTATCGAACCTCCAAGTTCTTCAAGCCTTGGAAGAATCTTACAAGAGTGCAACTCCGCATTTGACGAAGGAAGGCGTCGAGTAGTCGCATCGTATGGGTACAACAGCTTGCACGTGGAGCCCAGACTGGACAGTGAAAAGGAAACAGCGAGTCCACAGCTCCATAGAGTATCCCAGAGGACACCTGCAGTTCGGTTCACTGGTGTTGAGATAGGTCAACCTCACCGGCCCAACTTTTCCCGTCCCAGTATTTACGAAGAACAAGCGGAACGACAATATCTGATGCAGCAGCAGCATGCGATTGAATATGAACCCGAGCACGACGCTTACACCAGAGATGACAAATGCATTGTCGATGATGGCGATGATGAAGGAAACTACTACGGTCTGGACTTGGGATATCCGCCTGAAGAAATAACATCGTATGACTTTGGAGCCGACGTGGCGGAGGATGATCTTGCCTCACCGCACGGAATAGATAGAGGCGGGGAGAGTTTTGTGCAGAGAGATGGAGTCGTTGTGGAAGGTTTCTGGCGTCCTCATAAACTATACTGATGTGGTCAAATTCGCAAGAAATCCGTCATGCAAGCCGCTGGAGCTGTACATGACTAAGCGCCAAACTTTCCGAGTGATGGTGGTGCGGCTCCCTTCGACCCTTCATCCTCGGCCTAGGAGGGAGCTCAACCGGTGGATGTCTAGCCGACTCGGTCTGTCATTTTCTGTATGACCTGTCATACTCACCTGTTACGGCTCAATGCAGCCCAGAAATATAAACCTTTCACCTATCGCCCCTTTCCGACGGTTGTCCCATGCAGACAATCGTTGGTGACATTCGTCACGCTGGCTGCGCCTAGTTCCCACCGCCCGGCTGCGCCTGCCTGCCCCACCAATCCCGCCAGACTCGATAAAATTCGATCTCGGACACAACAGCTGGCAGGCCACCTCCACTCAACACCGCAACCCATCGCAACCATGACCACTCTCCCCGTCTCCGAGAAGGGATATCACTCCAAGGCCGCGAGCCAATACACAGCGAGGCGGATTGGTGCCGCCAACACACTCGAGCACCGCGTCTTCATCGAGAAGGATGGCGTCCCAGTCTCACCCTTCCACGATATCCCCCTGTATGCCAATGAGCAGCAGACCATCCTCAACATGATTGTCGAGGTGCCACGCTGGACCAATGCTAAGATGGAGGTGTGTCCTCGTCAATCTGCAGCTTTGTATTTCCCGTGGAGAGTCTGGGAGCTGACGTTACCCAACAGATCTGCAAAGAGGAGACGCTCAACCCCATCAAGCAGGACATCAAGAAGGGCAAGCTGAGATACGTGAGGAACTGCTTCCCGCACAAGGGCTACCTCTGGAACTACGGTGCCTTTCCCCAGGTACGACCTTGATCTCCACGCCGCCTCCCGATATCGGACAATGCACTGACTGCTTCTGCAGACGTGGGAAGACCCGAACGTCATCCACCCCGAGACCAAGGCTAAGGGTGACAATGATCCCTTGGACGTCTGCGAGATTGGCGAGCTCGTCGCCAGGCCCGGCGAGGTCAAGCAGGTCAAGGTTCTTGGTGTCATGGCTCTTCTTGACGAGGAAGAGACCGACTGGAAGATCATCGTTATCGATGTGAACGACCCGTTGGCCCCCAAGCTTAACGACATCGAGGACGTTGAACGCCACCTGCCAGGTCTGCTAAGGGCCACCAACGAGTGGTTCCGCATTTACAAGATCCCGGATGGCAAGCCCGAGAATCAATTTGCTTTCTCCGGCGAGTGCAAGAACAGGAAGTATGTTGTTCTATGTGCCACCGTTCGAGGTGATGCTAATTGGGAGCAGATACGCCACCGACATTGTCCGTGAGTGTGCTGAGGCCTGGGAGAGACTCATCACTGGCAAGACCCAGAAGGGTGAGATTTCGCTGTAAGTTCAGGCACCCGGTGATAGAGACTGTGCTCTGACATCCCTAGCACTAACGTCTCCGTCCCACACTCCCCGGACCGCGTCGACCCTGGCAAGCTCAACATCGCCAAGGGTGAGAACCATGGCCCGGCCCCGATCGACCCAAGCATTGACAAGTGGTTTTTTATTTCCGGGGCTCCATCCGGTTAGGCTTGAACTTAACGTAGACTGCTGAGCTCAGCCTAGAGTAGAAGAGGGTTGAGGATTGTTGGAGGCAATATGCATGAGTCGTTGGTTTGCAGGTTGCAGAATTTCGTATGGGTAAATGGCACATAAATACGTGTTCAATATGCCAAATTCAGATGGCACGGATCCTATAGATCCACACGAAAAGCAAAAGCTTTGGCTCATGATATCAAAGTCGTACGCCATGCCGTGACTCCACGTAATGCATGCCTCGTCCAATACAAGTAATTGTACAGGTCGTCAAGGCCCACAAAATATCGATCAACCCTTTAGTTTCCCAGCAACTCCTCCTTCCTCGCAAGCAGCCGCGAATGTCGGTCCACCCGCTCCATGACCTCTGTTATGCGCATTTTGTCGAGCTCAAGATCCATCTCTTTGCCATCTTCTGGAAGTATAATGTCAGCCTAGGGCTCTGTGGCCACAATTTACGTTCGAAAGTCGAAAGCGCGTACTAAACTTTAGGGCTAGAGATGCAGGCTCTTTGCTGTGTCTTGGAAGCATTTTCGACTCGATCTTCATTCCATCGACTCGGGCACTCGGCGGTATTAGGGAGAGGAAGAGTCGCGCGGATTTGGAGCGCGGAGAGAAGGGGTTAAATTTTAAACGGACGTCGGTTAGGAAACGGGTTATCATTGTTTTGAGATGAGAAGGATGGGAAGAATGGGAAGAAGAGGGCGAAGACACAGGCGTTGGTGGACGAAAGTGAGGCTCTGGCAACTTGTGATGAATTGGCGGGATATTTTACGAGGAATTGAGGACATACCAAAGTAGTATCGGCGCAATTGATAGAAGTTGACTGCTCGACTTCGATTCACTTTCTTCAAATTCACCTTCAGAAGCTCACTGCGTGACCTTAGCGTCGGGAATTCGGGGTTTAGTTTTTCCCGGCCTGTGACTACCGTCGTCATAAGTTAGTACCGAACAGCTGGCCGGTTTCGCGACTTCTTAACAATGCCACCTCTTCCTTCGACCGCGCAATCTCTCACAAATCGCCTGAACACCCTCTCCGAATCCAACAAAGCCCTTCTGCAGCTCGTCCAGCGTTTATCCAAATTAGACTTCCAGCCCGGATCGGTGCCGCTAAGCTCCGAAGAGGGCGATGTGCGGTTGGAGCTTAGTGCTGAGATCCATGAGAGCTTGAAACAACTTGAAGACGAGCTTGAGCTTCTGAGGCAGGAGGTTGAGGACGTTGTTCAGGGAACTGGAGTAAATAGCAGGAGAAGAGATAGCGTGCGGGAGAGTGGGAAGAGTAGGCTTGCGGTGCTGCTTGCAAGGGTGTCAGAGGATTTGAAATCGTACGAGTCCCGCCTTTCTTTTGTGCTCGCAAAACTTTAGCAACCTACCGAGTTAACTCGATGCTCTGCAGTTCACGATCCCAATTCCGTAAAGCCCAGCTAACAGCCAAACGAAACGCCGACCACGCGAAAGCCAAAGAACGGGAACTCCTTTTCTCAAATCTCCAATCCGGCTCCCCAACCCCATCGTCTACCCACCGCCGCAGAACCGCAAACTCCCAGCTCTCCGCCGACGAACTCATCGTAGGCACCGCATCAGATGTTACAGCAGGCCTTCGTCGCACCCACCAATTGATGCAAACGGAGCTCTCTCGTTCAAGATTTGCCCAAGAAACGCTCGAACAGTCCACAGCCGCGCTTGCAGACCTAGGGGAGAAGTATACGGATTTGAATACGCTTCTGGCGAATAGTAAGACGCTGGTGAACACTCTGCTGAAGAGCCGGAAGAGTGATACCTGGTATCTGGAAACTGCCTTTTATATTCTGATCACGACTATTGTCTGGTTGATCTTTCGAAGGTGGTTGTACGGGCCGCTGTGGTGGTTCGTCTGGATTCCTCTTAAGCTCCTCTATAAGTTCACCTTCGCCGTCTTCGCCGTCGTGGGTCTCACGAGCGGGAATTCGAGCGTATCGGTCCAGGAACAGGCGAGCACAAGCTTAATTGTCAAGCCCAGTGCATCAGGCGGAATCCCAAAACGCATAATCGACTCCAACGAACCTCCCCATTACGTCCGTGTCGGCGGAGGAGGTCGAGGGTGGGGCTACGATCCTAGTCCACCTGAGAGTGTATCTCAGCAGGTCGGCCAAATGGCGGAACAGGATCAGCAACATCAGGATGTGGAGGAACATCCTCAGCTGAGGGAACGGGGACAACAAGCTGAAGAGGATAACTTGCCGGTAGTGAGGGGGGATGGCACGGTGTTGCATGAGTCAGATAAGCCGAGGAATCCGAAGAAGAGGATTTGGGAGGAGAATGTGGAGAGTGCGAAACAGGAGCAGACGGATTCCGAGAAGGTGGAGCAGGCGATAGGGCAAGGACAGGAGGAAAAACAGAGTGGTGGGCATAGGAAGAGGGATGAGCTGTAATACTCGTATGATAGCTGGCCGTATGATCATCGAAATAGTGTGTTAATATCCATGATTATCCTCATCGTATCTTCGCATACATTCTCAATCGTACTCTTTACTCATATTCTAGGAAAGCCTAAAAAGCAATGTCTTGGGAATAAGATCTTCGCTTATTCCGCTCTATGATCTTCCTACAGTATTCTGGCTTGAGATGCTTGGAGCATTTAGCAGTGAAGCTCGGCGGACTGCATCGGCAAAGTTCTCCTGATCGCTTATGTCAGCACCATCACCAAATTTCTGCGTTGACGCATCACCACTACGCCACGTTCCACCCATTACCTAAAATATTTATCCCGTCCGTTGCATTAGCCTCGCTTCCAACACTCATCTAAGATTGGCTTCCCTGCTTCTCGGCCAAAATCTCCGATGAGGTTTCACGGTCATCTTTGACTCTGCTTCACTTTCATTACTTCAATTGGCTTCCACCGCTCCTATCTGCTTCCAACATCGTCTCTAGCGAGGGATGTAGTTACGTGAGGCCAATCCAATTACTCATTCAGGAATTCCGCACGTGTTCCTCGCCCTGCTGTGAGGGTTTCCTGCAAGTTTTGACCTCGCCTTCACTTTCTCGTACCTCACCGTCTCTCTACCCCAGTTTCTTATCCTTGATCTCTTTCTTCCGCTTTGTTCCAATCACTAGAGCTAATCACTTTCGATTAGCTGCGGCACGTGCCCTCCAAGCCTCCCTTCACCCTTACGGCCGTGGAGATACCCTCCCACGGGTCAAACCGACTTTTCTCTTCCTTTTTTCTATCACGCGCTGGCCTCTCCCTTTTCTATTACACACTCTCTTATTTTCCCCTTATCGAGAGTCTGCCGGCTCTGAGAGTTAGTGGGTTCCTAGAGTTTTCGGTGACATTTCTTCAAGCTATAGCTTGGTGTTGGGCGTTTGTCGCATCGCACAGTCCGACTCTCCTGGATTTAACTACGTGGCTGGTAGTCATCTGCTTGCTTTGATTGGTGCCCTGGCTAAGTGGATATCCTTATTTATGGTTTTATACCTGTAGTGACGACTGAGGACAGCCTAAAGGGGCTGTCCAGAACAAAATTTTCTTCATTGGCTCGGTTAGCTGATCTAGCTGCTCGAGGAAGAGCTTCCCCTTTAATCCGTACTGTTGAGGCTTTCACCTGGAGTACATGTTGAAAATGTGGCACCGAGAGGAAATGAAGCGATTCAAGGGTGAATGGCTCATGAAGCCCACCGCAAGATTTACCGTTGTTTGATTACCCTCCAACGTCGCGAATCGCTCAAGCTCCGTTTAACCAACGTGATCTCGTATATTTCTAGTTTCTACGGATGGCAACAATGATTGTACGGCTTCGTCATGAGTTTCTTGATGCCTAATCTTTCCTTCACCAGCTCGGCGCTAACACCACTTACCAGATCTTCTGTCCTCGATCTCCTCTTTCGTTGTTAACCCGGCCCAATAAACTTTTCCCATTGCAACAAATTTCTTGGAGACGACAATCATTTTTTCTGCCTGCTTTCCTTTCATGCTAGGTTGATTCCATGTTCCATGCAATCACATTGGATGTATTCGGAGTCTATATATAACACAGATCCAAAATACTATCGATGGCATGAAGGAATATTTGGGAAATTTATGGTGCATAAACTAGGGCCGGATATCATATTGGCGACCTCGTGGCATAGGAGAGGCGGAAAGTTCGTGATTCATATTTGTACGCGATGACTTCTTCTGTCAGGGTCCTCCGGGCCGCTACTCGCACCTTGCCATACTCGGGCTATCTAGGCTTTCCTATGTTCAAGGCTATAGTCATATTTCATTGAAGTCTTGAGGCAACACTTCCAATCATTATTCCAATGTAATCTCGATTTGGGCCGGAAATTTGTCCGCATATATTGAATATCTAAAAGCTGGTAACCCCGAAGATTCCACAGCGAAACTTCGTGAATTGTTGGAGATTCCGATGTTTTTTTAATATACTGCATGCGGAGACATGACGGCCCTCGAATATTTCCAAGGGCCAAGTTTGGAAGATGATCTATCATTGCGCAAGATCTGAGAGAGGAATATGAGTGTAGCTTAGACTCGTTTCGGTCAGGATCCCGCCAGGTTGTTCGCGTTCCAAACTAAAACGCAGAGCGTGCTATGGAACTTCTACGATAGTGTTCTGAGTGCAGACAAGATAGGCCCGCCGCTCTAACCTGAAGAGAGTTGGGGAGTCATAAAAAACACAGACGTTAGGTCCAAGCAAGGCAACATATCCACATCGAGTGGATATTCGCTTTTTTCTATCGCGCTTTCGATCCCGATCTCGAATGATTGATTCCCACGTCAGTAAAACAAAAGGTGGGGGTTGAATAAGCTCAAAGAGTATCAGATACCCTCGTTGGGACTCCAGCAAATTGTTTAAAATCTCCTGGAGTTGAGGAGACTTTTCTTCTGGTCCCTTTTTCATACTCCCAATGCTTAGTACATTTTGAGAAAACCGGGTCCGTGAGGCTTCTCCACGGACACACTAGTCTTTGTCTTGAACTATCCTTACCTACCATACTCGAATCCGATGTTTCCAATATGACGTTGTGTTTTGGGTCCCAGAGATACGTCAGATTCCAAGTGCACACCACTCATGATCCAAGGAGCGAGATGTGTAGCACAGGTATGGACTCTGTGGCTCCTACGACGTCGATTTTTCAGATTCTCTTGCATGAAGATAACATCTCCGCATTTAGCCTTGGAAGTGAAATCCTCGGATTCGAATTCGAACTATGGTTTGATCTATAAATGCTCACAGGCAAAAGACGGCTCGTAGTCTATCCATATTCCTGCCGGCATTTCTATCGAAGATGTTCAAATATCATTCTGTCTAGATACTTCCCGCATTGGACTTGAGCTCGAAAGCTGAAATGTCCAGGGAACAAGAGATCCAACTAAGCTCACGCGCCCCGCTATTTAGAACCTGATTGTTGTAGTAAAGATCCCAGACCCGGCGCTTCCACTCATTTGGAAGATCTGGGAAGATCTATGAGAAAATATATTGCCGCAGCGGAAAACCCATATGACGGGCTCTGAAACCAGGGTATAGTGACCGTTAAAGCAGCTGCCAGTCTCCTTGAGAGTGTTCGTAATCCTAAGGACAGGACATGCGCGTGAACGAAATTCGGGTTCGGTCTAGAAACGTGGGTTTAGAGTGCATATCTATGTGCGCTCTCAAATGTGGATTTGGGCAAGGCAGCGGCCTTCAGATTGACCCTGAAAACTTCTCAAAGTTACATTTCCCCCATCGATACGCGGAACTGAATATCGGGGACGTGGCCTCAAATAACTCTTGATTTCGAAGTCGGGGAACATACCGTCACGGGAAAGCCATGGTTGCCAGTTGAGGAGTCTAGATCTTAGATCTAGTGCTACTATCAGCATGTAAGAACATCCGGGCATCTTTGAAAAGAAAAAAATGAAGTAGAAGCGGATTTGTTTTTAGAAGAGTGGGTGTACAAGCCACTTTCCCAATAGTTTTTGCAACGGACGTGGCGGACTAGGTAGGCAGTTTTTGGGGCTCCAAGTATCACAACTAGATGTGTGAGGAAAGGAGATGGGAGAGAGTGTTTGAAGGGGTTTGAATAAGCCGAAGGAGACGAGAGGGAGGAGATCACGGGAGAGAACCTAAGGATTAACGGTAGTCCAAGAAGTTAATAAGATGCAGGATTGGCACAGAATGCTGCATCAAGAAGAGACTGGAAATACAGAGGACGACAGCCGGATGTCCGTATCAGGAAAAATAATTTCAACTGAAGACTAAGGAAAACATCGTAATTCAGCCTCAGTAACAAGGATACTTCCCAACACAAGCTGCCCAATATGCTGAAGAAAGGACTAAGAAGCCTACTTACCACCTCCAAGTTATGTTATAGATACTAACCACAAGATAGCTCTAAAATCGCCCCACAGATCTTCATTCCGCAGGCTCAGTATCGTAGAATTTCTCAGCATTAATCCCCCTCATCCTCGCTCTCCTCCACGACAACCACCCGATCCATAACCTCTTCATTAACGAAGGCGCCACACTCGCCACTCTCTTCAACAATAGCCCTTGCTTGTTCGTCCCCACAGCCAAAATCCTCCATGACAAGACAACAGCTCAATTCAGGCACTAACACCCTCTGTACAAAATTGCCGATACCACCAAAGCTGACCACCTGGTCGTTGATCATGCACTCACGGATGAGGTCCGAGAAGTGCGTGGTGATAGCTTCCATCATAGCACGAGCACCGCGTGTACCATAATATCCGGTTGTGGACTCTAAGATCTTGTCAGAGGCGGCTAGGGAGAGTGCCGTGCGCTCTTTGCCTTCAGAGACTTTGTCGGCATGTACCTGTCTATAATGGCTTGGATCTAGAGTTGTGTCTGTGAGTACCGCTTCAAGTCTGGGGAAGTGTTTCTGGATTCGGTCGGTGAAGTTCTCCCAGTCGATATTCGGGTACCGTTTTTCTGTGTACTGCTCCATTGCTCTCTGTTTTTTGTGTTCGTGACAGAAGCGCCTTTGGTCTCGGGGAGTCATTTGAGGGTGCGCCATTTCGAAATCTGCTAAATAAGACTCGGAGATGGGTTCATGGCATAAGGGGCAACGGCTTTGTTGGGAGCTAAGCTCGAGATCTTGTTGGTCTGCTAGGTACTTCTCTAGATGTTGGAGGGATTCTTGGGGTGCATTGGATATAAAAGAGCGGAGGGATGATAGCTCTGTATTGGGTGTGCCGGATGAGAGAGGATCTAGATTGGCAGGGGAGTTGGTTTGGGAACCCGAAGCATTCGAGGTACAAGGTAACTTACTAAGACCGTAGCTGGATAGTGTCTCTAGGAGTTTTGGGCGAGCTGGTTTGGCGGGTGATGAGGCTTGGTTTGACTTTCCGACTTTGGCGTCCTTTGCGTTTCGTGACTTCCCTTTCGGGGACTTTGCAGCAGTTATGTTCAAGGTAACGCAAGATACCTCTGAATCTGATCCATGATCTTCTTTCACCTTCTTTTGTGCATGAGACTTGGTCTTCGGATTTAGGTCGAGGGTTTCCGAATCCTCGGACTCTGGATCATCCCCTGGGTCAGGTGTTGGTTCTGGCTTCTTCGTAGTATACGTCTTAGGCTTCTTCCTATTCTTTGCAGTGGTGGTTTTCGAGACCAAACCTGACGCAGTATCTGATACACCCTTTGAAGGGCCCGATCCGTAGTTCCTCTGGGAGGCATAGGCTGTTCTCGAAGCACCTGGTGGCCGAGCATGAAGATTGGGGGTGGGTTCAATTAATGGTCTCTTCACAGGGCGATGCTCGAAACCAAAAGGGCTGAAGAGACGCCCGACCTCTTCCGCAGATCTCTTTCCCACCGAGCCATGTGAGTCCTGTCCCTTGTTCCCCTTCTTACTCCCTCCGGTTTCCTCTCTGGTAGCGCTCGTGCTCCGTTCCTTGTCTTCTAACCCTGCTGTAAAGGACCCTGGCTGTGGCGGATGGAACTTCTTCGCCTGCAGCTTCTTCGTTGGCTGCTTTCTGCTTCTTCTCGGAGGTTCCTCAATCATTTGTGTAACCCTTGCCGGTTTCTTCTCCACGTTCGGCTTTGGTGATCGCGCATGCTTAGGTGATGGAACTCGCTCATCGTCTGAGGAAACCGGGCTCTTACTAAAGTCCTCATCCATCCCGACCGCGAGTGTTGTAGGCGCCGGTTGCTGCTCATCGCTTGAGGACTCTGGACTCCGCGTGGTGTCCTCCTCGTTCATTGCCATGGCAGGAACCACATGCGTGCTATTATATGCCGTCTCCTCATGATCCTCAGCACCCGCATGCGGCTTCCCACCAACCATATGTAACAACTTCGCATGTGGCCCCCTTCGTGATATCCCAAGTGACCGCATTATGGAAGGTAGCGACGCTTTTGATGTTGTGGTGAGTACTCGTGTGCCACCAGACCGCCGCTACCGGCATATACAGGTCCTGGGTCTCGACGTATAATCCGGTATCTCGGTCGTCAAAACCCTCGTCTACCTCTTCCGCACACCATTCAAAGATCCTCAGAACGGGTTACTCTTGCATCTACAATACCTCTGCAATGCATTCTACTTGCCAATCTCTTTAACTCAAACCCCTCCCAGTATGAACCCTCTATCAATCAGTACTCAGTTGATAGCTCTTCAATATATGTTCTATATATCTACTAGTTATTCAACATCTTTTTGACATCTTTCGAATCGTTTCCGAGTCGCGCTCCGAGGACGAAATTGGTGGGCGAGACTGAGAATTGGCCGACTAAAAGGGGAGAGAAAGCTAGAAGTTTCGAGGGGACGTGTGTGTACGGTGAGGTGAAAATGCTTGCGTAGAATTGATGGGGGGTGAAAACATTTGTCGACCTTAACCTCGACGCGACCAAGAGACACGGGCAGCCCCAGTCAGCGGGAAGGCGTGTCTGTGCTCCGATCAACCGACTTCCGAAGTCATGTGGAACGCCCCATCCAGCCAATTCACTTTGTCCCCACTCCAAAGATCGAGCAAATACCGCAATTCTTATTCGTGGCTCAATTTCGTGATTATCAAAGGGTGTTACGTGAACCATCGAATTCATGACACTTAGAGGTCTGGATGGTGTGCGTGAACCATCCATTCACTTAGTACCAGTGACTGTACGCGGCACGATGGGCCCAAAGTCTGAAGCATTACCAAAGTAGGAATTCTAATTGGGGTATATCTCTCTTTTCTTCCTTCTTTCCTCAAACTTCCTCTTCCTTCGCACCCGCGATCTACTCCCTTCCCCTCGAGACCTCACCTACGCAACCTTCCTCCCAACATTCCCAACCCCCCTCCCAACAACACTGACCACAATACCCTCGCTGCCATCCCCTTTCTCCCCCATTACATCCCTCAGCCCCCAGCTGCTCGCCCCAAACGCGACCAAATCCCTCCCAAGCTGCACAACCTCCTCACTCCCCACAACATCCCTCCCCATCTGCAACCTGCCCACATCCTCACTCCCCATAGCCATGAGTATCAACATAGTAGACGCAGCTACCTTACTCGCACACCCACCCTGCGATATAACCTCGAGAAGCTGATACGCGCATTGCTTGCCGATATCTTCGGGGGGCGTACCACCTTCAGGGGGAGACGCCAGGTCTGCGGAGTAGAGACACCCCGTCGAAGATTCTGCTACTAGGCTTATGCCAAAGCCTATTCCCGCTTTCCTCTTAATAGAGGGGTTCGTCTTGTCCTTATTTGATATCAAGGGTGCACTGGAGACGTCGGAGAAGATGTACGTGTCTGGAACGAAGGCGTTCAAGACTCCACGAGCGGTGTCGATCATGCGCGCGTTGTTCGATCCCGATACACCGACTGCATATGCTACACCTCTTATCCTCTTGACGCGCCCTGGGTTAAGTAGATGCAGAGTCTTGGGCAATCGGACTTGGTGTCCAAACACGAGCTGCACTTCTCCACCCTCCGCCCCCGCCTTCGCCGCACACGATCGTTTCAGCACGCGTAGTTCGATATTGCGGTCGATACCAAAGCTTTTGTATATCGGAAGAATCGCCGTGCGCACTGAGTCCACAGAAACATCTCCAGATGGTGTTGCAGAAGTCACCACGCCCTCTCCATAGAACACCACATTGACCTGTGATTTCGCAAATGGCGCGAGAATGCAGAGGGGAATTAGCCACCAGCTCACACCTCGCATACCACATTCTTTGCCTAGGACGTGCCGTATGACGCCGCCGCTTGCTCCCAAGCCCTCTGCACTGCCGGTGATTAGACCGGGTCGGTATACGAGTGTGGTCCCTGTCATGGAGAATTCCGTTGTGGAGCCATTAGTAATACTATCTAGGAGACGCAGGAGATTTACTTCGGGGGGGGCGAGACCGGGATGTGTGGGTGATGAGGAGCGAATTTGGGAGATTTTGATCGGGCGGCCTGTGAGGGTGGAGAGGATGAGCCGGGTGGTGAGGTGGCGGTGGCCTGTGAATTTGAGAAGTGGCTGAGATGCTTCGTCTGCCATATTGGAAGTGAGGCCTTGCGGCAGAGTTGTACAGCACTGTAACCGTTTGTTGAGAATATAAGGGAGCCCAAGGTGGGTGGTTGGTCTGCGACCGTCGTGGGCGTCTTGGAGGAGAGGAGGAGATTTCAGTCTAGAAGAGAATCAAGGACATTCCAAGGGCAAAGTGGGCAACAACACCAAAAGGCTGAAGGATGAGGAATTGGGGGAACATTTGCTAATTGTGGGGTTCTGTTGATTTCAAGACGAACTTTTTCTGCCGGACCTTGGAATGCGGTGAGACTAGCATGCACCGCCCAATCCCCACAATCCCACATCCGCGTGGCGTTCATTCGATCCACCTCGCGAACCAGCGAGCAGTGGCCATTTCTTCAAGAGCAAAAAGAAATCAATCGTGTATTCACGCGCATTTAAAAAAAAAAGCCTCCCTGTGATAGCAATATACAGGACACTAACGAACGCCTCCACTACCCAGTCTACCTCCTCCCCTGTGACGAACTCCCACTACTTCCTCCTGCATCGCTTCCCTCCCCGATCCCATTCTTCTCATCATAGACCTTCTCATCCCGATCTGTATATGGATGATCCTCGGTCTCGCTGTCACTCAGCAAATCTTCATCGCTTTCTCCTGCAAACGCATCGTACAATTCACCACCTCTCCTCGCCCTCCTCTTATTATTACCGCCGGCACCTGCAGCCAACATGCCCGTCCGCACACCACCTTCTTCATCTTCAGCATCATCGAGGATCTCGAATTCGTAGTCATCACGTGATGATTGGAGACGCTTGCGTCGTGCGAGGTAGAAGTAGATAGCTAGACTAGCGCAGAAAACAAGGATCAGTCCTATGCTCCCATAAATCCAAATTTGGGTGCGTTTAGACACACCAAACGTAGGGAAGGGAGAAGGAAGGAAGCTCTCTGGCACGCTGCTTGCAGAGGGAGTCGAGGTTGCTGAGATGGGGGTTTCAAAAGCTGTGGTAGAAGCGGGTTCATCTGTGGTGGTAGGCTTGGGCTTTTGGTTTACGGGACGATCTGGGTGGTCGGAGGGGTTGGCAGTGATGGCTGCGGCATTTGTAGGGACACTGATGGCCGTCGTGTGGGCAGGGACGCTGGTAATCGCATCGTGATCGTCGTCGTCATGCGCACCGGGCATGGGTCGAAGTGGTTGGGTCGAAGCATCGATGCATTCTCCCCAAAGGCGCAGCTTCCAATCTGTAAAAGTACCGCTATGCTCGTTGACCTTGGTATCCTTAACAATGACAGTCCACTTTCCGATACCCTTCTCGCCCCAGTGAGCAACACTCATAAAGGTCCAGTCGAGGTAGCCTGCTGGGAACTCGTCGTCACGGCGGGCTGTGGAGAGGTGGCTGGTCATGCCATCGGGACTGATTAGTTCAACGCTGACATCTCCACGACGGGTGTGGGCGACGTTCATGGTCAGGGTGATGTGCTCAACGCGCTCGAAGTTTGCGCTCTTGAGCATCTGCTCTGTGACCTCGAATGTGCTGGCAAGGCCTTGATCACCTTGGGGAATCTCCTTCTTGACATGCATCCAAGGCGAGTAGAACCAAGCTTGCGGTTTGACCAGCTTCCACGTCTTGGCTGCTTCTACCATTGCATATGCATCGAGTTTGCCATAGCCAAACTGATGACTGAACATCTTTCCAAGGGTTGTCTTTGTCCAGTCGCTGGGTTGGTCAAAGGGCACAGCGGTCATGACGGTGAGCCATTGAAGGTCACGCCAGGTCAGTTCTGGCCGCGCTTGAAGAACGAGTGCGAATGTCCCTACTCCAATGGGGCCCGCAGCAGAGGTACCTCCATGCTGGGAGGTACACTTGTTGGCTCCTACATCAGTAGTGTGGATTGCATCACCGCCGCCGCTGCTGTAGGTCACAACGAGCTGTGCGGAGCAAGCCTCAGAATAATACGGATGCTTGTTGTTCTTGTCGATGGCTCCGACTGTGATGCTGTAGATACTGTTGGTGTATCCGTCAAAGTTGCAATTGTCATCACTAGCAGCACCATTGCCCGCCGCAAAGACGTAGATGGAGCCTTTGCCGCCGCGGCCCTGTTGAACAGCCGTGATCATGGCCTTCTCAATGAGCAGACCCGGAGCTTGCATGGTCTTTCCATCATCCGGAGGACCCCAGGAACAAGAGTAGATATCGTTCTTCTGCAGTTCGTAGTTGATGGCAAGTGACTCGTCCATGTCTGTGATGTCGCCGGACAAGATTCGGACGCCAGAGATCTTCGAGTCGTAGGCGATGCCGACTCCACAGGCATTGTTCCTCCCAGCCGCGACTTCTCCAGCACAACGCGTTCCGTGTCGGTCGTCTGATAGACGCGGTTTCGGTAGGTCGACGTGGTCATTGAAGTCGTATGATCCTTCAGCAAAAAAGTTGTCCTTCAAATCTTCGCTATCCATGTCCAAGCCATCATCAACGATGCATGCGGTGACGTTCTTGCCGGTGATGCCCTGCATCCACACATCTGTGACGTTCAAGTCGTTCCCGGGCGTTTTCACGTTAAAAATGTGCCATTGTTCCTCGAAAATCGGATCCTTGATCTCGAGGGCGCGGGCGATTTCTCGCTGCGTATTGACGGCATCGGTGACTGGAGGACCAGCTCGCGAGACTTCTGGGATGGCATTTCGCTTCCAGTGCCTGGGCTTTATCCTCTGCTTCTGGGCAAAGCGGATGCTGTCCAAGGGGTGTGACTCCAGGCCGACCTCCCTCTTCCGCCGCCTCCTCTTCAAGTCCTGTACTGCATCGCCCACCAGATCGTTGCTGTGCTTCGGAGCCTTGAAGACGTGGTGGTCTTCGAGGGAGCCCAATTCGCCCTCATACGTGAGCCCGAGATGGGCCGCCAAGTCAGCCGGAGAGGTAGACGAGCAGAGATGGATGGCATAGTAGTCGTGGGTGGCGTAATTCCGAGGTGGGAGATGAGCTGCGGCCAAGGACGCTACGGACAACAGCCCCCAGAGGTTGGGAATGCGCATGGCGAGACGCTTCACGAGGAAGTCGAGGGGAGGCAGGAGCGGGCCTTCACCATGTGTCAAAGGAATATTGGGGGCTATTTGGAAGGGAGCAGGGTCAAGAACAAGGGAGCGCAGCGGAATGTGCCTGGAGTAGCGATCGTAGCCTTTGGGTTAGAACGGCGGCTAGTGTGGGTGTGTGTGGGTGCAGTGCGGGAGCGGTGGACGAGATGCCTAACAGCTGGGAGCCTTGGAAGGAAGAGGTGGAGGGTTACGATTCGGGTAATAATTTAGGATGCATCGACGGGGCTGCTGACACCACTACTGAAGAAAGGAGATAGAGATGGGGAGTGGAGTGAATGGACGGCGACGAAGAGGCGTCGAGCGGGTGCGGGTGTGGGTGTAGTGGACGATGGGAGTTCCAAGGTTGAAACGTGCTGTGTCGGTGAAAGGACAGCAATGGAGGCCACATCCATCTCTTGAGGCTTTGGCCTGCCGTGTCTGGACTAGCACCAGAGGCAGGCAGAACGGGCAGGCGGTGTGGATGCGCCAGGGACCAGCGGCGAGAGGCCAGCCCTGCCAGCCAGAAATTCGGTGGGCTGGGCGAACCAACCTCGCGGACAACGCATCACCTTTCGCACACCAATATCACCATGCCCCCCATGCATCGCATTCCTCCCTTCTTCCATGTACATACTCCCGTTTCGCAGTTGCGCAATTGATTCCTTGCGTTGAAGCGCTTTCTTGCATCCACCCGTTGCCCGCGCCACTGCCTCCTTTCCCATCACTCCTCCCCATACTCCGCCGCTGCCCCTGCCTGTCTATTTTAGGAAGCCCTCGCATCTCATACAGTACACCATTGCCGTCGTGTCGAAGTAGTCTTGTCCAAACGGTGCATCCCCTCTATTCGTCCGGACGCCGTGAACCCTCCTGTGACCCTGGTCCCAGCCTTTGCCAGCATCCACTCCACTCTTTGCGCGCCATCGGGTCTTGGCTAAGAGCTATATGAAGCATCTTTAAAAAAACATCCATATGAAGCATCTATATAATGGAGAACCGCAGGAATAGTGGATCTTACGCGTCGCGCATAGCAAATCCTCCCCCCCAGCCCGTCCCCGAAGGCTATCCGCAAAAGCGAAACTCATACCGACGACCTTCTGACCTGCAGCCCACGCGCGCACAGAACGATCTCCCCGCTCCCTCCAATGCCGTAGCCAGTAACACGGCGCGACCCGTAGTGGCTACCTTTGGCCAAAATGGAGTGGCTCGAGTCTCGTCCCATCGACGGCGACAGAGCCAGCACATACCCCCCCCAACTTCAGGCGCTGTACCTGAACCTCTCCCTGCCGCGCCTGATGCCCCCCGAGGACCCCCTCCTACAGCATACCGAGACCCGTATGCTCCCAAGGGAAGCGCTCGATCCCACGTGCCTACTAGGACCTACTCCGGGCGGTCTCGAGATCCCACCATTCACCTCAACGCAAGCAGACAACAGCCCAACATTCAGCTTCCGTCGCAAAGGCTGCAAGAGCTTCGTGGCCCCCCATTTTCTCCCACCGAGCCAATGTCGGCCACGGTTGAAGGGGTCGCGAGAAGAGACTCGCAGGCGCGCAGACCTTCCGTTCCAGACCGGTCGCCACTGCAGAAGTTGGAGGGGAAGCTGGACGACATCAGCAAAGAGGAGAGACGCGCCAGAATGCTGGAGGCAGAACTTGCCGCCCAGGAAAAGGCCGAGGCTGAAAGTGCGGCTCGAAGAGTTCGTGAAGCCGCAGCGAAGCAGCAGCGGAATGTGTCAGGGCCCGTTCAAGGATCGGAAAGGACCAGGCATGCGCCTGCCCGTACGGTGAGTACCAGACGTCATGCATCGATGCCAACGCAAGGCCCGCCCAAATCGCCAGAACTGGATGATGGACCCGCCATGTACGACTTGACTGAACCATGGGATCCTACGGCACCCCGATCCACAGCTCCTCCACAACCTCGAGATCTACGTTATCATTCTAGTGTCGCCTCATCCGGATCTCAACGCCAGAATAAGAGATTGTCTCACGTGGACGGAACCGTCGGTCGCACGCCAAGCACAAAAGGCAAAGAGCCCGTTGGGGTCAATCGAGGATCGAGTTTCCGCGACCCTACTGCCGCCACCCGAGGGTTAGATGGGCCCGGCCCTAACGCCCAACTGGTTGAGAGGAAGCCAGTCCCAGTACCCACTGGACTGGGCCTGTATGGGATGAATGATGGCCCGAATGCGTCTAGGCCATCAGGTGCTGGAATTGGACGCCATGATAGCCAAAGACTGTCAAAGGAGCTTCCTCCAACCCCGCATGGCTCCTTGGGTGGGACGGAAAGGCGAAGGGACAGTAGGGGCATCATGGCAGCACAAATGGAGATGGAGCAACAACGACTCGAGCAGAAACAAGGGACAAGAGGAGTCAGTTCTCCACAGCCACTGGGTGCACCAGTGCCAAATGCGCCACCAATTACCTCTGCTGCAACACGTGGTACCCGCGTTGGTTTCGCGCCTTCAGTGCCAGAACCACACCCGCAGGACTCACAGGAATCCCATCATCATCATCTATCCGATCTCCTCGGACACCAAAAAGAGCCCGATAGAAGATATATCGCACCCCCAATGCTTGACGAATGGAAAAATGCCCCTGTCGCGACCCTTTCTGAGGAGGACCTTGATCTGGATGCTCCAGACCGGTTGGACAGCACGAAGAAAGCCTGGTGGGAGGAGAGTTCCTTGACACATCGGCGAAGATCCAGTGCCTATGCTCAAGGGATAACTACCTATGATGGCTACGTTGATGAGCCATCCGGCCAAACATCGTTCAACCCCCCATTGTACCTCAAGTGTGGACCTCTTCTGCGCTACACTGGCATCCGCAGAGACAGAAGCAGAGGGGCAAAGGAACGAGAGATCTGGAGAGGGAGCATTATGATCGTGACCGAGGATCCGAAATCGTCGTATGAAAAACCGCCTACCCTCCGGTTATTCAAACAGCCCATGGACCTACTACCTCCACCTCCAGCCGAAGTAGATGCGGACGAACAACATCTCAACCCAGCATATGTTGACCCGATTGAAGGAGAAATAAAGGTATCTCGTTCTGGGAAGACGCTGTACGTAAAGCCTATCGAGGAAATTGTTGAAGGAGAGGATTTGTCCATGGTCGAAGACGACAGCGGTCTGTTCCAAGAGTCAAGGATCACGTCCGATCTCCATGCACCCAATTCTCGAAAGACTTCCCGGATCCGTAGGAAGGATGGAGAAAAGGTCGGCAAGGTTAAAGAGATACCAGGTGTCCGACTACACGCCGAACGAGGAGTCACCTTCTGGCGCTTCAATCTCGAAATCGAACTAGGATCTGTACAATCGCGCGTCGCCTACAGAATCAACCGTGGGCCTGCCATCGGCTTCTGGGTTCCTGCAAAAGGCGAGATGATGAACATCATGTTCCACAGCTGCAATGGTTTCTCTTTAAGTGTCGACCCGAAGGAGTTCTGCGGACCCGACCCGTTATGGCGAGATGTACTGAACAACCACCAGACTCGGCCCTTCCACGTTATGATTGGCGGAGGCGATCAAATTTATAATGATGCTGCAATGAGGCAGACCACAATTTTCAAGGCGTGGACCGAGAGTCGGAATCCGCTACAGAAGCATTCGACCCCGTTTTCTACTGAAATGCAACTTGAGCTTGAGCAATTCTATCTCGATCGGTATTCTATGTGGTTCTCTCAAGGTTTGTTCGGAATGGCCAACTCCCAGATCCCAATGATCAATATTTGGGATGATCATGATATTATTGATGTAAGTGAAGATGCACACGTACTTGTAAACGTACAGCTAACGTTGATTAGGGCTATGGATCGTATCCCCACCATTTCATGGAAACAGCTGTTTTCACTGGCCTTGGGGCCATCGCTTTCAAATACTACATGCTCTTCCAACATCAATCGGTCGTTGCTGAGACGGAGAAGACGGAGCCTTCGTGGGCTCTTGGCGCCCATCCAGGACCGTACATCAAAGAACAGTCCCGCAGTGTGTTCATGTTTCTTGGACGCCCAATAGCTTTCCTCGGCCTCGACTGCCGCACCGAGCGCCAGCGTGACGAAATTATGACTGAAGACTCATACGACGTAATCTTTGACCGCCTTGAAGCCGAAATCATTAAAGGAGAAACGAAGCACTTGCTCGTGCTGCTCGGCGTGCCGATCGCCTATCCTAGGCTCAACTTTTTGGAAAACCTTCTTACAAGCAGGTTGATGGACCCTATCAAAGCGCTCGGACGAGCAGGACTCCTCGGCAACTTCGTCAACAAGTTCGACGGTGGAGTTGAGATATTGGACGACCTTGACGACCATTGGACAGCAAAACACCACAAAGAGGAACGGAACTGGTTTATCCGCGAGTTGCAGCACATCGCCTCGACCAAGTCTGTTAGAGTAACTATATTAGGAGGCGACGTCCACCTCGCAGCAGTCGGCCAATTCTTCACGAACAAGAAGCTCAATATTCCGAAGGACAAGGACCATCGGTATATGCCGAACATTATTAGCTCCGCAATCGTGAATACACCGCCACCTGAAATGATGGCGGATATTCTGAACAAACGGAACAAGATACACCACCTTGACCCGTTCACAGACGAAGACATGATTCCTCTCTTCACTCACGATGTCGATGGCAAGAAGAGGAACAACACTCATTTACTGCCCCGCCGAAACTGGTGTAGCCTACGAGAATACAGACCGGGCCACACGCCTACTTCAACCCCATCTCCTCCACCATCGCCAGGTGCAGAAAGAGCCCCGGGGCTCCCTACAGCGCTTTCAGACTACACACCCGGCCAAATGGTTCGAAGATTGAGTAATACTGGACGGCGAGGCCGAGATCGTGGACCTCCTGTAGCCTACCACAACAACCCAGCCTACGCCGCCGCCGAGGAAGCTCAAATCCCCCAATCGTCCTTCTCCCCAGAACGCCCTCGATCTCGTCGCAACTCTCTAACCAGTCTCTTTCGTCGTCGCGGTTCCGTGGATTCGATCAACCCACCCGGGTCTGCGCATAGCCTGCCTAACCCTCGGAACCGGAATTCATTCGCCGCCTCAAACCGTGATCCCAGCATCTCTACGGAACCCCCGAACCCCTTCCAGCGGCGTCCGAGTGTTCTAGGCAAAAATGGTATGAAGAGAGAAGGCGCATATATCAATCTAGAAGATGGACTTGATATATGTCTCAACCTAGAGGTCTCTCAAAAAGACCCCTCAGGCATAACTACGCCGTACCGTCTTCTTATCCCCGCTCTCCACTACACTGAGCCAGACGCAGGGGTCATTCAAAAGCAACGTCGGAAGACCCGAATTGGCAGCGTTTTCAGTGTATTCGGCGGTGGTCGAAAACACCGGACCGTTGGTGACGACGGCTACTCTCATTCTGGCAGCGACCTGGATGAAAGGTCTGATGACTCAGGTGATTTGGGAGAGGTAGATGACGAGGAGCGCACAAGACAGAGGTACAAAGTCGGACCGCGCATTCTCATTCCCGGCATATCTAAAAAACGCACACCCAGTGTCTCCACAGCCTATACTAACGTGCCCACCCCAGCAGAGGCAATCGCAGCAGACCGCGCCGTCAGCGCACAGAGACACGAAGAAACGCTAAACAGACTTGTCTCTGCTTCCACCGCCACGCCAGACCGTCACGCTTCCGCTCCCCTCACATCAGGCCTCCACACGCGCTCAGTGCAACAGCATACAGTTTCCCAATCTCAAGCCCATCCTCCCAGCCTCACCCCCGGCTACCCTCCACAACCCACGCGCAAACCAGTCGGCAGTCATAACTCCAGCCACAAATCACAACTCCCCGCTGCAGCTATGAATCCCACGCCGAAACTCCCGCCTCCAGTGCCCGAACCAAAGGCCCAGAGGCGCAGCATGGGCGGCATCCTTGGACACCACCGCGGCGAACACTTCGAGCATGAAGCCCACACTCTAGCGCACACCCCCAGTACATCGCACCCCACTCCCCGACAAAAGAAACGCGAATCATATCCCCCGCATCCCGCGATCGTAGGTGGGGGACCTGGAAGCCCTTACGCGAAGCCCGGCGGGAAGTATGATACAAGCGGGAGTGGAGACCGGAGCGGTGGGGATTACTTTTCTGGTGGCGGGAGGACTGGAAATGCAGGGGTTGGTGCGAGGTATCTAGGTGGGGGACGATATGCCGATGATGAGGATGAGGGTGTGAGTGATGATGGGAGGCACGCTTATAGTGACGAGGAGGGGGAGTCTGTGCATAGTTTTGCCCCTCCAAAGCCGAAAAGTAGGTGGAAGATTTGGCGGTAGGGGAGGCTCTTCAAAATAGCATCACAGATTCGTAGGCTTGATGGATATTGAAGATGGATTGTATTAGGTACGGATTCGTAGAAAAAGGTGGGGATATTCGGATCCGACAAAACTGGACAGGACTGGACAAGCGGTTGCATTTGGATAGACCAGCATAGCATAGGACAGCCAGCATTCAGGGGAACATAGTAATGAAACTTGAGGGCGGGTTTTAGCAAAACTTTGGAATATTGTATTGCATCTTGTGTAGCGTTTTCTCTTTCCTTGTTTTCTTGCTTAGCTTGTAGAAATAATGAACTTAATAAGTGGAGTGAGCTCCTTCACCAGCGTTGAACGACTTCAAGTGCAAATAAACTTCACAACGCAAAAAAGTAATTAATTTAACTACTGTCTACAATTTGTAGTTCAACCTAAAGTAATATCTGCATCATTTTCACACGTACAAATATTCGTTCTGTTTCTTTGCACCAGCCTTAGACAAAGCTGTTAGAGATAGTCGAGGTACATATTCCAACAAATTATTATTAGGTAAATTCTACAATTGACTTCCAGTCCTCCCCAATATATCCATTTCCAAAGCTAGAAGGTGCTCGCAGGATATGTCGCTCTCTCCTCCTGATGCTGTACTCTTCCCTCAGTGATTCAGAATATAGGGGTACATGTGATAGAATCGGATGACACCAAGTCATATCTATTGTCAGATTCGGGCACGAGAAAACGATTGTATATTTCAGGTCGTGAAGAAGACCTGGTCCCTCTTCCATACTTGTAAGCCGTTATTGCACTAAACTTGGAGGCTGAGGAAGAAGTAGAACGATAATGCGCTTTGCTTGTATTAACTTAACTACTAGGAATGAGAGGTGAAGGCTAATCATGCAAGCAAACAGACCCCTACTAGTTCCAGTCTGCGGTTTTCGAATAACGAGGAATCTAATGGAAGATTAAGCCTCAGGGAAACACATATTATGCGGTTCTTCTGGATTGTGAGAAAAGCGGATGTACTGTGGAAGCGTTCGGACTCGTAAAGGGGATTCGAGAGGTCAAGAAACCGCCGGCAACACATTTGATGAAATTATCCCAATTTTGACGCAAGGAATTCGTTCTAGAAACTCACCGCGGTTCCCAAGGCAGGTGGTAGTTGAAGCGCGGATATGTGGTAAGAGTATGGCTGCTCTGTTGAACTAAACAAACAATATGCCTCATAGAGTTTCCATCTCCGAAGGATCCGCATTGTGCATTTCGTTAGAAATTTCAACCCTTTTCTCTGGGTCGCGGGGCGGGCAGCGACGGAAAGAGAAGAGAGTCCCCCTTGATAAGATAGTTTTTTGCGATGAGGATTCTATCCCGGAAGAGAAAAGGCCGGGGAAGTAAACGCATGCTCTTTCTCCATATATTTCTTGAGTCCAGGACTATTGAAACTCTTCCACAGGCGTTATCTATAAAAGGGATTTGACTATCTCCAAACAGCCATCTTTACACTGTAAAAAAAAATCTTTCCCAGAAGGGAGAGAAGGGCCCTGCTAGAGTCCTCGTAGACCTCGCTCAACGTATTTTTTGAGCCCACGATCACCAAAGCTCTTTTTACTAAATTTATCGTGAGCGCCTCTAGAGGGGGGCTCGAAAACTACTACCATATCTTCGACTGCCTAACTTTATTCTCAAGAGAAAACCCTGGCGGAAGTAATCACAAGTGCCGCTTCATTGGGGATTTTCGAGGGCAGGAAATAAAGACAAGCTGTGGGACATTTTTTTAAGGCAGGCCTCATATCCCTCGGGTGGTAAGGAAGAAAGAAGGGAGGAAACTCCAGAGGCGGAGGAGCAGTGTTTAGATACTTCTTCCTGGCACTTCCTTACAGGTCCACTTCAATAATGGCCGTATACTGGTGAGAGACTTTCAACGAGTAAAAGGCTGTTTGTAAACGCTACAGAGCGGACCCGTGATGTCTTGAGTGGAAACGATACTCCTTTGATACACTGCACGATGGTCATTCTAAGAATCATGAAAGAGGGGGTTACATACGGCAGTCATCGAACATCGCACATCGCTTGTTTGCGTTGTAAATACGATAGAGATATGTGGGCGTGGCGCTATGTAGGAGAAGATGCCACGACACATGGAGAGAGATTTGGACGATTCGTAGTAGGACTAAAAGGGCAGACCTTACTTAACATGACATATAAAGAACACTACGTCTGTAGCTGGCATGCATTGGCGTTCCAATTACGTGCGTTAATACAACCTTGAAGTCCCCTCACTTTTGCTTCAACACCAAATAATATACAGGGCTTCCACAGTCGCTATCATCATGACTGAAATCCACAACAGGCACACATCTCAAGAGAGGACGGGCCTGAACTTAATGCACGTTACGAACACCATCAACACCCGAATAAACGCCCCGAGCCAACAAACCCCGGCTGATCATCCAGAATGGACGCTCAGGTCTAAAAGTATAGAAAAGGGTATACTTGATATGTAGAGTAGAATCCTCAAAACTCACGTTTCTGTTGTGTTGTACGCATCTTTACGTTTTCTGCACCCCACTCTCCCTCTTCTGCCGTCTCCGTTTCCGCGCATGATCCCTCAGTGCCTCAGGCGTAAGATACTCTTCTGGGGGTTCAAACTCATGTTCTTCGAATTCTGGTATCGGCTGTCCAAATGCACTTGCATTTCTGCCATGGCGATGTTTGCCAAGCGCAGTTGCCCGCAGGTGAGGTTTAGCGTAGAAGGATGTAAAAGGTGTCGTAGGCTCCGGCGGCAGAAGAAGCAAAAATCCTTGTGGTCTGGGAGGTCGCCGCGGTTTAGGAGGGGGGGCTTCTTTCTCACGCTGGTGCTGCTCTGAAATCCTAGTAGAGTCTACACCATTAGGGCTAACGACGTCAGAATCTTCATCTTCGTCTTCGTCGTCGTCGTCCTCACCCTCCTCACGAGCAGCAAGGGCGGCTTCCTTCTCAGCCCGCAGACGCTTCTCCTCTTCCTTCCATATCCGGAATTTGTCCACCAATGCCTCGACTTCTTTGACGAAGTAGTCCCGCTTCGGCTCCCAGTCTTTCCGCTCACCGTCCGTGACGCCGGTTATGCCCATTACTTTGAGCCAGTCTGGCCCCTGCAGCCCGTCGAGTAGCCGCTCGAGCTGCACTTTTTCATGCATGGCACGCTCTTTTTCAATATTGCGAAGCTGTTTCTCTTTGCGTTCGGCCCGGCGGTGTTGGATGAGGTAGACCGGGTCAGCGAGAGGGTCTTCTTCATTATCGCTGCGGAGGTGGCGGGCTATGGTGGAGTAGTCGAGGACTTGGAAGGTGGTTGAGGCCTGCGAGGAATGCAGAGGGGCCGGATAGACGACATTTTGGGGAGTGCGGGCTCGAGACTTCCGAGACCGGTTGGGACTGGCAGAAGGGCGTGATGGCGTGGATGTGGCTAGCTCAGAGGGTTTGGTGGTCTTGAGAGGCTCATCGACAACGTAGATTGGTGTTTCGAGATCGAGGAACTCTGTAGTAGTCAGACTCCACCCCAATTGCAATGCCGTGTACAGAAGGAGCATACCTGGGGGCTGAGGCACATCCGCAATGATATCGTCATAGTTCGAAAAGTAGATGGATAGGTCGCTCTTTAGCCGCGACCCGCCGTCCTGACTGCGTAGGCTCCTCTTGTCCTGTGTCTGCGTCGTCTGTGTAGCCGCTGACTGCACTGGGACGGTGAGACCTGCTACTACTACTGCGGCCCCAATCCCGTTTGCCGCCTTGGGGGTCGATACACCAGAAGGATGCTCATCCTCACCGATGCCCAGCTTAGTCGGGACTCCGTTGGTGACTTGCAGCAGCTTGCCATGTGGTTGTGTCACTGTGACTTTGGTCGGGGGTCTCGTGTCGGCTATCGTGGTTGTCGCGTCAGCACTCAAGGCCGCTGTTGGCCTCTTCCTCGAGTTCGCCCTCGCGAGCGGCGCCGGTACAGCCTTGCCCAATGTCGCAGCCGGCGTGACAATTGCTGCGGGTGCAGGCTCGTCATTAAGGGCGACCAGCGGCGCGCCTCTCGACGACCGGCGCGTCGAGACGGCCGTATTGTTGTGCTGCGTGTGGGTGCTGTTCTCGTCGGTCGTGGCAGGCGACTTGCCTTGCCTCCCGCGCCGCTCAGTAGAAGAGCGCAGAGGAGGCCGTGACAGATTGGCCATGGTGAGCATCGCTATATTCGCTGTCCTCGCGGGCTCATCATTTCCTCACAATTAGCGCAGGGAATCGGCCATTGAGAGGTCGTGATTCCGTGGTTGCGGCATGAACTGAAGGGTAAAGGGGGTGGTTCGTCTGGGCTGTTTTCTCAGGCGAAGCTGCCTTGGTGCGAGGTGCGCGCAGATGTGCATGCTGAGGCCTGGAGACGTCACAATTCAATTCAGATCCCTCGGACAGTCCAATTATCCAATTATTCTCTATACCAGAACATTCTTGAGGAAATAATTAGCGAATTAAATTTCGAGATTTCTTGAAGAGAGCCGGAGAACAACGCCACAGCCGGCGTGGGCCAATCATTTGCGCGGATGTGTTTTCCGAACTTCTTCACCTCAACGTCCGGATACCGTTCACTGAAGGATTGGCGATTGTCCGGTATGCTGATTGACGGGCCCTATGGCTTCTGCTCGCTATTGGTGGTATCATTCAAGCCTTTGATATTGTGTTAATCAATGGTCGACCCAGGGCCGTCATCCTGTAGCTCCTGTGCCCCGACAGTCTCAAGATTCCATAACTTTTGATAACGCTTCCGCACACCGCCTGGTCTTCTCCTTCATTCAGGTATAGATCCTAAAGAAAAGGTCTGTATTTATTCATGTCCAAGAAGTCCAATAATTATATATTCACAAGGAAGCCATTAAAATATGTACTTTCGTTCCACACTCATGAGAACAAAAACTCCTTCAAGACTGGCGATCCCGCAAACTCAGGGTTTAGCAGGATGCAGCTAAAAATAGTCAGCACGATAAATGCTAGCGTGGCCTTGAACAAGTTGTCGGAACGTACTTGAGGAAGTAGGACAGGCCGGCCTTCCGTCTTTCTAGAAACCTCGAACGAAAACGAGCTATTTGGGTCAATATCGATATCAAAGTGTGGTTCGGATCGGGCAGGTGGGGTGAGCTGGAGAATGGAGGGTGTATGGGCAGGTGACTTACATATGACTGATTTTGGCGGCAACGGAGGGATGGCTCCATCTGCATGCGGGAATGTCTCAACCAGCTTTTGCCGCAGCTCGTCGAACTCTGAAAACCTATGGACCTGTGAGCAACGGGGCGCTTGGCCGGCGAATCGTGATGATCTGCTCTTCTTACCTCTTCATTATTTTCATCGGGCCGCCCTGAGGCTCGTTAGTGCATATATATGAGAACACGGGTGGCATATTGAACAACACCACCCGTCATGCGGCTCGGAGAAACTCACATCTAGGGTCTCGACGGTGCAGTTCCACACGACGTAAGCTCCTAGACCTGGCGCGCTGCCGCTCACAATCACATAATCGTCAATAGATACATGTTTTGCCCACAGGGCCTTGCATTGCTCTGATCCTTCGTCGGTGTGATCTTCGAGAAGGATGGGCTGCGGGCGAGAGACGTTGTCTGTAGATGCGTAACTCAGACTACTGTCGCTTCTTTCATGGCGCTGCCAGAATGGCGGGATGATGCTGTTGCGCTCTGGCCGGACAGTGGCGGGCTTGGAGTCGCCCGCATCGTCTTGACCAGATGGCGGGCGGAGGTGGGTGACAGTTTCAGAGTCCGCAGACTCCATCCATCTAGTGGATTGAGTAGCCGGAAAGGCGGGTGGCGCGTCCAACAGAGAGGCCGTTTGAGCGCTGGTAGGGAGCGTTCTGGGTATGAGGGGTAGATATGGGATGTCGTGGTGCAGCGACGGCATGCAACAACGAGATATTTTAGTGTCGTTGAGGGTGAACGAGGTCAAAAATTACGTTGTTTCGATTCTCCGCAAAAGTACGGGCATTTGGAGACAGGGATCAGCCCATGCCCGATCTGAACCCTCGAAATATCGAAGGCCGGGGGTGCAGGCTGGGCAATGTGTGAGTGGGCAATTCACTCCTGGGGCGCTGGTCGGTCGACGGCGATCCCTGCTCCCGGCCGAGCTTGTCTGGCAGCCGAGAGCTCTGGGACCACAATTTTTAGACATTCACTCCGCAAAGACACGGTAAGCGGCCACAATGCCACGGTCCCGCCACAGGGAATGCACGCAGTACACCCTCAGCGGGCTCCAGCTGCGTCAAAACGAAACACTAGAGTAGGCTGGAATACTCGGCTCGCTGTAAGCCATGGCGTGCGCACGACCCGCGCGCAAGGAGTGACTGATCTCCACTAGCCCCCAGCCATCCCTGGTCTCCCTTTTATCAAGACGGGTGTCTGACCTTCTTCTTCCTCTGTCTACGCCCACACTCGCTTTGGGGAGAAACAGCAGCTTGGGAGACGACGAGACGTTACGTTTTCTTCTGATACATATTTCCCTTTGCTTAAATACTGTCGCTGTCCGTATACCTTTGTAATACTCCATACTCACGCTTCTTTCCGGGCTTGCTGCAACGCAAACCAGTCAAACCGTAGGTGCATGCCAGTCATTCCCCAGCCAACGCTGCACGGCGTCGGACTTTCCCACTGACCCCAAGAAGCTTCAAGCTGACCTCTTCACCGCAGTCAAGCCTCCTCCCCCAGGAAATCAATCACATCCTCATAATGCGTTCCATCATCGCCGCCTTTAGCCTGCTCGCAGTCGCCGGCTTCTCGAGAGCCCAGATTGACCCATCCACTGTTCCACTCTCCCTCAGAGGTAGTTGCCTGTGCCGAGACATGTGCGTGCTAGCTCTGACGTTTCCTAGATACCTGGTGTTTCAACCAGAAGACGCAATGCCCTCTTATCTGCACTCAGCAACCCGGCGTTAATGACCTCTCACCCGAATCAAATGAGTGTGACCCAGTAAGTTGCAAGCTCTATTACCGTCCCAAGGCACAAGAGGAGGCGGCCAATTCCATGTCTCAATATGCTATCCGCAAGGTTGAGCGGCACCACTTGCGTCGACCGAGTTTGACAGGCTAGCTCCTCGCTCTTCCCCCACAAACCTGTAGCCCCTTCCTCCTATACCTGTCGCCCTTTCCACGCTCCCTCGACCTCTACACCAACTCTTCACAAGCTGACAACACGACCAGGACACTCTTGTCTACTCCTGCGTCTGCTCCAACGGTGTCACCCCCAACGTCACCCAATACTCGCTCACCATCCCATACTACATCTGCACAGAGCAGGCCAATCAGTGCGTTACAGCTTGCGGACTGGGCAACAATGCCTGTTCCGATAACTGCCGGTATGTTTTCCCTCGACTCTTATTCCCCCCAATTCCCCAAACACGCGCTCATTCCAACCAAAGAACCCAACACCCCTGTGGCGCACAACACCCCAACCCACCCAACTCTTCCATCTCGACCACCATGCCCGCCACCTCCACACCAACAGCTTCAAGCACCAAGGTCCCTGTCAGCGGCTTCGGCGGCCCGGCTGCTACAACCGCAGCAGGTGGCAAGGGCGCTGCTTCGGCAATGCTCAACCTCGGACAGAGCTACGGCATGGCCGTCATCTTTGCCGGCGTGTTTGCCGGGTTCGCGATTATCTTGTAAAATTGATGAAAATGGATCTTTCCTGGGATTTTCGTTTCGACGACGTTTCAGCTACTACTCAGTCAGTTTTCACCCGGCTGTCTGTCTGTTAGTCATGCATGCATAGCGTTTGGTACTGCGTGTTTCGGTGCACCTACTATCCTTTCTATTCTGTCTTGGAATGTATCCCCTTATGGGCTCGTCGGTCCTTTCACTTTCACCTTAGATGCGAAGCAATTAATCGAGACTTTCAAGCGGATGCTTTGGAGCAAGAGATGGGAGAGATATGGGGTTTAGCGATTTAGGTTCTTGAGCACTGCGTGTGAAGGGGCCTATGGGTAAAAGTAATTCTAGTGAGTATAAGTATGTGTTGAAATGTAATAGGAGCACAGCAGAGGGGTTAAAGAGTTGATGTTGTTTGATGTTGAACGCTTGTCTCTGAAAATATCTACTGGCTTTGTCTCGATGTGATGTGATGTTAGCTCGAGGTGATACTGGCGGCGTCATGCCGTGCCAACGGTACTCGATCCTTTCCCGGGCGTGCTACTGTGGAGTCCATGGCTTGCAAGGACTGTAGCAACTCTCTGAATTCATCCATGCATTGCCATGTTAGGTGTTGGTAACTACCGCCACAGTAGTAGTTATCCGAACCTTGTACTCCCTACCCCAAACACTGTTCTTCATGACACAGGGGTATCCTACCCTTTTCCGATGGAAAAAGAAGTCTAGCCCAATCCTTGCGCCAAACCAGTTATCCATGCACAGCACACGGCCACCATCTAACGTTCCGCTAATATATGCAAGCCCAACGGTTGTAGAAAGCAAAAAAAAAGAAGAACTAGAATCAAAATCCAAGACTCCAAAACCTGATTCGGAACAAAAAGGAAAAACCTTTTGACTATTCCTGCCACCCACCCATTAACCAGAAATCTCTAAATTACGGCCTCTAGAATAGACTAGCTGCTCAAGAATTATTTCTGAAGTAAAAAGAGTGAGATACAAACTAAGACGCAACCGAACATAATAGAAAAAAGAACATCAAGCAGCACTTTCCAAGAAAATGTGACTTATGAGGAACGCTGATAGATAGGCCATGACATAAACGAGAGTGTTTTGGTATTTTATGCTGACAGATTTCCGACATCTGCATAGCAGAAACCCGGGTCTCCAGTATTCAAGGTCAAAATATTTCAAACTAGAACTTTGTAGGCAGGGTGGGCCACTGCCGCTAAACTACCAGGCGATACGCGAGTGTTCCATGTGGCAAAAGGTTAACCTTCCACCGTGCACAACAGAAGAATATATATATGCACATAGAAATGCACGCGCATCAACTTGAATACATGAACTTAGTGCAAATATTGAGATTTTCGACTACAGTACAACAATAAACGAAAGTAGTCTGCCAAATACTGGTGTGATATGGTTGTGATCCCTTCCCCTCCCTGTAAGAGGAATAGAAAAAAAAACCTGTTTTATTGAAAAGGAGATAGAAGTGAGTGTGAGTGTGGTTGGAATGATCATATGAAAGGATTAGGAAAAGAAAGGGGAGGAGGAAGAAAGAACGAAGGGTATCGAGTCATTTCCCCTTGTAACAAAGGTGAAAGGGATATGGTCTAGGTCTCCCCTGCGCCTTGACATGATTAATGGATAATATCGGTATGAAGGCCGGGCCGTCATATCTTCGAATGGGAGACGGAACACAAATATTCCACGCGGCTCCTTCCTTAGACTTTCGTGGTTTACCTATCTACCCGAGTCAATCTCCTCCCCCTCTCAGTCCTTGCCTCAAGCACAGAATCCCGGCCCGCATCACAACCACCAAACCCCCCCCTCACAGCCTCCACCTCCCAACTAAACTTAGCCTGCCTCTGCTCCAACTCATGTTTCTCGCCACCCACCTCTATCTTCTTGAACCCCAACCCATCATTCTGACTTGCATTATCCTTCGCTGTAATCTGTGCTTTGCTGCTGAGCGCTGGACTTCGGTTTCCCGCACTCGGACCCACCCTCCCTGACCCCCCAAAGCGCAACGGAATTGGAAGATGTATTGAAGAGTGCGTTGTGGAATGTGCGTTAATATGATGCGAACAGAGTGGATATCCCGGGTCGAGCAACGCCGTGTTTGAGTATGAGGGCGTTAGGGAAACAGGACTCGTTGTTGGGGAAGGGAGAGAAAGTGAAGCAGTGGAGCTATCGCACAACAGAGGTGCTAGCTCTGTGTCAAGAGGCGGCGACAGCGGGTATAATGGCGCGGGCTGTAAAGCCAGGAGACTCGGGCTACGAGATTGTTCGTCTAGGGGCGAAGCTCCGGGGCCGTTGTCGTCGTCTGTGGGAGGTATGTGTAATGGGATCATGGAGGAATTGGGCGAGGGGCTAAAGGTCGCATGAGGGATGTTTTGAAGCGAGAGGCTGTCGGAGCGTTGGTCGCTGTCGGGGAGCACGCCGAGGTTGTTGAATGAGGGGCTAAATGAGAGATTTGGTGCCGGGCCGAAGAGATCAGGATTTGAGATCGATACTGTGGACGACGTGATACTGGGTCGCCGTCTGCCGTTTGTAGGTACCTGAAAAGCTGGAGGTGGGCTAACTAGTGTCCGCGGAGAAGGTGCACGCGATGTGCGCCGATGATGCCTAGGGAATTGACATGGTTTTTTTCCCTTTCCGCACGCTCTGTTGAGGCTCCGGAAAGGACTGGAGAGGAAGGTTGGGAGACTTGGGCCATGGCTGGACTGAGGACGGCTACGCTGCCCTACCGCTGGACTTGGACTCCAATCACGCAGCTTTCGCCAGCGATGCGGCTCTGTTCCAGACTCTGCATTTGTCCAAGGCGTTGGCGTGTTAGTCTCGGTCTGAACGTGGGTGCTAGGACCAGGACTGCGTCCTCGTGGAGTTGCGAGTCGGCTGCTATGCTTGGACTCGAACACACATGATCGATTGTGGTAGTTCTCGGAGCGCCAGTATGTGCTTGGGCCATCAAAGCTCTCCAATTCGTCGACACTGCGGTTTATGAAGCGCAGTGTGCCGAGCTCTGCGAGTGGCTCGATGGAGGCACTAAGATGGAGTCGTTCTCCGTACCAGTGGGGATCGTTATGCAAGCTAGCAAGAGGCTGGAAGGGATTTGATGAAGACGGGAACTCGTTAGGACTGGTGGGTGCCGAGGTATCCCACATTGTTGAACCCTTTCGGCGGCGAGTGACCGTAAAGAAAGATTTCTTAACCCCGGAGACGATGCTGCCGAAGGTTGATGAGCGTCTCTTAAGTTCCCTCTCATGTGATTTCTCCTGAGATCCTGGACCTGATGTGTTACTGGAGTCAATACGCTTCTTTGCACCGTCGCCGTCGAGCGACGGCTTCTCACACATTCCCTGCTGATTGCTGCCTTCATTGTTTGGCATCTCATAACCCTCATTCCTAGGAGCCTTGAAGCTAGGGAATTTGAATTTCGCCAGTGTGCCGAATGGGGAACTCTTGCGACGCACCTGTCGAGATGCTATTGGGCGGTCGCAATCATCGTAGCTGTCAGTTAGGGAAACAGTCAGATTTAGGTCATCGTGAGTTTGTTTTCGTTTCTGGAGTCGGGATGAATGTTCAGGTTCAAAATGGTGGGGAGCGAGCCATTCTGTGGATTGGTTACTCATGGTAGTCCACACCACAGGGAAACCAGATGTTAAGAGGACGGGGATGATGTCTGGCTGGATGGGAAGCATGAAATGCGGAGAGGAAGAAAAAAAAAGGATAGCAGATGATCTTCCAAGAAAAGGAGGAAAGTTACAAGGTAGAGGAGCGAGTGTGTTTAGATGACGAGTGAGGTTTCAGGAAGCTCGAGAAGCAAGAGGACAGATCGTATGAAAGGGAGAAGTTTGGACAAGCTCAACGAACATGCCCGAGACTGAAATCTGCCAAGTGGCCCCTGGAAGCTCGACTGTGGTTGAATCGTCTTCCAGAATCCCTTCCCGTGCGAATGGTCGTCATCGCATTGTCTTCAACTACATCTGAGCAGTCAATTGCAGCGCTAAATCGGCAGTCTACCAGACTCTGCTAGTGCCAAGTATTGGTCTTGTAACGTGGTAAGCCCGGATATTGGAGCTCAACAGAGAGCTCAACTGGGAGAGAGAGGGGTTAGCGCATCACCGTGAGGTTCGCTCAGGACAATTCGTTGATGAGGATTGTACTTGTTGAAGCTTAAGCTGTCTTTAAGGGGTTCCACGAAGCCGAATGTCGAGGAGAAATAACACCATCATCATCGAAATGTGGTGGATAATAACTGTGGACACCCGTCAATTATTGCTGCTAGGGACAGAAAGATAATGGCCGTGTGGTTAAGCCGCAGGCGAGCCATGATGATCGATTTTGGATGGCCCGTGACACATGACACGAGATTCTCCAAGGCTCCCCTGCCTATTCGGCCGAATGCAAACATCACAAACTCGGGGCTTTCTAGCACTTGAGGTTCCATGACACCACACCACCGCTCATCTACCACTGCCAGTGAGGCCAATTGTTTTCCCTGACCCATGAATCCCACCACTCGAGGCTTGAAATGCCGCCTCGACTCCAATTGAATGCATTGGCTGCTTTTCCTCCATTGCCTATCGTTAGATTGAGAGTTCAATTCCAACGGCGGCTGGCTTCAAGCTCCACACCAGACATCTATGATGTAGTTTGCGTTGGTGGTGGCCCCGCCGGATTGAGTCTGCTTACTGGACTGCGGAATTCAAAAATTACCTCAAACCTAAAGGTGGCTCTCGTCGATGGCCAGGATTTACAGAAGAATCGCCTGCGGAAGGACGCCAGTTTAGAGAGCTTCTCAAACAGATGCAGCTCCCTCACGCCGGCCTCTGTGAAGAACCTCCAAGGTACACTCTCCTCCCCTTGCCAACTACCTTCCTGTTTCTTTTCTAATGACCCTCTTCGCAGAGATTGGAGCCTGGTCCCATGCCGCCCAGGCTCGGATTCAACCGTATCAGGAAATGCAAGTATGGGATGGTATCTCCGGTGCCCGAATATCGTTCGACTGGGACTCGGCGCGCCCTATCCTTTCCCCGCGAAGCCCAACCCAACCTACTACAATAGCGTATATGATCGAAAACATAAATATTACCTCAACTCTCCTCTCCCGTCTCGAGGAACTAGGCGGCGTCCACATATTCTCTTCGCAGAATGTTTCTTCCATTGCCCTCGGCACCGAAGCCCCGGACGTCGATCTCTCCTCCTGGCCTGTTCTCACGCTCTCGTCCGGCAAGCAGCTTGCGGCGAGGTTATTAGTCGGCGCAGACGGCGCCAATAGTCCCGTCCGTACCTTCGCCGGCATACCGTCGCGTGGCTTCGACTACAGCCGCCACGGACTCGTCGCCACACTCAAGCTAGCTGGTCCTGGGTGGGGTGGGCCAGATCACAAAATCGCATACCAGCGTTTTCTGCCTACCGGGCCAATCGCCATGTTACCTCTGCCCGGGAACGTGGCGAGCTTGGTATGGAGCACGACGCCTGAGCGTGCGGCGAAGCTGAAAGCATTGCCAGAGAGCGACTTTGTGGCCATGGTAAACGCGGGATTCCGACTCTCGGCCACGGATCTTGAATTCTTGCACACGATGTCGTCAGGGCAGGAAGAAGAAGTCGCTTGGCGGGAGCAACACACGTCGCTCGACACCCACACCATCCCGCAAAAGGTCACAGCCGTGCAATCCGGAACCGTAGCTTCGTTTCCCCTCAAACTGCGTCATGCGGACACCTACACCGGCGAGCGCGTCGCACTTGTCGGTGACGCTGCCCATACCATCCACCCGCTTGCAGGCCAGGGCTTGAATCAAGGTCAGGGCGATGCGGCGGCACTCGTGCGTACCATTTCACGTGCCGTGCAGACGGGGCAGGATATCGGATCGGTACTAGCACTGGAGAGTTATAATAGCGAGCGGTATGCAGAGAATAATGCCATGTTGGGCATTTGCGATAAACTGCATAGGCTGTATAGTGTGGAATCGGGGCCGGTGGTGGGTTTGAGGACTTGGGGGCTCAAGGCTGTGGATGCAGTGGGGCCTCTGAAGGGCTTCTTTATGAATCGGGCGGCGGGTGGCGTCTAGATCGGGCCTTCAAAGAATAGCTCTGCGTATATAGTGTATAAATACTACAAGACAATCGAGATATTCCCTTAGCTGACTGTTCTGGTGTGTGAATGGACGCGACCCCCGACGAGTTTTCAGTATAGAGGAATATCTCTATTTTCATCCCCTTTGATGTGTTCGCGGTGCACACACAATGGTTCCTGTTTTGGTTGACCACTTTGATCCTTAATCAGCATTACTGCAGACAGCTTAATTGACCTATCCTGCCACCTCTGGGTACCGAGGACCAACACTTACCCCCTGCTCTCATAATATTTAAGACAGTATCGTGCTTCTCCCTTCGCCCGGACCTCACGGACAGCAATTCCTCTGCCGTCTACTCCTCTCGTTGTTCCCTCGTCTAGTTGTGTTCTTGTCGCGTTCCTTGCTCATCTTCCAAAACGCGAAGAAGTCCTTAGCTCGGACTGGGAAGGTATCGCAACACCGAAGATGCAAGTGGCGATTCTCGTGCAAAGAGTTAAGGAACACCAACAGGCATCTCCCTCACGTAATGCCGGCATGTTCTCGGCTTGAAGGCTTGGTCATCGCCGGGGGGGGCAAGGACCTCTTGGATCGACAGGGAACGTTTGACAGCTTGCAATGTGCACAGCTCCGTCACCCTCCTTCAACCCGTCAACCGATCCATCCAGCGCGTACGGCAAAATTGCTTGGGTGGTCATGAATAGACTCCGCAATATTTCGCAGTCTAGGATTGGCCGCGCCATATTGGGTAATAAATCCTCCTTGCCACTGTACAATTTCCTGAACTCGGTAGTTGTAAGAAAACACCAAGTATGGATCTGTACCACCTTACGCTATCCATCTTAAAGCGATGCACACAGCCTGACTTCACTCGTTGTCCCAATACTGTGTCATTCTGCCAAGCTATAGACATATCTCTCGCCCAAGATGATTTTGTCCATCCTCGTTGCCTTTGCGGCCCTCTCTGAGGCCCTTCCTCAAGCTGGTGGTGGTGGAGGGTCAACTATGTTACGCTTTGGATGCTCACAGGTCGTCATTGACCGCATCGATCCCCTTGTCAACCCCGGCCTTGCGCCGTCACCACACATGCATCAAGTTGTAGGAGGAAACGCCTTTAATGTCTCAATGCCCGACACAGATATCAGCAACATTGCAACTTGCACCACCTGCAGTTACGCCGACGACTTCTCGAACTACTGGACTGCCAACCTGTACTTCAAGGCCCGCAATGGTACATACAAGCGCGTGCCTCAGGTCCCCAATAGGTACCTCTCTGCGATTGTTACATAAGTATGACAGATCCCGCTAACGGACCCTCCCAGAGAGCTCTTCAATGACAAGTACACTGCGAAAACCCAGGGCGGTTTTGTTGTCTACTACGTTTCCTCCGGCAAAGGCAAGGTCACGGCTTTCAAACCTGTAAGTTTCACTTCGTTCTATAAATGGAATAGCTTCTCGACGCTGACTTACCTTTAGGGATTCCGCATGCTTGTTGGCGACGCTATGCAGCGTACAAAGATCGGTAGTGGAAAGAAGTCGCAGTCATGCTTCCGTTGCTACAGCGGCCCCAACTTTGGAGGCGACAATGCGGCCCCTTGCCAAGATGCAAAGTACGTGTCTTAGTTCCGTCCCCATTGCTCATACTAACGAGAGTGTAGGCTGGATACAGAGGCTTTCCCCACAGGGCCATGCCCTGGTGGTATCCGGTCTAACATCCTATATCCGACGTAAGTCATTTGCAACCTTGCCTGGCTGGCGTGAAGGCATTAACGGCAAGTACAGATGCTGGGATGGCAAGAACCTAGACTCTCCTGACCACAAGTCTCACGTTGCCTATCCATCTAACGGACCCGCGCTATTCACCGGCAGCAGTGTTGGTGGAGCCTGCCCCTCGACTCACCCTATTCATATTCCACAAATCATGCTAGAGGTACGCGATCTGACACATAAAACTTCTTCGCTCGTGTTAACATTTAGTCTCAGATTGTTTGGGATACCACGAAATTCAACAACAAGGCTGAATGGCCTGCCGATGGTATGTACTCTCCAATCTAGATCTATACATGCTGCAGAGATAACATGTTTCAGGATCTCAACCCTTCGTCCTCAGCACAGGCGACAACACTGGTTATGGCCAACATGGCGATTACGTGTTTGGATGGAAGAACGATTCTCTCCAAAAGGCCATGGATGATGCTAAAGGCTGCATGGGCGCTTCCTGCGCGGGCTTGAAGGCACAGGCTGCTGATGGAGGGAATGCCTGCAAAGTGTCGGTGAAGGTTAAGGAGGAGTATGATGGCTGTAAGTTGCCACCTGTCCCTATTCTGCTACTGGATCGTTCGAGATCTAACAACTGATTCATAGGGATGGATAAGTTACCTGGGATGTAAGAATGACAGACTGGACTGATTCATTGGTGGAGAAGAGTATTCATATCCCGAGACCGAACGTTGCCTCCTTTTTTGCTAGCTGTACCTCAATAGATATCAGAGATATGAAAGACTCTTTACAGTAAAGTTTTAGAATTTCATCAATGTAGCACTTGATGGCTTACTCTGTTCGATAATAAGTAGATTTATGAAGCCAAAAAGAGGGTGATTTTGCAGCCTAACTCGATTCGAGCTAGAGAGACACTCGAGTCCTTTTCCTCATTCAAGCTAAGCCGAGCTCTAGCCTGAATTTCTCCATCCGTCTTGACCCGATATTAACGATTTTGTGCTTGTACTAAAGCACTTATCCAATGGGCCAGCTCCTTAGCTTTACCACAGGCCAATTTTACATATTCTAAAGTTGAGTGCGCATTTCGAAGGAATGCAGGGTGTGCGGGGAGGCGTACAGCCAACAACCCCCACGAGACAGGATGTTTACAACTTTAGTTTAGGTACAGTTAAACGGCTACGTAGGCTTTAGGTATGGGGGATACACAATATTAGGATTCCTAGTTACCGTAAAACCAGCCTATTGTCGAGATTTTGTTTACTACAACGGCGGTTTACAAACCATTAAAGAGAATTTAGCTGTAGGTTAATCAAGCATGAGGATATGTTAGAGTGGACCAATAGACAAGGGACAATCTGCAACTCTGATACTCCCTGTAGAGGTCGTTCCTAACAATCTCTAGTCAAATGACATCAGCATCAGCCGTCCTTGCGACATCGGCATCGGCGATTGCCTCTTTGAATGGACGCTGCCCCACCACTGCCCCTCCATCTAAACTTCCTTTAAGCTTCACAATAACCTAGCTCCCGCTTGCCCCAGTCTGTTCTCATATAGTAATGGCAGACCATGAAAAGCAAATTGAAGGGTTTGGAAAAGATGATGATTTCTGGCTATTTGGATATGGGCAGGTCTTCCCCTTAGCCTCCCTGGGAAGTCATGCACAAAAGCTAATACGATGGATTGCATATAGGAGTCTAATATGGAAACCACCGCCACACTATGGTACGTCCTCAATCTCAAGTTACCAAACAAAGAAAACCAGCCCATCAGCTGGTGGAATCAGCCCGCTGACGAGAATGCTACTATATGTAGATCAGAGGATTCCGGGCTACATCGAGGGCTATGTACGGAGGTTCTGGCAGGTATGAAGTTCACAATGGTCACCGGATAAGGGAGTGTAGAGAGCTAAGAAGTCTGTAGGCTAGGTGAGTTGATCCAACCCCCCACAAAAATTCAGCGCGCGAAGGCGACAGACATTGCGGAAACCGAGGAGCTAATAGACTCTGGTGCTTAGCGAAGACCACCGCGGCACCCCTGAAGCTCCCGGACGTGTTGTTACGCTGATTGATAGGGCGCATTGGGAGACGTTGACTGACCATGTACAAACATATCCCAATCTCCCCTCTTCTGCCCTCTTCTCCCCTCTTCTCCCCTCTCCTCCCATATCATCTCATCCAAATCTAATAACCAAGCTCAGCATGCCTCAACCGAGAGGGTCTGGGGCGCCGCATATCACATTCCGTCTTCCAAGGTTGCTGAAGTCCGTTCATACCTCGATATCCGGGAAATAAACGGCTACAGCATCCAGTTTACGCCATTCCACCCTGCGCCCTTTATTGTTTCCATCAGCTCTCCTCCTTCAATTCCAGCTCCAACACCCACAACCCAAGGTCACACTTACAATCACAAACCCACTAGCTCAATAACCGCGCACACCGAAATCTTCGCTCGACCGCTTTCCACACCATCGCCAATAATCTGCCTCGTATACATCGGACTCCCCTCCAACCCGCAATTCCTAGGACCCCAGGACCCGGATACGCTGGCGCGGCATATACTGAAGAGTAAAGGGCCAAGCGGAGAGAATAAGGAGTATTTATATTTGCTGGAGAGGAGTTTGCTGGAGCTAGGAGTGGATAGTGGAGATAGGCATGTTAGTGATTTGGTGAGAAGGTGTAAGGATATTGAGAGTGCGTACTTGAGCGAGGGGATGGAGGGGATAGATGCTAAGGCCGACAGTGGGGATGGAGGAACAGAGGAGACAGGGGAGACAAGGGAGAAGGCGGGGGAGGTGATAGGCGAGCGGTTGCATAAGGTTGGGAGTACAGAGGAGCAAGAGGAGGTTGAGAAATGATGGTTCAGTCACTAAAAAGAGCGACCTAAATACGATGTGATGCAGCGTGGTAATTCTCAGCGGATAACCTCGTGTCAAAGTGATGACGAGAATGAATTCGTGATGCTGCTTTCGGTGCCATCCACTGCAACCTGACGCCCTTGGAGCTGGGGAGCAAAGTCAAAGTCTTTCAAGACCCTCAATTGACTTTTCTGTGGCCCAGCCTACCCTGCAGCAGTGACCGAACATGGTAGATGCTGAGTAAGAAGTCTATTGAAGGCCGGAAATTGTCCCGGGTTGTCATTGGTCGGGTGATCGACGAGGTCAGCAGTGTTGATCGGGAGGATGAACAACCGTATTCTGACTCCAGGTCACCTTTCCCAGAAGTTTGGTGCTAGAAATGAGCCAGAAGAGGTGTAACGGAAGTGAGCAGTAATTCGTCTTGCCGCTGGGGCTGGGTTCATCGGGGAGGTTCACCGGGGAGGTTGTTTTCTCGCACCATTGTTGACTACTGAAGAATCGAACAGGTCAAATTTGCCCAGAAATCCAGATCGGGGCTACACCCAGGTACTCATGCTATTGAGCACCCAATATAGCGACAAATAATACTGAAAACACCAGCTCTTTTAGAGGTAGCAAATGACGTCAGATGATGGATTGCCATTTGAGCGCTTGTCGCATTTTCACCGCCTGTAGAATGGTTGGTTGCGGCGTAAGACCTGTGATTAACTCGCGTCAGCAAGCATAAACCTAATCCGTCTAATCACGCACGCACCTGGCGCGATCAGACCGAGATCGAAGGGAGTACGAACGTACGTAGCTCACCCCAAGATCATATAAACCATCTTCCCCCCCTAGAGCCGATTCTCCGGGAATGTGGCCTTGATTGCTCAAGTCCATCCAGTCGATGCTTTGCCAATCGGAAAAGTTTGGCTCCGACACTTGGTATTGTAGCGGTCCAATGTTCGAGGTATCGGGAAAGGGCTCGAGCCTAGTGCGGTGAACATCAAGGATAAGTAAAAGATTTGATTGGGATGAATTTGCGGTCCTCTAACCTGAGATTAACAATTCTATCCCACAGACTATGAACGGCTTCACCGAGCTTGAAGCTGACCCAGCCACAGAGGTGTAATCGACCGAGCAGGGTTTCTGCCGAGAATATTCCGAACTCTTCGCAGGCCAAAGAGACCTGATAGACGAACCACGAGCATTCTGGAGATCCTTCCGCGGAAATAGCGCCAATAGCAAGGATCCATAGGAGGAGATCTGGACACGGGGTCCACTCATAACGGCTTGTAGCACTCAACGCTTTCTCAAGTCGTTTACTTGCGACGATGTGAAGCAGGTGAATGTCAGATCGACGTTGAAGTGCTTCAGTAGTTCGAACAGTAAATATAAGCAAAGCGACGCAGAGGCCATCTTCTAGAGGGCATAATTGGTTTTCGTTGTCGTGTAGCCATTTGAGGAGCAAACACTCTAGACCGCATGAAAAGTTCTGGATGTCGAGAGGGTCGAGTGGGCTGTCTGGATCGCCGAACCAGACGTTGAGATCTGCGATCAAGACGAGTGCTGATTCGACCAACTCGGTTAAGGACTCCCTCACTTGGGCTTTTCGGCAATAGTCGAGAAGGTGGTTTGAAATGTTCGGTCGATATCCTGGAGGATGGTGAGGGAAATAAGCTGTGCTTATATAGTCGGCTGTAGAGAGATATGGGGCCTCGAATGAAGCTATGGCGTGCGCCGTTGAATGCCTGATGCTCAGTAAGCAAATGCCGACCCGATTAGGCGGTCCCGTGAAGAGATCTGGTCACACACCAAAGTATAAAAGCTTGTAGTATGCGGTTTGAGTTAATTGCCTTCAGTCCACCCCGCAGTTGTACCATCCTGCGCAGTCCATTTAGATGAATCTCACGCTGATTCGGTTGATCTTCATCCGCGCCCTCCTGCTGGAAGAAGGGTAAAAGAAGACTCTCCTCTACGCACAACAAGTTGAACACAGCGCCAATATTAGCATCAGATATCCCCAGCTCTGGATCCGGATTCGATATTGCCGAATTAATTGCAGCTATCGCTTGCGCCTTATGGTAGAGAATGGTTTCGATTGACCCTCTACCAACAATGTACGAGTGCAGGGCTGCGGTGCACAGCAAGCTATGCATAAATCCTGGGTTGCTCATAGCTGTACCGAACCAATCCGATCTCATCAAATCAGACTTGTGACGAATATCAACTGCGATCGTGCCGGGTGCCATTTTGGATACGACTAGGAACCGAAGTCAGTGTCTGCCTGAAGAGCCGACGCAGAGCCGAAAGAAGGTTTACGCGACACGACAGGACGATGCTATTCGCTTCGGGACAGTCCCTGTTTTCACGTAAAGTGGTTCGCTCGTATCCTACCCATCGAGAAGACCGCAAGGACTTTCCGTGCCAAGGATCCGGCAACCAACTAACAGGATTCGCTCTGGGTTTCTAGGTATTTTTTGGGGTGGGGGGGTGTGCAGGGTCTATTTACTCACAGTGATCTAAAAGCTCCGATACACTCTCGTCCATCTCTATCGGGAAGCTTCCGAATGGATCAAAGAGATTGTTGTCCAAATCTTCTGGGGGTACGGGAGGCTGAAGCAACAAGCATCTGGGACAGAGAGTTTGACCGGGCCGACATAGCAAGATTTGGCAGTCTGAGCAGACTTGTTGCTTGACTATAGAAAAGGTACTTAGGCCGGTAAGCGGGGGATATTCGACTCCATATTGGATTCGAGGTGGGCTGGGCGTTGACGAGTTCGGAGTATGGACGAGCTCTGGTGTACCCACAGTCGCAGGGCTCGCAGTCTCAGGACTCTTCCTATGTTTCGCGGCATGTTTGCTTGTGGACCATGGGCGCTCTCTCCTAGCCTTTTGCATTACAAAAGAGCGAGCATTTCGGCGACCTTGGCGAGAGCTCTTTGCTGTTTTGGAGGCGTCGACAAAAAGAAAGTCTTGATGAACGGGTACAGCTTGGGGAGCACTCCTCTGTTTTCCCTTCCCGGTAACATCCCTCTGGCTCTCCATCATTCTTCCCCACGTGGGCCCAGCGGAATGGCGTATAGCCGTCCTGTTTCAGAGATTGTGTATGATGGTAGAGCTCAGAAGGACATAATCGGGAAGAAATTGCGAAGAACAGCTAGGCAAATATTTCCTATTTCATACGCTATTCCCACCATTTTGTTTCAGAGGGTCCTGTGCTCGTCCGGAAGGTGGTAGGCTGATGCTGTGACAATGTTAAAGTGCGCCTGGGAGATGGACAGGAGGGGTTTGAGAATCCAGCTATCAAAGACCCGATTCAGCCTAGGCTGCAGGAGCGCTCGGGGAAAGCTGGGGTGTCTGCCGATATTAGCCTCGCTTCTGACGCTATGCATGGCTAAGTATACCAATGGATGGCTGCTCCTGTGAGTTGCTGATTCTAGAAACCGGGGAAGTGTTCCAGAAGAAAAAGGGCAAAAACGGCGGCGGGAACGAGGGTAGGTGGAGCCAGTATATGTAGGGAACCGGCCGCTATGTAGATCCTAGGACAAGCAAAAATAGCACCGTCCCTGCGCAACGGCCAATGTACATATAGAACTGATGTCTGTCCGTCCCTGGTGCATGGTTGCGCATTGCCCAATGCTGACTGATGAGCTCATTCTGAAGGCCGGGCTTGCGCGAGGCTGACGGAAACGTCGTTTGAGCTGAGACTTGTTGATATACTGAGAACAGCCCGGGGCCACCGAGTCGGAACGCATGAAGAGCTCAGATCGGCATGCCGAAGCCACTGAAACATGCAAAGCAAGCAAACGTGCAGGACACGGATAAAAGTATAAGAAGAACAGCTCGTATGTCTCATCGTTTGCAAAGGGGAAAGGGGCTTTCTCACGAGATAGATCTCTAAGCTTGCCACACTGCGCGCCCATTCCGCACCGTTGCGGAGCACTGTTGCAGAGTACTGGTCTCGTGTCGTTGAATTAGCGTTGCTAAAGATATGGCGGCGTTAGGTTGCTCACATTAACCAAGACCGGGGGGGGCGGGCGGACCAGCCCGGTGCTCCCGGAGAAGCTTGGCGCTCCGCTCCGTGTTTGGAATTTTGGGAGAAAGGACACAGTGCCGACATCGCCGCCATAACCGCCATATCGACGTTTGGGGAATGACACTGGGATGGAGCAGACTGGCAGACGATGAAGATGCTCCTCGGCGATATCGTGAATGAACCTCGCTCGTGCCTTCCACTCTGGGATATCTGGCAACAACAACCATGTCAGGGAGTGAAGGTCCCTTCGCAGGTCAGCATCAAATCCATACCTGGATAGCTATAGCTACCAACGACGGATGCATTTGCTAATTCGAGACCCGTTGCTAGGCCCACCGTGGACCGACATCCCAATCCACCTGCTCCACGCCGAGCTCCGCAGACGCGATGACGAGCGGCCATTGTGCGGGACCAAAGGCAAGAGTGGCTCCTACAATACTCCCCTCCACGTCTTCGCTTTGGTCTTGATACTCGTGCTTAGTACTCTTGGTACGAGCGTTGCTACCTCATGTTCGGATATCAAACTCATAGTAACCAGCATGCTCCTTCCCCATCCTCGTCAAACGCGTCCCGAAGTTCCCCGTGCCCCATCAGTTCCTCTTCCTCTCGCGGCACTTTGGTACCGGCGTGCTCATCGCGACAGCATTTGTGCACCTGCTGCCTACTGCCTTTGAAAATCTCACAGACCCATGTCTGCCGTACTTCTGGACCAAGGGCTATGCACCCATGCCCGGCTTGATCGCTATGACCTCTGTCTTTGTCGTGGTAGGGATAGAGATGTTCTTTGCCTCTAAGGGCGCCGGTCATTCTCATACAATAGACTATGAGGCACTGGGGTTAGACCATGGCGACGCCCATTCTCGGCCAGCACATAGGCGGAGCAACAGCAATTCGCGGTTTCGATCGGCATCAGTCCGGGCCAACGGGCTGGCACCAGACATCATGTTGCACGATATTGCCGGGTCATCCGAACATTTGATGTCTGGCCGATCGCCATCGGTTCCCGCGAGCTCGCCTCGGCCCTTCCCGCGGAAGAATCGTGAAGGGCGCGGCTCTTTGGAGAATGACTGCAATTTCGACTTCGACCCCGACCTCGATGAATTGGGCTCACCAGGTGCCGGTGACTCTGAAGACGAATCCCGTCTGCTCTCTCACCCAGCCGCCCGAAAAGACCCTCACCGTGCTTCATCGCCTGGTTCTGACCCGGCTCCTGAAATGACAGAAGCGCAACATAAGAAACAATTACTGCAGTGTCTTTTGCTTGAGGCTGGCATTCTCTTCCACAGCGTCTTCATTGGCATGGCTCTATCCGTGGCGACTGGAACATCCTTCATTGTTCTGCTAGTCGCCATATCATTCCACCAGACTTTTGAAGGCTTCGCGCTAGGCTCTCGAATTAGCGCCATTCGCTTCCCAGCGCATTCACCGAAACCATGGCTTATGGCGCTGGCATACGGGACTACGACACCAATCGGGCAGGCTATCGGACTCGGAATCCACACGCTGTACGATCCTGCTAGTCAGACGGGGTTGCTGACAGTCGGTGTCACGAACGCTATCAGTAGCGGACTGCTTTTATTCGCAGGGCTGGTGGAGCTGCTAGCCGAAGACTTTCTAAGCGACGAAAGTTATGTCATCCTGAAGGGCAGGAAACGTATAGAGGCATACGGGAGTGTTATCACAGGAGCAGCGTTAATGGCAATTGTTGGGGCTTGGGCATAAAGGGGACTATCATGAATGCCTTCGAATTTCTCAGGAACAACATTGTACAGATATGGTGTTCATAGTTTTAGACGAAAATGACAAACTCAATCCAAATTCCTGGTGCTCGTTTACGCTTGAAACCATTATTTCCATCCGGCTACTGGCATGGGCTCCACCACAATCTTTGGCAAAACATGTGGACCACAACACCACTTTCTTGCATGCATAACATCCGTCCGAAGCAGCCTCTCAATAACTCCCTCAAGCATGCATGCATGTACGCACGCAACGCTTTTACACACTTGCGTTTCTATCTCCACTTTCACAACGCGCTTCCCTGTCGCCACCCAGCCCGCCTTCGCGAACTTCGCCCCATTCTCAAACCCCTCCCTACTATCACATACCACTACAATACGTCCCGTCGAACGCATCAGTATATAGTATTCCCGCCCAGAGACCCGCTCTAAACTTTCTGGGCCTCCCACAAGGAGTTGACAACATTATCACTGCCTACTTTCGAGACTCCAAAGTCGACCTCCTGAACTTAGCCCTTGCGCACCACAAACTCAACGCTGAAAGCTAAGGATATCTCTTCAAAAAGTGCAATTTACTGTCTAGCTACGACCAGAACGTCAAGAGCAATTAAGAATGCACAGTTGGTCAAGACTATGACGACTATTCCCAACATGGAGAAGTGAGTTCAAGGAATAGTACTAGAGTGCTTCCAGGAGAAAGACTCCGTTGCTGACGAAGAACTAATCGAGATTATCTCTCCCTCACGGTCGAACTCTACATCACAATAACCATCCACTTCAGCCTACCCAGAGACTACCTCGTCGAAACTATCACTGCCGACCTTAAGTCCTACCTTAGCCCCCTCATCACCTTCCTCGGTTCCCTTACGCTCCCGAAGGATGTCATCCTACAAACCCGCACAGGCAGCCTCGGCACCCCCATCCACTATATCAAGGCGATGTCCGAAACCCTCCTGAACCTCGGGGACCTCGATTCCTTCATCCCGTAACTCGATCCTCGCTTCAATCCCGCACTTAGCTGTGCCGAAGATATGTCCGGCTACACGATTTTCAACCTAGGCTGAGCCACGAAGGCGAGGACGAGGAATGCAGCTGGAGTGTCATCAGCCTGGATCTCACAGGCATGGCAATCAATGCGAATGAACTGCGAGAAGTTACGCTGTATGCTTCGAACGTTCAGGACCTAGGCGTCCTATTGAATTGAGTGCATTCTTCACGGACCGTAACACTGCTTGTGTACAGCAGCAGATAGCATTGGTGGCTAGGGAGAGTCTCGGTGACGTATAGGATTCACTAGAGCCATTAGAGGTTCAAGAGATCAGTCCCTGATTTAACTTCTCTCAACTCAATTTCAGCGCGTTTAAGAAACTGAAGGTTGTGTATGTCGTGTCTGCATTCCTGGTCGAGAAAGTCGAGGCGGATGGCAAAAATTGGGTGGATGATACGGAGAGGAGAGCGACGGCAGGTCAGCTTCCTACAGCACTGGAGGATCTAGCTGTCAGGGTTATTATGCCTATAGGTGATGCGATTTTCATGTTGTTGGCGGGGCCCGAGAGAGCAGATTGTATAGAAAAATTGGTTTACCCCTAGCTCGAGCACCCACTTAGACACCGAAAAGAAGAATTTGCCTTAGTCGTGGATTTTAGAGGTTCTGGCGTTTAAGCAATCCGACAGCCTCCCCAACCTACGTAAACTCGTGCTCGAGGAAGAGTTGACGAGGACGGGCAAAGGGCGCTACGTGCTAGTGGAAGTAGTTGGGATGCTGGAGGGACTGAAGACGGTGTTTGTGAGAGAGAAAGTGTTTGTGTGGAGTTGCAGATTATCTTGAGGAGCAACAAGACCATGTATACGAAGGAGGAGATGAGGAGTATGGAGGAAATATATGAAGCAAAAGAGATCACTATGCAATAGATGGGCAGTACAGAGCTTTTACTTCAGCTTTTCTTCCTGCGGTAAGGCTGCATTACTATGCTTCTGGATGTCTTGAAAGAGAACCTGCGGTTCTCTCTTATTCTTACTAAAAGTTAACGAAAAGTGTTAAATCCTCTGTGCTAACTCAATATATGGTTAACTATATTTGCACAGATGCGATAGAAGTTATGCTGCTTTCTGCATTACCCCTGCCTTCCTTTTTTCCTGTAGTACGAAGCAGAATTCATATTGGAAGAGCGGGAGATGACTTCCAGGAGCACGAAAGTGGGATTGCAGATACAGCTTGAGCTTGAGCTTTCAGTTCACTAGGCTGGAAAGCACTAGTTGATACAAGAGTGGCTCAGTGGGCTTTATATTGATCGTTTTGGTGGTTCTTCACAAATATGCGGATCATCTGTTGCTCCTGAGAATCATATACCATGAAGAGTACGTTCAATGGAGGGTGGCACCTAGGCAGCTATCAGTCACATACTACGTAAAAATAGGCTGGGTGCTAATCCTGCCTCCCCTCAGGAAAACAGGTGTGGGAGCCAAGAACATCGCCACCGCTACCCACCTCCCCCTTGTCATTATCAAACAGTATCCTCTCGCTTAACCAATTACCGCATCGCCATTTTCGAATCTGCCCCTGAGCTCCTTCCCTATATTGACACCCGAACCATATTTCTGTCTACCCGAATTGAATATCGACTCAAGTTTTCCATCTTTTCAAGTTCGAATCGGAACCCTAGATCAACTTCAAAGAAGACCATTATTCGTCCTCTAATATCACAGGAAGAACACTGTCAATAAATTTCCTATAACCAAGGCTGTGACTGCTGTAGCACATAAATAGACCGTTGTCGGCGGTATCTTCACTAATTGGTCCTGGTCGAGTACCAAGTAGACACGGTATTTCCTAACCTTGCAAACAGGCGTATTCCATTCCTCGAGTCCCGCGTTTTCTACGCGGATTGAAGTGTACGAGTGTATGAAAGCCCAGCCTGCGTGTCCTCTCGCTTTGAAAGGCCCGCAAAGGCATAGGCAGTTCAAGAATGTGAATCTAGAGATTCTTGTAGAGTCTTAGCACGCAAGGGGTCGCGAAATTCTCTCAATCTCGAGCAATGCATTCTCCTCCTCATTCGTGTCTTCGTATTGTCGGCCCGAGGGCTCATCGGTGGGCTGTCTAATTCACTCAGAACTTATCGTCCCGTACTATTGTATACTCACATAATACCTCATACCCTCCATCACAATACATCACTTCTTTCATAATTCATGCCCCGCAGGGCTACAGATATATATAGTAGCGTAAGACGCCAAGCCTTGAGCTGATGTGGACCGCCCGTCGATGAGCCCTGAGCTTACACTGCATGACTGCCTTGGGAGAATGCTAAAGGCGCAAAATTTTGAGCCCCCTACTACAGGTAACCTGAGGGCTACGTCGCTTCCACCATGGGAGCCACACCAGAAGAATGCGTTGCCTTGAATGGGCTAAAGTTATCACAACTAGTGATACGATACTGAGCCTCTTCATGTTGGAGGCTTGTGATCCGGCCTCCCATTCCCACCAACTTTAAATTAACGCCGATGGCCGAAATCAAGGTCGGTTTTCTTCACTGAAAAGTCGTTACTCGCAAGCTCTGTTTCCTTCTCTCGTTACGGTTTCACATGACCCCTAGTGTGAACTCTCGAGGCACTTCAATTGCGAAATTCACACAATACTCTCCGGTTTTCGATATATAATGCTTTATATGCCACTATCCACATACTGATACAAGCCCTAGAACTCTAACTTTCTGAATCCAGCAAACGACAATTACACTTAAGGGACTCGATCTCTACCAACAACTTCGTCGCCAAAGAGTTACAACGTCCAATTACGTTCGAGACGGGCACTGCCGAATATAGTACATTTGAGTAAAGACGCCCCCACCCCCTTTTTTTTTCTTTTTGAAGAACGCCGGACTCCTCTTCCATACATACACTGCCAATTGTCATGCTCTGGGGCGGGGTGGTGTGATTTCGGGGTCAAATACATTTAGACTACCACCCCGGCACTAATTTGAAGAATATCAAGCGTCTAAGAACAGGCCGGAAAACCCCCCAAAGAAACTAAGACGGTTTCTAGGGATACTCCTCTTCATAGGTAAAATTTTCGAAGCATGTTTTAGTAAACTCTACCGGGCGATTACCATTATTTCCTTTACTAGATTTCCAGTGCATGTCTTCAATTTCATAGATATTTCATCCCGATAACCCCGATGTGAGTCATGGATTAGTCTACGGTTGTTCCTAAGGCATTGAAGTCATAAGACTAGAGAATTGCCTCTCTATCCTCTGCATGCGAAGAAGGCTCGCAGTTTCCAAAATTTTCTGTTTCTACTCGTGTCTACTGTGCTTAGCAGGGGTCTACCTAAGACTCATCGATGGTGCAATTGATGTTGACCAAACAACTTCCTACAAATTTCTACTGGCCATGTAAGCCCATATATTTTCCTACGTGTAATGGCCATCTCGTAAATCCCTTTTTTATTTACACTCCATGGAAGCAATCGTCAAGGAAGAGCACTCCAAAACATAACTCAGACTACTGTATACAAATTCTTTTCAAACAACCATTTCTATGCCCTGTTTCTAAGGTATTAGATGTAGGTCATTACCCCATTAGAAAGAGTACCCGAACATCCTCCAAAGATATTCGATACATCTAACTCCATGGCGCAGCCAGCAAACCAGGAACACCCACCGTCACTACCCTTATCACGAAGCCCGAAAAGTCCCGCTCTAGGTAATTTCCTTTTAATGGGCTAACCTAGAAGAGCCATTGCGAGTCCACGTTGGAGTCTCATATATTAACATCTCGCCTAGTCATAATGCTTGAGGGTAGAGCAGTGATGCGAAATTGAAGACTTGTTCATATATTGCCATAGGAGCGCCCATCGCCTTGAGTCAACTAACGGGTTTCGGCGCTCTCCCTTGTCAAAAGAGTATGCAGATAAAGTGGCCATACCCCTTGCTCCGGGATTGATCGCGACGAGCTATAGATGAGCCTTATTTTTTCAACCGTGGAAGTATCAGGAAGATTGATCATACTCCCAAGCAGTAGAGGCACTGTAACCGGAGTTCCCCAACTTCAAGAGACTCACTTCAGTCGCTAAAGTCAAACCCCTGGGTACATGTTTTTGAGTCATATGACTGTGAAGCGCGAAATTTTAGTGGCATCTCAGTCTGGCAGCTCGAAGAGCCAGAGCAGCTCAGGCTCAGTCCAAGTTCTCCATTGTTATACCAAATGCGTTCCGCACTATATAGCTGCTATAGCCTTACTCTTTCAATCCCAAAGACCCGCCGGTATATCCCTCCATTGGAAACACTTTGTTCTGCCCTTTTGACAATGTGGAACCAAATTTGGAACCTAAAACAAGGAATATGTGTTGACCGCGATGCTTTTACACATTCGATCCTAACATTTGGTCGAGAAGCATATATGGTCCCATGATGTTTTCATAACATCCTCATTAAAACCTTGAAGCCCCCAGCAATGTGAAGAAAGAAAACTAATTCAAGCACACACAAGCCCTTGTTAAGTAGTACCCTCACGAGTATGCATGTATCCAAGGAGTCTATTCATTACCCATGTCATCTCCCCGCATTCCATCCACATCGCACGTGCTCCTCTTCCCCTCTCGCCATCTCCCAACGCACTTACATCATTCCCACTATTCCCGATTCGGTTACCTACGTGACCAGATTCCGCCATTTCAGGTCATGATCACTTCAAAAGAAGCAAACATTACATCAAAAAGAAGGGTTAGGAAGAAGATATATAAGATGCCATCATTTCGCCACCATTGCGTACAGAAGGAATGCCAGACATGACGTGCCCCACCCGCTGCTAAGATGCTGAGAATACCAACCGGGACCAATATACGAAACGACGAAATCTCTTAAAGACACAGGAAATGTCCACGGAGAAAGGTGCTCCTTCACCTCACCCAGACCTCGGCGTATCGTCTCTCGCACTATCCTTCACGGAACCGGGCTGCTGCATCGAGGAACCAGCGACCGCCGAACTACCATAAGGTTCATAGCTATCATTCGTGAAGCCATGGAAACTGCCTCCAGACGGAAACCGTCTCAGCTCGGCACCCTCCAACATCTCCGTATCCTCATGCGCTTGTCTCGACGAACCCTGAATTTGCTGCGGGGGGCCCATCCTACTCCTCGGCTGGGCCGCAGGTGGAACTCCAGCCCGACTAACCTCATCCAGCAATCTTGGTTTCTCGGCGAGATTATTTAACATGGCTCTCGACGCATCTAACATCTGCACCGCGTAGTCCAGAAACTCGGCGCGTTTGCTACTGACACTGAGTGTCCATCTATACTCCCGCAGCCTAGTTTTGTAAAAGTCGGCTTCTTCTTGCGAAGGGGCGGTTGCCCAGAGCAGCGAACCAAACGTCCCTATGAGGGTGAAATTAATTTTGGATGCGAAATACCAAAAACCTTGGAGATGTTCTGGTTTCAGGCGATTGACGAAATCCATAGCGCGGATAAGACGCGTTTTGGCGGCAGTACGGAGGTTGTAGACAACCTCTGAAGTGGCTGTGGTGCCGTCGAGGGACTGCACGAAACGACGATGAAGAGTGATTTCGGTCGCAAAGTATGCAAGATGCAAGTAGCCTACAAGTGTGAGTACAAGACAGGTGACTGAAGATTACTGGCATACCAAGTGAGGAGAACTTGCCGTTGGTCGGAGCTTCCATGCTCACCGACTTAGGCAAGTATTGAAACCAATCTCTCAGCTTGAGCTGAACGAATCTCGCTCGTTCAAGTACCAAAGCTGTCGAATTCTTTCCAGCACTGGCAAAGTCTTGAATAGCTACCTGGGTATAGAAGGTATCCATTATCTCGGCCATAATCTTCGTCAACCCGATCATCTGGGCAAACAGAATCTGGCCTCTCTCGATTTCCTTCTTATCTTCTTCACTGTCCTCTGGCGTTGATTCATATTCATCACCTTCTTCCTTGAAGTCATCATCATTGATAACCTTGACCGCCCAATTCGCATTGAAAACATGCGACGGCCGGCCATGAATGAGCGAACTCCACTTGTCCTGCATGTACAGGGCCCAGGCAATTCGCTTCCTTAACCCGCGTTCCCAGAGAGGAACCGACCACGACGAGCAATCGAGATGTAATCCTAGCTCTTGACCGATGGCTACAAGCTGAGTTGTTAAGCTCCATGAGTCCGCTTCAGGTCGTTGCAACAGCAACAACCCTGCTTGGACTGTAGAGAGTTTTGGCCTCTCCATTGCGAGAGATAATGATTTCATCGCAATTGCCTCCAGTCTTGCTGCATCGGGCTTTGGGTAGTTGGCCAGATTTGAGTCAAACGACCACCAATTAAGTGCAAGGACATACATGCCAGCCATTAATGACGGTGAAAAAGATCGGTCGCCATGCCGATATCGTTGAACGAAGAGGTGCTTCTGGATGATAGGGAAGCTAGGATGTACGATGCGAAAGTAAATTTCAAGTAAAGCAGGGCCATGCGGATGGACAATCTGCTCAACGAGATTCAGAGTGTCGACCTCATCGGCATAATCTTGGGTGGTCTCGTCAGGCAACATGATGAAACATTCATGGTCATTTACTCGACGAAGAGTGCCAAGGTCGAAAGTAGACTCGTTTCGGGTATCAAAATTGGAAAGACCAATGAGCACAGAGTCAAAAGGAGAACTTAGACCAATGTATCTGCTATGCTGACGTCTCTGCAGGCCTAGGGTTTCTCCTAGATGGGGAAGACGGGAATTGGCCAATGACGACTGAGTCGGTGGTGGGCTTGGCGCGGTCGCGGTGATCGTGGGCGTCGGCAACGCTAGTGGAGGCGGCTCTGCGTCGACAGATCTGCTAGCACGAATTAGCCATTACCACTCGACCACATGGTACCGCCGAGCGATCATCCTGAGTCCGTTGGGAGAGGTCTGACCATAAGAAGCCCGCCGGGAAATTGAAAAGGGAAATGACACATCGTGACGCCTGCCGAAAACGTCCGGACACATGACAGGACGACGAAAGAGGCATAGTGAGACGAAAGAACGACATGTTATCCAAGCGAGGGCCCTGCGGTAAGGCTACTGACGCAAGTGGAAGTAGTTTAAACATACCTCTTCTTTTGGTTGTTGGGCGAATCCTTCTTTCCGTCGTCGACGACCTTGCGCTTTCTGGGTAGCGGGCTTTGCACAAAGGTGCACTCCTGCTTGTGGAACTCGCACAAGACACACAGGACGGCGCCCTCGTGGATTACACAACGGCTTTTTCTTCTCCGGCAGGCGTCGCAGGGCCTCTCTCTCCGTGTGCGGATGTTGGCGACGGGGCCGACAGTGGTTGATACAGGCTTCGCAGTGACGACGTTCTCTTTCCCCGGCGAGGGCCGCTGCTGCTGCTTGCGGGGGCGGGCGGCGGCGATAGGGACGGGAGTCGAGCGTGGCATGGCAGGCTGGAGAGCCACGACGGTCGTCATATCGATTGTCTTGGGGGCCCGTATGGTTCGTTCGAGATAAGGACGCCAGGCGTCAGAGGCAAGACGCAAGCTAGTTGCGCCAGCACACTGGCACTATCTGCCCGGATATCTGGCGGGTAAGCGGTTGCTAGTGTCCGGGGAAGGCACTGGCAACGATGCACCAGTCACACGACTCCGCGGATTGAGAAGAGCCAGATCGGGATAACGACCGGGCTTATCGCGTGGGAGCTGCGTATATCGCCCACTGGAAATAACGTACAGGATGCAAAAGCAAAAGACAATGAGGTAATGTGGGAGCACAACGAGGTCTCAGAGGGCTCGGGATTAAGGGCCTAAATTGCCTGTTATGGCAGCGAGGAGGATGAGGTGGTGGATGCTGCGTGCCGTCATTGAAGGTTGCGGAGGGAGTTGTCGAGCGGGCTGGGCGGCGGGGAAGGAGCGGGCGGAGCCTGGGCCAGAAGGGAAGTGACGACCTAGGAGTCGGTGAAGACACAGGGCAGGCACATAATCGTGGGCGGAAGGGGCGAGTGTAGCGCGTGAATTGCGAGGGTGACGATGTGAGCGTTTGGAGTCTTTTGAGGGTTGCATTTAGTCGAGTTCGCGGAACATGTGCCTGGTGGCTTGGGATGGAAACCCTTACGTGATGAATTGAACGACAGGGGCCCAAATGCGGTTAGTTGCCATGTACAAAACACCCGACACAGGAGCCTCCCGGCAGACCTGCGATAAGGTCGCAAAGGGTCCAATGAGGCCCGCGCAAACCCCCACTAGCCATCTGAGTGCAACCGCTGCCGTAAAATTATTAGGCCATGCTGTCAGGGCCAGAGATAACTGAAGGATCAGCACCGGTAGATGCTCTCCACTCTTCCACCGCCAGCCAAGCAGTGAATTGCTGTTAGGTACTGGTATTGGGAGTGCGTCTAGATCATGCACGTCACCGTTTGGAAGACACCCCTCAGCAAAGGAACTCGCACCGAGCTTGCGCGAATGCGTGAACCTTCACAACCTCGAATTTCCTGACAGCCTCGTATTGCGGGTGGCCCACTGACACGTGTCCCATCGCCAGATCTAGCACGCTGTCGTTCTGTAACTCCGCTCTACCCTCACTTCTCACCGCCTAGATTCCTCCGAGGCCGAATCTTGCTCCACTTCAAGGCTCCACCCGATATCCTCCGCCAATCTAGATCATCCAATTCGAATTTTGACATCGCCAAACCAGGACATCACCGAGCACTGAAGGCCTGACTTGACTCTCAGCACAGCACCTTGCCAACAATAGTTAATTATCAGAATCTGAAAAGACACCAACGCCAAACAATTCTACACTGCCCAATGCACAAGAAGGTATGCCACTCAGGCTACCCTTGTACCTAGAAGTGACAGCCAGTGGAGCGACGCATTATACAAATCATAGTACAAGGCGCCGCCCGACTCTGCCCCGAACTACTATGACGAAAGATCTACATACAATTGGCAGCAGAGCTTGCCACATTGGCATCTTCAAAACTCTGCGATCGGAATATCGGGCAGAGTCGAGATAAGGTTGCGATCGTGCAGCATCGTCACGTGAGTGTGTAGTTGGACCTCGACGTCAACTATACACAACCACAAACTGGAGCGCCAAAACGTAGACAATACGATAGATTAAGTTTTCATATAGCTCGCCTAATGCAAAGAGTAAATATCGACTGAGTTCGTCATCCGCGCTGGTGTAGTGCCAACCAACGAACTGTGCAAGACAAGACCTCCCAACAGACTCCCCGGGACCTTCCTGAACAGTCTTTGTGAATTCTTCGAAAGCGGGCCATCGTCCTGGTCTCGAACATACAGCCTATTCCGGGTCGAAGCGTCGAGTCTACGTCGGTAGAAGCGCGGACAAGTATTAACAGCATCTACAGGCAGTGAGGAGACCGGGAAACCTGGCTTGTGCTGACGGGGTTTACCCTTGGGTGAACGAGGTCCATTTTGAGGGAATCGTGGAGAGGGAGAAGCGTTGGACCCATACACTAGATCTATAGTAGCGGCCCGTGAAAAGAATTGCGTGGAGCTGCGAACCTCGCGAGAGGGTTTCTCTGGTACGGAGAGTGTGGAGGCCTTACGCCGGAGCCTCCTCCCACTTGGCTTCTGTGGTGTTTCTGAGAGATCCATAAAGTTTGCCCGCGGTATCTGCGGTGTCGCTTCTTCCTTTTTCGCGGCTCCAGGGTCGGTGTACGCACGGCGTATGGCGGTGGAGGGGTCTATTTGCTCGAAAACAGAAGGCTTTTGCGTCTTGCTTGATTTAAGAAGAAGTGTCCAACCAGCAAAGAGGCTTCCATCGTAATTAGTCTTGTGGCTGTCCTGAAGATGTTGTCGGAATCTTTGACCGGAGAAGTACAGCCGTTGGTTACAATTCCTGAAGTTGTGCTGGGATATGTGCTCCTTCAACACAGATCCTTTTACCCTCCCGGCACCCTTGACGAGCGTCTCGTTGCAGTAGCAACAGACTGCCTCGATATTTTCTCTCGAACCAGCTGGGTAAATCGTATACTGCATTCCGGGCAAGAAGGAACAAGACCACATGGTGCAGACTGGATGAAGGTTTTGTGCTGCTGCAAGGTTCGCGTATGTGCGTTCGCAGTAGCAGCAGCGATGAGGCGGATCACTAGTTTAAGGTATCAATAACCGTATTCAGTCTCCAAGCAGAGTAAGTGTAGCTTACGGATTCCGATAAGTCACCCTAGACGAATTCAGCTGGTCAATGTCATGATTGACCCTTCCATTCCACCAAGACATCATGTCCAGACCCTCGAGAAAATGCCCACTAACATGCTCGGTCCGCTCCGCATATGTCGTGAAGGTCTGACCGCAGAAGCCACAATGGAGTGCTTGGTGGCCATCCTTCAATGGCAAAGGATGCCTCCACGCTTCCAAGAGCTCGGTCAACCGGAGGGGCTTCTGCCAGGTGTTGACTTTATGGACTTGGGAGATATGCTGTAAGAAGTGGTCTTTTCTGCTGAAGGTTCGCTCCGAAAGCGGTTTTTCTTGACAAGAAAGGTAGTTGTGATCAGCGAGATGTGATGGGCTTGGATGGCTCTTCGCACAGAACGGGCATCTTTCGGGAAACTCTCCAATTCGAGGACAGCACACCCATAATTCTTCAGGCATGTGGAGGGTCTGCTCATGCCTCACCCATTCAAGACGACTGTGGAATCGTTTCTGACAGAAAGTGCAGTAGAACTTTGGCCGTCGCGTTGGTTTCCGCTCATACAACATTGCATTTCTTTTGTCCGCGTGAGCTTTGCGAGGTCGTTCATCCAACGCACCATGCGACCTTGTTCTTCGCGGAATCTTTCCAGGGGCTGTCTCGACCATTGTGCCGCTAGTACTCGGCCGCTCGGGTATGTCCTCAGGAGATCGTGCATCCTCGGGGGAGCTTACTAGAACGCTTCCACTTGATTTAGGTCTCTCGATGCTCTTAGCGTCAGATATGTCGCCTCCTAAGATCCACGCTAATTTGGGTCGTGCAGCCATCTGCGCGTAGGCCATCTCATCAGTGACCCGACTCGGAGGAGATGCTGGGCTTTCTCTCTCTGCCCTGTACCTTCTCATCTTTTCTTCTAGCTGCTTCGCTTTTTCCTGGATCTGGGCGATTTCTTGCTCTGCCTTGGTCCTGTACTCGGATCTTCGGGCTTCTTCATACCCAGGCAAGAAGTTGTCCATCTGTTCTGCCCATGTCTTCTCCACGTCCACAGTGCCGCTCGTGGTAGGTCTTTCTGGAGATTTATCTGTTGCATCTTCGAGCCCTGAAGTGATGAGCTTCGGGAGTTCAGGAACTCGAGGATGTGTTTTGCTTCGATGGTGGTGGTTAGACCGATTGACTTTGCGTGAAGCAGCGCTGTGGGAAGTAGCAGTCGACTCAGCAGCGCTTCCACTTGTGTAGAATGTTCGCCGACCATCTGAGTTTGCATCGAGGGAGCTCTCTCTTGAGTGAGTTCTGCGTAGAATGGTAGGTAACTGAGTTCCCCGATTCCGTGATGTCTGATTTTTCAGTGCAGCGTCGATGGCAGGAACAGAGGCCGGCTCGTCCTCCAATGGTGCGCTTAGATAGCGCTCAATCGACATCCTACTTGACGTTTTAGAGGCCGCTATTCTCGCAGCGCTTTCCATTCTGGTAGTCATTGGCGGGGTTGCGCGCCATATCTCATCCACCTCTGCAGAATCATGCCTCTGAATTGGCAGTGCTGCATCTGCAAATTGGATTAGGAAGGTTGCTCAAGCTGATCTTAACAACTTACGAGATTTTGACTTCCGGATGCGGTGAATGTGGAACCAAGTTTTCATATTTGCTTTTCAAGGAATTACTTACAGCAGAAGAGAATGGAAATAACGAGAATAAGCTCAAGTGAGCCCGCACTTACTATTCATAGTGACTTTGTCCTAGTGGATCTTTGCTTGGTTTTACACTTGCTTTGGACTTTGCATTCTCGACGAGAGCTGTTGAGACAGATTTAGCCTGCAGCGGATGAGTATCAACTTTGGTACCGAGACACACTCTCCACATCCGGATGGGACCACACTATCCAGTCAGCAAAAAAGGAAGGCTGAGATAGCGGACAAATTGGCTGCACGGATCGCACCTTGACTGAAACTCCTCATGCCTGGCTTGCGGTTAGAGTCTGGGGAAGTCAAACACCGGCAGATGCCAAGAGAATAACGGTCCGTAGGCATCAGCCGACAAGCATGGACTTCAAGGAGGGTGTAAGGGGCGTCTATAGCATCGCAGTTACTCAAGAGATGATGCAATCATAAGGAAAATCGCAAGGTAGTTGACGCAATTATTCCAAGGGTTCCTCCCACTGGCCCAATGTGGATTAGACGGAAAGCCTTCTAGAAGGGTAGCTGTTTTGAGTAACAGTAAGCAGGAAACGAAATTATCGCGGAAGCCATGTGAGTTCCAACTTAACGATTGATAGGACGGTACAGTATACACAACGCGAAGAGTGTGGAAAGATGCCATTTGAAGGAACTCCCTTCAGCCGAGCTAGGTTTGCCAAGATAATGGTCAGTTGTCAAGATCCATGACAAGGAGGTGGTAAGGTGAATTCTGGCCTTTCGGGAATGCAACTCTGAGTGGACTGTTGCCGGAGGATGAATGGTGTTCAAGCCGTGGGAGACTAGCGTCACAATCGTTATCTGTAGGCCCGGGGTGTTTGTGTGGGTGACAACATCATCGCTGAGCTGTATCAAGGGAGACAGATTATGGATATGATCAAAAACCATGAGAGTTTGGTGGGCGTAATTTATCCAAATGTTGGGTCGATGTGTTGATGCAGTTGAGATGAAGGGCAGCTGCAGGAAATCCGAATCTGCGGGGAAGCGCTTTCCCCAATTTGGGCATGCCCCTGGCCTTACAACCCTATCTTAACCTTATGCATAACACTCTTCCAGATATCTGGCCGCTTCAGAAGCCAAGATGCAAGCGATGAAGCAAGCATGAGGATTCCCTTCTAGAAAACTGCAATTACTGCTAAAATCGTCGCTTTACGGCCAAACAAACGTGCACTTATGCCCCGGAGGTGGGGATCGGCCACTGCCGAAGAATCGTCGAACTGTCGTAGATCTTCGGCCAGCGTACCTGGAGACAGCATCCGCAGCTAATGTGAATTATTCTGAAGGATTCCAAATCCGAGGCTCCTGAATTATTTTAACGTGAGAAATGTGGGCATGGGTACGAGCAGGAGTTACTAGGGTAGACTTACAAAGGGCTCTCTGGGTTCCAGCAACAGAAATGATTGGCTCCCAAACACAAAGAAGATGCATGTTTTCATATTGGGACCGGACCGAGAGACCGCGAGCAACATTTGAGCTCGAGTTGGCAACCATCGATGCTGGTAAAGTCTCAGATTGACAAGCAACGTGCATACTGGCCCAAAAGCAGACCTCGAGATCGACTTGCGTAGACGCATTATATTAAGACAGCTAGCCCTCAAGCACAGAGATCTCGGTGTCTCGATATGAAGGCTACATGAAGCCACACGGCAATTCGAACTTGCGACACTGAGTATTATGGCCCGGTTGTTAGATTCTGCTATCCTACCGTCCTTAGGAATCACTACACACTTCCTACCCTTTCCATCCATTTTAGCTGCCAGCGTTTTGTATGTGCAAGGGTGTGTTCCCCTGCCCCACCCCCCTTTCAGCAACTTCCTTAACCGTCCTTTTGCTTTGCCGATTAAGTTCAATACAAATCCCCGTTCCGTCTACCTCAGCCTTCCACTCTCTGGCCGCAAATCACTTCCAAGTACTCGTATTCTGTGCGTTAAGCCTAGGTATTCCAGGAGTTGGAGAAACTCCGCGCTTCTTTACAAGATATAGGCTCAGGCAGCTATAAAAATAGAGAAATAATGGGACTGATGACAGTGCCCACAAGAACACCTGTGTGTATGTCCTTGGGTTGATGTGAATATGCCGGCGACGGTGATGATGATGGTGATCTAGTTGCTGTGGGACATATTGATATTCCCCTGGTAGCGGAAACCTTACTATTCGTTGATGAGGCGGTGGTCGCTGAAGAGGTAACATTTGCATCAACATGTAGGATAGAGAGATCCGATTGCTGAAATGGGACAACATAAGGCCAATGAAACCCCAGTACACCCGTAGAAATAACCGTCATTTCCGAGCGATCGACAGACACGAAAGCGGTGAAAAGATTTGTAAAAGCAGTAACGCATATGCGCAAGACGAGATCGAATCTATGAGAGTTCTCTATCAGTGTCTCGTTCTTAGGTTTTAGTAATGATAGAATTCCAATCCCTTTGACAGCAATTAGCCACTGATGTAGTCCTATTACTGTTGACCGAGATCGTGATTCTAATGGTACTTTCACCTTTTGGACAAACCCCTGGACTGAATATCGGATCACCGGACGCCCATCCTGAGGGTTGACATGCTGCAAATCTGCCATCATTAGAGTTGCTCCAGACTGACGATTGGCCGTGAGATATCAGAGACTAGAGCATGAGGCGGGCGGGGTGGCTCTAGTCGTCAAAGCCGGGGAGAAGGACATGATATTGTAATTACAAAAGCTGGAAGGTTGGAGCTTGAATGAGAGGATCTTGGTAACTCACTCACTTATGCAACCTTCTTCCGCGCCAGCCAATCCAAGGAAATGCTTTCAGCCCTCCAAACCGCAGTCATACTTCAGAGTCATCACCTTCAAAATGGATTGTTGCTGAGATGGGTGCGTAACCTACGTTATAACGCCTCCACGTTTCGTCGAACGCGGCACTGCATGTTGTCGTGTTGGAGGCAATATAACAGGGAAACTGTTCTTCCCAATTACTGAACCTCAAAATATCCATCAGAGAAACTACATTTAGCCTTGAGGATACTGAAAACAAGCTAGCAAAGAAACCATTTTTGGATTGCAAATAGGGGCACTTTGCTTACCCATCCCGTATGCACAGACATAAGATTTATGAATACCTACAGTAGGAACTGGTCGTAGCTTCTAAGGTTCAAAACTTGAGACCCTGAATCACTGAAGTATACCTGAGGTGGAGCATTTAGCGATATAGACGCTGGGACTTTGAACCCGCTTCTTGGGGGAAATGAGGGCCAACCACGACTATGGTTCCCGAAAGGATGTTTCTGCGATCAAATCGTTCAGCCCTCGATAAAGCCAAAGGCAAACCAGGCAGATACTACTTGATTTAAGGGTGAAAGGAGGACTAAGGAACAGCAGGAAGCGCTACTGTTATTATCCGCGAGCGCGTAGGTATTCACAAGAGTAGCAAGTGTACGCGAAATGCCAAGATGGGAGATCGACTCGTGCTTAAGGCTGATCTGCAACATCCGTTAATCAGAGCTGCACTTCAGGGATTGAACGACTTACTTCTTGCTGGAAAGGGAATACAGCCCTAGGAACTTGACCTAAACTCGTTCATAGAACGGGCCCACCCACGTTCACGAGCATTTAGTGAAGGCTTTAAGACCTCGACGCAAAGTTTGGAGCATATCACCAACGACAAACTTCAACATCTGCATTGCATTCCAACAGACTTTCATCCTTTATCACCAAGCATATGTACAAAGGTGGATAGTCATCGTCAGTTCGAAGTCTTGTCATCCACACGCTCCAGCCATTAAATCTTATCCGACAATAGCTCATTCTGCCATGATCATACCATCGTAACCAGAATCTAACCGGATTCGCTCGAAATAAACAAAGGGGGGCGGAAAGAACTGTTGTGCGGAAGCTTCGACCGACTTCACGACCCAGCCGAGGCGCACCGAAGCGATGCTAGTGTCCGAGCAGTGGGAAGAGATGTTGAGGGTAGGAGGAAGGGATGGGTCGCATCAATGAATGGGTGGCTGGTAGTTTATCGGTCGCCTTTCACATGGTTAGGGTGACTCCAGCTCTACGAGGTCGAGTGTACATACTTGAATAGAAGAATATGGGGCTCCGGTTCGTGCACTTCGTAGTGTTCCCAACCCAGACTCTAGCAAAATGTCAACATATTCCAGCCCAAGCTGGACGTGGAGTTCCCATACCTGTGTAATGCCCAATGCTCGCCACTCCTCCTCCCACAACAACTTCAATGTTCCCCTCGATCCGTCGAAGTACTCCTTGGGTATCGCCTTCAGCATCTGCTTGGGAAGCTGCACATGGCGGTATTCAAATTCGCTGTCGGAGTACCTGGTTCTACAATCAGCTCCAATCCCTGTACTGTTCTTGTAAACAACCAACCTCGCTGAGTAGTGGATCGCGTCAACAAACTCGTCGAGCTTCTCCTTCTCGAGTTCTGAAAGCGGCCGCGGTTTCTTGTTGCGCCTGGTGTGATCTATGTCCAAGTTGGACATGGCGAGGCTGGTGTAAGGGCACAAGAGTTGCTCGTGTGCTCGTGGCGTGGGGTTGTCGAACCGCTGGTGGTGGGGCAAGAGCCCGGCAGGCAGCAGATATTCAGTATGGGTGGTGGGCTGGCAGAATTGGGGGACTGTAGAGTCGGGGAATGTAAATAGAGAGACAATGGGTGTAAGCAGGATCGCAAATAGAGGTGAGTGCAGAATGATAGTGCGGAGTGTAAGGAAAACAAGTCGTGTTTATGTTCCGGGCGGTGAAATGGAGGCCCTGAGACCCCATTGGCCAAAAGGCTCGGAGACCGGTATTTTCCGAGCTTGAACCTCATTGCCACGACAAGTCGCCGATGCCATCTCTACTCTCTCCTTAGTCTCAAGTAGTATGCACAGCACACCCTCCGTTATGTTTTGTACGGATCTCTATTACTCTACTCTAGCAGCACCTAAGCCACTGCGCGGTAAGGTCCCTCTAGTGCAGCCTGTGGTTCGTCTTGGCGAGCCCTCAGCCCCCCAAAATCTGAGCCCTCCGCCTTGAACTCTTCACGTCTGTGAATCCTTCGATCTTTCTCATTCTTCTACTTTAATTAAGCTGGTACCCTCAGCTTCTACTCAACCTTTTCATGCAGTATCAAGTCAATGCTACCATGCCAGTGATTAAGCAATAGCAAATATGGACAACCTTCCTCTAGTGGAAGTCAGTAAGTCAATTTACAAGAAGATGACCAGCGAATTACCACTAATATGTTTTAGTTGCGGGCTGTCACATATGCCATAATATTGGCGCATACGCATTTGTTCGAGTCTCATTCCACGAAATCCACGCATCTAGTGCCAGTGGAAACGGCTGCATCAAGTGTTCTGTGTTGTGGAAAGTCGCTTTAGTGTTTATTCCTGATCGACTGCGACAATCAAACACTTTAATTTCGTTCAGAATCACTCAGCTCGGGAACCCTAAATCCATCTTCAACCTGGAAGTTTTTGGCGCCACTGGAGAATCTCTGAGCCGCCACATCGTCTTCTTCACCACCTCTGAACGACCATACGTTTTTGGCCAGAAGGTGATTGACAATGGGCATCTTCTTGAGGGCAAGACATCTTCCCGGGATGTCTGGCGTACAGTTCGTTACTGGTTGGCTGATTGCGTTAATCAACATAGAACGCCAGCCTGTTATCGTGATTCAGTTTCAGCTTCAAACACTCTCCCTACTCGAGTCCTAGATCTTGGCCGCCTTACAAATGCGCAAGCTGACATAATGCTTCATGAAACGCAAAACGGAGAAGCGGGGGTGTACATGTGCCTCAGCCACTGCTGGGGACCGCAAGGATGTGCACTGAAGACGACGTCCCAGAATCTCGGTGCCCATAAGAACTGTATTTCTTTTGAATTTCTCCCGCAGACCTTCAAAGATGCAGTTATTTTCACGCGATGGCTAGGAATCAGATATCTTTGGATTGATTCCCTATGCATTATACAGGATAGCGACGAAGACTGGGAGCTGGAATCTGGCGCAATGGCCCAAGTGTATGAGAACTCGTATTTAACATTGTCCGCAGCAAAAGCATCATGCGATTCGGAAGGAATGTTCATGGATGAGGAGCGCAGCACGACTCAATACTACTTCACCAATGGCAATGATTCCGCTGATCATTTGCCGCTTCAAAACTGCGATGCAAGTTCACACCAGTCTTTCCAAAAGACGCGTTCACGTAGGCCAATTCAGTTCTACATGCGCGAAAGCATATTCCACTCACCAATCGACGGGGAATTCTACGAACGCGAATCACATCCCAGTTTCCCCCTATTATCACGAGCATGGGCATTTCAAGAGCGCATATTATCGCCGCGAGTTCTACATTTCGGCGGCCAAGAACTTTACTGGGAATGCCGGCAAGAAACTTACTGCGAGTGCGGACACAAGGGAATTGCAAAAAGTTGGGCGAAGCGAGAGTATGGTGATTTATTATCTGAGATTTCTGAAAGGGTATTGAAATCTAAGATTACATCGCCATCTTCTTTGTTAAATCATTTCACCAGGTGGAAGAGATTAGTGGAAAAGTATTCCCAGAAACACCTTAGCTTTCCAATAGACCGATTGCCTGCTTTGTCCGGGCTTGCAAGCAGGATGCAGAACCGGTTTTCTGGGACATATTTAGCGGGTATATGGCAAAGCGATACCGGCGCCCTCATATGGCACGTCAACGGAGACCCAGAGGCCATCCTATCGCAGTACATCGCCCCGAGTTGGTCGTGGGCTAGTGTGAATCGAGGAATCACTTACATCCGCATCGGCCTCCGAGATGAAATCTTCTACTCTATCGTCGAAGCTATGTGTGTTCCCCTTGGACTCAACCCCGCCGGCCAAGTTTCTTCAGGTTACCTCATAGTGAAGGGTCAATACGAAACTGTCAAGTACAACCCAGTCACCGAAGAATGGTACATCGGCCGCCAGCCAGACCACTTGCTTTACTGGGATAGCTCGCACGTGAAGCCGTTCTGGGATTCACGGTGGGAAGACCCACTGGAGAAGCCACTGAGAGACCTTATCCTTTTGCGCCTCGTGAGGCTAGTTGACTGGATTGTGTTTCTCATCCTCCAAAAGATGGATGCTAAAGAGGAGACCGTACAACGAGTCGGGCTCTTGAAAGTGGATAAGTTCGCTGCCGGAGAAGAACATCTCAATGAAGCCAACTGTTTTTGTGGAACAACAACTGCCAAGATGATTTAACTGAGCACTCAAGCATTTGGCCACTTTGGCTCCTCTCCACACCCAGCTAGGTAAACAGAACGGGTTACTGCATCCCAGTCTTCGCCCCAACTTCGATACCACCATTCCTGCCATCAATACTCCCGAAAGTCGCACAACACGAGCCCCCCATGCAATATATACACTTGATTTAGAATCGAACGATCCTCCCATGATGTCTAATCAAGACCTCCGAGTCCTCCAGGTGATCGCAGTAACCGCACTCCTTGATCGAGTCAGCAGGCGTAGCGCAGGGACTGTTGGGTGAACTTACCCGCCGCTGGCGATGAGCGTAACCGCCCGACCCTGTCTTGGCCTTCTTTGGTACCTTCAGCCTCATGATCTCGGTAGTCGGGAGGATCAGCATCTTTTCTCTTTCCCCAGTGGTCTACCTACCACCTATGTATAGTACAATCTTAAAGTCTTCTTGCAGTTGATTGATATGACTAAGTTACTTTAGACACGCTTCCTTCCACGTTAGAACATATGGACATTGCATTAAACCCAGGCAATCTATCCTTCCAAAAACCGAACCAGAAACCAGGTTTGAAATCTCGTCCCCCCTTTCACTTCGCCTAGAATACGCACTAAACCCAAATTACCGGCATTCTATTACCTCTCCCTTCTAAAAATGATCGCAAATGTATCTACAGGTCCTAAAGATAATGATCCTAGATTACCATAGGCTTCCTTATCTTTCTATTTCCTACCCCTGCCATCTATCCTCCCCTCTGCTCTCTTCTTTAGCCTCATTGCCGGCATCCCTTACCCAGACTCTGCTCTACCCACTTCCCTGCAGCTTGGGACCAATCACCATCATAGCATCTCAGTGTAGGAGTTGGGCTCTCAGGCGCTCTAGGGCTGTTCTGGGTATTTGGTAGCTGCACCATCTGCGGTTCAACAGATCTCCTCCGTTTCTCTAGTATAAATGCGGCATTACTGGCGCCGATTATCACCGCAATTGATGGGATTTCCACTTCAATTCTGATCTTCGCTCCTGTGGAAATCCCTTTGACAGACGGCTTTAATGATGATATTAACATACTCGGTGCAAAAGGATTGTGTATTGCCTCCCTCGCGCCTGAGATTGAGGTAAATGTGGTTAGTGTTCCCTTTGCATGGCCTCCTGTACGCAAGAGGCTAGTGGCTTGTGCTTTTGCACTGGTATGTGGTAACGTCGAGGCTGGGGATGTTGCTGCACTTACTCATGGAAGAGCCAACGCTGGATGAAGTGGGGATTTTAGTTCGCATCACTGCAGAAGCTGAAGCCGGGTATAGCAGTGGAAGGTAGCTCTTAATATCTGACGAAAGTGCTTAGTACCATGCTGGACAATTTCCGGCCGTGAGTGAAGCTGCTAGCTAGGATGAGAAATCTTCCGAGTCGGCGATTGCGACTGATACTGGGTTTGGTGGAATAGCTGCTACAATACCAGAGAGAACAGATGACTTATTTGAGTTGGTGGTACTAGCGGTTTGTTTTCATTCAAGACTGCAGTTTACGATAGCGTAGACAGGTGGTGAAGATTAAGAACGGGGTCGCGCATAGTAAGTAACAAGATTGAAGAAGCTGAGGGGGACCAACAATTCCCCAAAGCTAGGGAAATAAATGATTACGGTCATCTGTAGATATCTCTAGTAACGCGGCCAATAAGATTCCAGCATTTCGCTACTCGACCGGCGCCGTTGGGCTGGCACTCAATTGCGGGCAAGGAAACATCTGAAAGAGTCGATTTCGCTCTTGTAACTGGTATCTTGTGTGGCGTAATAAAGTGTATACTTCCTCGCAAACCTTGACACAAACCTCACCACTCCATCCCATTTAGCTCAAAAGCGGTCCCTCCTCAAGCACGGTCTCCTCTCAAACCACACCCCCCTATCTTAACCCCCCTTCCCTCCTAACCCCAAAACTTGCAAATCCTCTAAGCCAATGGCCCCGCCCAATCATATATCAACCGACAACTCTTCGCCTCCTCACCTCTCCTAACTACAAACCGCCTCGTCAACATCCTCACCCCGTCCACTTCCGCAAACCCCCAAATTTGCCACGCCGTCCAACCCTTCCCCTCATTCTCTACAAAACTATCCACCACCTCCCCATTCACTGTTTCCTCCAACCAGCCCTCACAAAGAAACTCCGCATCCTGTTCCAACGCCTTCCCCGCATACTCCTCCTTCAGCTTCGTCAGGGTGTTCCAGCGACTTCTGCCTCGCAGATCGCCGAAGAGGTAGTCAGAGTGAGGACGGAATTGCCAGTCGAGAATGCGTTTTTCGGAGGTGCCTTTTAGGCCGCCGGAGGCGGTTTGCTGGATCTCAATGTGCGTGATGGGAGCGCCGGTGGGATTATCTTCTGGGGGTTCTGTGTAGGATTTTAGGTGTTGGGTTACAGTAGCGAGCCCGATGGCTTTGCGGGTTAGCCAGCCCATGCCTTGGAGCGCGAGGACCGGGTCCGTGGAGTCGGAGAGAGTTTTGTTCTGGGTGGGTTAGTGGGGGTGGAACGAATAGGAAATAGAGATTTTTGAATTGAAGCGCGTTAGAGTTTATATTGGGCTTGGAAATAAAACAAAACAGAGTACTAGGAAGTTGTGAATAGGGCAAGACCGAATGTTCATAGCTAGGAAAACCAGACTCACTATAATCCATTTGCCGTCCAAAGACCTGATCGTCTTCTCCGATGGTGCGGCCATTGTGTCTGTCTCTTTGCAATTTCCCTTGCTTCCTTGGAGTTGAAGCTACGTAGTGGAAATTTGAAGTCGAAAATCGAAGTTGAGAAATCCCTCGAGAACGCGTCGAGCTTGGGCTTACTGTTGGTGGGCAGTCTGAGTTCCGGTACGTCACACAACACACTTGTCTGAATTCACAAAGCGGGATCCCACAGCCTTCTTAAATACACATCACAGCCCCCACCACGCATCCCTCAACCCTGCATGCACAGGCTTCTAAATTCGGGACGGTACGCAATCGATGGATTGGCGCTTCACATGTAGTCTGGTTCGTCGTACCTGACAGCTGTCGGCCTCCGAGATACCTAGGCACTTCCGCATTCGCTCCTAGCGGGGTTATTTCTAGTGGGGAATCCCTGTACGGCTACTGCATATAAAGCCTCCAAGAGTGGAATTCGACGCGCATTTCCGACGATGTTTGGTGGATGGGTGGAGGACTGGAGGAAGCGGAAGCGGAAGGTGAGAGTGGTTGGACCGAGGGATTGCATGTGCTAGAGCTAAAGCGAAGACGAGGCTTTTCGATCTTTTTGCTGTTTGGGGTAGAAGGCCCGAGGTGAGCACGTGATATCAAATCAATAGATTGATGTTTCCTGTCTGGGAAGGGGAAATAGGACAGCGCGAGTACATCGCGAAGGATAGTGGAACATGATGTTATAGTTGCGATTCTTGTGGCTTCACGTGCCTCAAGAAACATCCCAACCTCAACCTCTGATACTACGCCAATACGCCTATACACCCAAAAATGCTTCCTCCCACAGTCCAGCTCCTTTGGGTGTTTGGCAGACAGCTGTCGCGACCGCTCACGGGCATTACTGACACAAAACCCCGGCAATCTTTAACCCCAGGTCCAGCACCGCAAGATGCTCATCCCCACCATCTACCAGTCTCTTATCCGTCTCGGAAAACATGCCCGCAATCCTCATTTTTTGCAAGTCTTGTACCCGCTCGTCATACATAATCCTATCATACAGCTGATTGACTGTCTGCGCCGCACTCCACCCTTCCGCAATCATGTCCTCCACCACATTTGCGATACTTGTGTAATTCAGTTTCTTGGAGGTTTGGGGGAAGATGGCGGTGCTGAGGGAATCCATAGTCTGTGTGGGAATGACGCCTGCGATTTCCTGGATGCTTCGGACGGAAACGATATCCGCTTCCGCAGGTTCCTCGTCATCAAGATCCATCTCGTCGTCTTCAACAACCCTCTTCTTCCTCGTCTTCTCACCATCCTTGCTTTCCCCAGCAAGTCTCGCCGCAGACTGCAAAAACGTAATCGCCTTCCTTAAGTCACCCTCACTAACCCTCACCAACTCCTCACCAACTCCTCGCGCTAACCTTACCCCTTCAAGTTTCGCAATATCTTCAATACGGCCGACTGCAGACCCCTGATCCAAACTCTTAAACCTAAACTTCGAGCATCTACTCGCCAAAGGATCGATAATCCTCGTGACATAATTACACACAAGACAAAACCTCGTCATCTTGCTATACGTCTCCATCGTTCGCCTAAGCGCAGACTGCGCATCCTGCGTCATCGAATCTGCTTCATCCAGCACAACAATCTTGAACGGTGGACAGGGATATTTATCCCTATACCTGACCATCTTGCCCTCTTCCCCCTCTTTGTCTTCTGTCATGACTTGATAGGTTGGTGCAGAGCTTAGTTGCTGTCGTGCGAAGTCCTTGACCTTAGCTCGTACGATGCTGATTCCACGTTCATCTGAGGCATTGAGTTCCAACACTCTTGATTTCATAAGTTCGGGACCGTAGAGCTGTTTTGCGAGCGCGAGGATCGTCGACGTTTTTCCAGTTCCCGGTGGGCCGTAGAAGAGCATGTGGGGGAGGTTGGAGGATTGCAGCGTGCGAGAGAGGATTTGGATCGTGTTGTCCTGGGCTGTGACTTCGGAGAGCTTTTTTGGACGGCTGTGGACCACATATTAGCTCATGGTCTTCCCATATGTTGGACTTTAGTGCCGCTAGATGTTGGGAGAGAATTGGCATACTATTTCTCGACCCATGGCTGCAGCCGACTGGGCTCCTGCTTTGTCGTAGGTGCTTTCGAGGAACTGGCCTGGGCTGCAGCCGCCTGCCGTGCCTTGATGTTGAAGAAGTCCGCCATGGTGGGAGAGCAAGGGAGGTTGTGAGGTTTGGCGGTGGGGTCAATCAGGTCTACTTGGTTAAAGTGGGAGAGACGCGACACGAAATCGCGCTTTCACGTTCAAGTGCACGGGCCAACCCAATCATTCACCAATCACGTCCCAAACCGTAGAGAGCCGGACTCGTCGGCTCAGAGCATGCTCTACTATTGTGTCCTTCCTATACATGATTTGCCCCCAAGCCTCTGCATTATGTAAGGTGATCCTGCCATGTGCCAAAAGCGGCCTTTCATCAGACATCGCATCCATGCACCCATCCCTGACTGATCACCAAGCCCCAAACCCACTGTAATCGATGCTGTGTTAAATCAATACTCGATTCGTCCCGCGGTCGTGTAGTTCATCATCTCTTATTTAGAGATGCTCCTTGAAAGAAAATATATTACTTTCCCTTCAAGCTAACTCCCTTAACCCGCTTAGCCAGCTGGAGAGAATCAGAATCGGAGCCACAAGAAGGTTGCCGCCGGAGAGGATGGTCAAGATGGTGAGCCACCCCCCTGGCCGACGAAGAGTTTGTAGGTGTATAGGAACGTTTGGGGGGTCGCTCACCGGATTCTTTGAGAATCGTCAACAGCGTAGCCCAGCCAGGTGTATGTTGCAGCTGGAGCCCGTCTGAGAGATCGTGAGTCGTTGCGACTTTGCAGAGGAGAGACTCTTCCTCCTATACAGATTGTTTGTTTAGCCCATATTCATGCAAATGAAGGTAAGAACTGTCGTACCTTGCTGAGAATACCCAGACCATGGAGAAAGCAAAGAAGATGGAAATTCGAAATGCTGTTAAGTCCGCTCGTGGTATTGAGAGCAACACCATTTGCACGGGCATTGAGCTGTTTAGACAGTGCTGAAATCTCCTGAGTTTCGCCCATAATCTCTCGATTCTCGATAGGGAACCTTGGTCCAGTGAACTCAGGATTGGGTTGGTTAGGGAAGCCATGTGTTAAGGTGACTAGGAGATAATCCACAGGAAAAGCCGGTTTGGCATTCTCCTGAACGTTGGCTCCATACTCGTTGACTTTTCGGAAGAAGACCTCGGGGATATATCGTGCTTGGTTGAGAGTATTATTGTCCTCCTCCGACTGTACGAGCATGACTGACGGTTCTGCCGATGGCTCGATGATATCTGCTCGCACCATCTCCACCGCCGTATTTGACGCTTGGTATGATGAAATTCTGATGGATCCTTCCTCATCGCCGCTGATGACACACGTGACAAAGTTGGAACCAAATCTGCCGGTATCGCTCCACTTGCTGGGCCGCGGATGTTTCGCCTGGTATCTCGCAGCAAAGACGATCTCGAGTGACGACAAGAAGTAGGAATCGATATGTCGTTTGCAAACGACGGTACCATCCCCATTGCCCGCATCTAGTAAATCAGTGAAGATGACGCCGACCTTCTGAAGCCCGCATTGCCGTGCGATCTCATCGACGTCATTCTCATTTTCCCACTCGCCTAACGAGATGCCATCAGCCTCGCCAACCTGCGGTGGCTCGTAGATAGCTTCAACGACAGCCTTCGTTCCTAGTGGCACCTCCTCGTACTCCTCGTATCGACCATAGAGAAATCCCAACCGCTGGGACCCGGTATTTCTCCAGAAATTGATCAAGTCATCGACCACCCCTACGGATGCGAACTCGACATGGTCCACCATCCGGTACTCCTGCGGCTGTAGCGAGATCGCACTTGGTTGACACTTAGTGCAGATACCTTCCGGAAATGGCTTGTGTCCCGACGGGCAGTCTGGCCGCACACGATAATACGGTTCGCTAAGCGGGGGCATGTACGAGCTTCCACTCTCCGGCTTGTTCTTCCCCGAATTGATCTTCCTCAGATACGAATGGAACGAGAGATGCTTGATCTTCTTCTCTGCTAGGTACTCAAGGGCATACGGCTCCAGCGGCATGCAGTAGTCGCACATGCCTTTCGGCCCATGTCTGCACATCTTCTGGTCTAGTTTCCGTTGAATCTTGCCATCGAGCTTGTCTAATCTATCATCGAGCGGGGATTGCTTGATCACTTCCCAAGGATTCTTTATCAACAGTGTGGGCGAGCCTAGAGGGACGGTAGGAATTTCCGATGGTGAGACAGCGCGACCGTTCAGGCGGACAGCGCCTGTAGGAGCTTCGGAGTGGCCATTCGATATCGAGGACTGCTCCTGGAAGTCGAGGAAAAGCTGTGCACCGTGCCTGTTGGGATATCAGCTATGTCTACGCAAGGCGAGGCGAGCTACCCACGACAGGCCGACCTGTTTGAACGTGATGCCTTTCAGGGACGTCAACTTTCTTGAGTCACCTCCGTGCGGTCTGTTGCTGACGGTGAGGCTACTGAGATCGATATTCCTGGGCAGTTTCTCCGCTACCTGGGGAATGATATCCGTGAACGTCGTCGTGGGCTCGACATTGAGCCGGAACTGGCCCTCTTTGCTAACGAACCGGAGGATCATGGTGGGCAGCGTCAGAATTACTGCATCAAAGTTGGGCTACTTGGAAAAGAGCGAGGCGGCCGAGTGTCTTTTGTAGATGGGACACGCAGGCAGTAATAGAGGGTGTTAGGCAAGCCAAGGCGAACTGAAGGGTGCGGTGTGAATTGGTAAGGCGTAGAAAGCCACGGAACCGACGTCAACCTGCGGACGTGAAAGACGCGCTAAAGAACTCGCCTGGGTGTTCTGCCACCGCCTTCGGCAGATGCCGTGCTGCGAATATGTGTCCTATTCACGCCGATTCGGTCACTGTTCCGTTAATAATTTCTCCTTCACTGAACTAACAATTCACACACTTGTCCCGTCTCCTTTCCTTCTTTTCGCACCCCAGATGATTCTGCCGCTCATTTGACACACCGCCGCCCCAGATAATCAACCCGGACCTTTGTTCTCCCTGTCTCTAATCGCCCCGACGAGGAAACAGCATCCCCGAGCACAGCACGCACAAACAGCGCCCGCAACCATGTGGCCCTTTGACGCCGTCAACTGGCTGGCGCTGTCAATCCCCTTCGCCTATCTCTTCATCCTCATCGGCTCCCTCACTGTCTTCTCCAACCTCTACCGAAAACGACAAGCCGCGACCGCCGCTTCGCTCGCGCCATGGTTCCCCCCACATCTGCATCGCAACATCTACCTCACGCTGCTACACCAGGAGAACCCGAAAGTGCCGGATAGTATATTGAAGGCCGCGCTACTGCGGCGCGCGACTGAGGATATTCACCGGATAGTGCAGGTCCGGAATGCGAAGCAGGCGCTGCAGGTTCTGTTGCAGAGAGGCAGCGTGGGAGACGATTTGTGGCAGCGGTTTCAGCGGGCGGAGAAGGAGATCGAGGAAGAATTGCGCGATGTCGTTAACGAGGTTAGCCCCTCCCCTTCCCCTCGCCCGATGACCCTCCTATGTACTAAATCGTGCCTTTGTCCAGGCCAACGCATTTGCCCCTAACTGGGGTACCACCATCTTCCAATCCGCCTCCGAAATGGCCCAAAACGCGCACATACGCGAGCGCCTTGCCGAAATCCAGGCCACTGCTCCCGCCGAAAAGGAATGGTGGGAGAAGCGCCGCACGGAAATCTCGTCAAATTTCATGAAGGAGCTGGATGAGGAGAAAAAGAGCCCAACCGCCACTGAGGCGGCGAGTGGTAAGCCTGCTGCAAAAACAGGGTCTGACGATGATGCGGTAATTGTCGAGGCGGGGGGTCCAACCGTGAACGCGGGGAAGGGCAAGAAGAAGAAAGCTAAGCATTGAGGTGTGGGTGACGACAGGGTTGCTCGGAAGCGAGACGTGCTGAGGTGTTGTGGTGTACAGTTACAGAGAGATGTCATTAGTCCGAGGGTTAGGGAGGCTAGAGAGATTTCTTGGGCCCATAGCATTACCGGCGTTGAGGTGTTCAAGGCACCTCGGGAAGGGGGCACGCTTAGCTGGCGCTTGAGAGGGATTCTCAAGGGCTACTTGTATGAACAAAGCACTCGATTCACCGCAGACAACAAACATACCAATTCAAATCATGTGACGAAATTGCGAACGCTACTAGACGCCATTGAACCTGTGGGGATCCCACTGCAGACAACCTGATACATGGTACAATCCCTGCACTTTCTAGAAAGAAAACGAAAATGTTGTCGTACACCAGATATACAAATCCAATACCTTCATTTCCCGGACCGGGAACTTGCCCAGCCCTACTTCCTCACTGGTCCGCTAACACCAGCTCCGATCACGCTTGGCAGCTCCTCGTTTCCGATGGAATACAACATTCCGATGCCTGCGCTGATAAGGAAAGCCATGAGCACACCACTACCGGCAAACAACCAAAACGGTACCGAGACATCTTTCTTTTGGCAAGCGGGGCCTCCCCAGTATGTTGTCTTACTTCCACCACCTTCAGTATCAATGACAGTAGCGTCACACCGACACCCATAGCAGTCCTGGACCGTTGCATCTTTGCCCGTCTCGCCTTTGTGGAGGAGGTCACATTTTCCATGGCCCGTGCAGTTGTGCGTTTGCTTTTTGCAATCCGAGAGCGATTCAAAGCATCGCGGAAGTATTCCAAGGACGGGCCCTGACTCGAAGAGAGCAGGGAATTTCTCAATGGTTTGGGCGGACATGTTTTGTGGAGTGGTGGAGGGTTGGGAAGATGAGGGCGAAAGAAGAGCCTCGGACTTCTCACGGCGAGCTTCGATAGATGAAGGGAGGTCATATGTGCCGTAGGGGTGGGCAGCGCGCTTAGAGTGCGAGGAGGGCGGGGGCATGAGGACAACGGTTATAGAGAAGCCTTGGTCAACGGATGTGGAGACGAGTTGGGCGAGGGCATTAGAGAGGTCGGAAGAAGAGGCGGACAGGGTTTTGTCTGCGTGGAAGACGGTGAGGTAGTCATTGTACGTGTCGACGGGCTTGAGCTGGCCCAAGAGTTTATCGACAACAAGGCCGGTGTTGTAAGTGTCTTGCCGTGGGTCAGGTCTACGAGGGAGAGATTCGGCTTGCAACACCATATCTTGGATCAAGCGGTCGTTGGCAGACGAGCATGGGGGCTCGGCTATGGTGAAGGTGGCGGAGTACTCTGCCGGGTCTTTGATGATAGCTGGATGCTCTGTTAGCTCGCACCACTCTTGAATCCACGTCGGGTCCACTCACCTGCCACGTCGCGGACATCCTCGATCCATACCAGTGCATGGGCCCAGTTCCTGAAGCTATCGTCTCCAAAAGGTCGCTGCGGTCTTCCTCCGTAGGCATTGAGCTGCTCAATAACCTCGTCGTTCGCATGCTTGATTGAATGGAACTGTGACAGCCCCAGTCGTTGTGCGAGGATCAATCGAGCTGTCTCGGGGGTGACCTGCTGAGACGCAGCAGTGGTCTTGGGGTCGTAGAGGAACGCATGGCCCGCTCTCGACGCCGACGCCGAGCAATATAGTAGCGAGGAGAAGAGGAAGCCCCAAGACAGCTTCATGGCGGGCGTGGATGATGGATGGCTGGTGAGGGAGCTGGGGGATTGTGATAGCGAACGTCAGTTCGAGGCAGCCTGTCGGTGCTAGGCGGAACTTGCCGGTCCCTCGAACCTCGAGCCGCCACTAATTATCATCTCAGCCTTGCTGAGCATTTTCACCCCAGTCTCCCGTTAATTCATTTCGCAACCTTTCGCGCCCTTTGGCACTCCCTCCTTCGCCGTCCAGCAGAGCTTCCGTGACTTCATGTCGAATCCCACCTTCCTCCGCACTCCATCGCGCCGATCTTGACCTCCCCCAGCCTCCCCAGCAACGTCCCATGTTCAAGCCACAGATATTGCGGAGGAGTTTCTCTGTCTTCAACAAGATTCCCAAGGCCCACATAATCCGCTCCGCTGCCCGCGACGGACATGAGAGAGTGCACATCCAACGAGTGCGCTTCAAGAAGCCGTTCCTTACGCGATCGTGCGTAGGTCTTCCCCGCAGCTCTCCGCCAGACTAACTTGGGTGAGTAGGCGCTTCATAAGCACAGCAATCGCTACTGCCACCATTTACGGAGCCCTCAGATGGCTTGACGATGTGGGCTTCGAAGACGAAGACGACGATGAGGTCGAAGAGGACGAAGAGGACCGAAAGCTACGGCAGGCACGCCGACGAGCAGAATCAGAGAAGCGTGGGCAGGCTGCAGAAGCGGACCGGGAAGACTTCGAAGAAGGCGACGACGAAGACGAAGAGGATGACGAAGATGAAGACGATGACGCCCAGCCACTCATTTTCTTTCCGACCGGCTTCACGCGCGCAAAACCAAGGACATATTATCGGGGCTCAGATCCAGAGTGGCAAGAATTCATTCGCATGGCGCAGGATCGGAGTCGCATGCAGCGAATACAGCGTACGGTTTCTGGTCCGACAACTGCAAGTGGTAATTAACAACCCTATAGTCGAACTCGTAGGCATAATTCGCGACCTTGGCTCAAAAAGACGGGATTACATTCACCGTCTGGGTCGCATCGACACTCAAGCTGGCACCTGGTGGATTGAAATAAAATTTCCCGACGGTCCCCCAATCGAATTTGAGCGCCCCGGGATCGAAATCAGCGACCATCTAACCTATCGATGGACGACTCGCCCTGTAGACGAATTTCACCACCAGCGTTTAAATAACCTCCTCTTCCCTAAGTCCGTCGCCAACTCCATATATGCCGACTCGAAGAAGAAAGCAGAGAGCTCCTGGATAGAGTTCAAGAATCTCATTGGCTGGGGAAACAAAAAAACCGAGACGAAGCAAACTACCAAACCACAGCTCCTAACCCATCCTCCAACAACACCCAACAATCCAGAGCCTCAACACGCAGGCCAAAAGTCCACCCCGTCACCGCCACCAGATTCACCCTCGGATTCTCCATCCCCCCCCTCTCCGGCCAGCGAAACCCGCCCTGAATCATCTTCTCAACCGCCATCCCAGAAAGAGCCTACAGCCTCTTCAACACTCGATAATCCCGCCTATGAGCGCTTCGGTCTGGCTCTCCCCAGTCCCAAAACCCTAACTTTAGATCTATCTACCTTCCGCCAGGCGCTCCAACGGGAGTGGCAACCATATAAGATTCAACCCCCACGCGGTACCTTCATCGTCCACGGACTTGTCGAACTAATGGGTGAAAGAGCAAAAATGACTCTCGATGTGACGGCCACCTATGACCCTAGCATGGGCAAATTTACCATGTTCACCGGCCGCATACGGAGCATTACAGATTATCGACAAGACCCGAAGGGAGGTCCTTAAATAGACCTCGAATCGAGGACTAGGCAAGGTCACTTTAAACGGAGACAGGACTGTGTTAGGTATCCTAATTGCTCTCCGCACAAATTTTGTAGCTCTCTTCTCCTTCCAACTTTGTCACTGCATTGCGTTGCATTAGCGGCGCCTCAAGGACTGGGCTCGATTTCTCGGTTCTATATAGAATTGTCCGGGTGCCAAGATATTGATGATTTTAGTGTGTCATGGCGGGCAGAGTAAACCATGCGCCTGCTCTTGCTGGTCTTTGCAGTGGAATCGCTCCGGAAGCGTAATGAAAAGATACCTAGACTCTGACACTTTTAGCACTGGAAGGGAAACAATGAGATGAATTTTGAGATATAAGTCGAGGTGTGCTAACACGATGGATGGATGGATGGATGGATGGATGGATTTCAGTGATGATCAGGAACCGAGCACGTTGGCAGGTGCGCGAGCACAAGTTAAGACCTTCTCTAAAATAAGACATCCACCTCAAAGCCTGCGGCCTTCTGCGTGCCTGGGTAAATCCCTCACCGACCCTGTACGGGTTCTTTTCCTCTTTGCTCATGCCATCTTCTCAACTCTGCCAATAGGCATGCCATTTCTTTATGCCCCGCCCACACGGGGCCAGGGAGCTGTCGAAACCGTCCTCGCCGCCCCAGGTCTTTTACCGCCCAATTATCAGCGTTTGGGAGGATGTCGGTTTCGCCGGAAGAAGACGCAACCCCCGAGGCCTAGGAGGAAATGCTAGCCTATTGCAAGCCTTCGGAGTCCAAGGCTGAAATCGAAGGCTTTCTCCCACCTGACACTACACAAGGCTAGGAGGCCCCGCGCCAGATATCTTAGTATTTACAAGCCTTTCACCCTCCCATTGCCTGGTTTTGATCATGGCTCCAGGCTCTGCGGTTGCCGGGCAAACCTTCGTCTCCAAACGCCAACTTCCAGGAGTCACTGATTCGATTGGGGCATCCATTCTTTCAGTTCTCACCACCGCTATTCCCCCGGACTCTGTCTCTATAGCTATCAGTAACCCAGACTTCTTTTCATCCACTTATGCCGTAACAACTACGACAGAGACAAGAGCGTCGAGTTTTCCGTATACCTCTACCCCCACACGCACAGCTTCAGGTGTCGTATTAGCAACATCGCCTTCAGTGCCATCATCTGCTCCTTCGACTGGATCTCGCAACCCTCTTTCGACGAGTGCTAAAATTGGCATTGGAATTGGAATCTCTGCATTTGCCTGGATAGTAATTGCTATGGTCGGTTGCTTCATACTTGGTAGGAGGAAAGGGCGTAGGGATACTGTTCCAGCCCAACATATGGATCTTCCTGAGTATGTTAGACCGAGCATAGCAAACACACTAGGGATTGAGGATCAGCATCTGCACTACAGACAAGACAATTCACCCCAATACCCAGAAATTATGGCAGTGAGAGGGGCACTGGAGAGAAAGAGCGATTCCCCAGGGACCTGGCGTACCAACTACCGCATCTGGAGATGAAAGGGAGGAAAACAAAGATAGGTGGCGTAGAACGCCCTGCGACAGTTTTACGTTTTCCAAAGCCGATATGTACTTCCAGTGCACGATAACGATTTGGTGGATCTGCATACACACACACATCTGTTGTACACTCATCCGACCCCTCGCCGAACACCAACCATTGAAACCACCGAATGTAATAGTCGTCCGCCACCCAAGATGGTCTTGCACTAAAGTTGGAATTATTCCTACCTTCATTACTCCTCCTACATGCCCTACAATACTCTATCACTATAAGAGGTGGAGACTCGAGAGAAATGAAGGACGTGATCGAGAGGCAAATGTGCGATTGAATTTGGCCCACCGGGTTTTGAGCCACAAGTGGACTTTTAGTATCTCAGACCGAGGTTGTTCAATACGCAGAGATGGATCCTTCTGTGCGTCTCGCTGAGCACTACTATAGTTGATGGCTTGCCAGTTTGGGAAATAAATGCCACTTCCTTCAAGATAACGACACTACGCGCGCCCCGTTTTGGGACCCAATTAAATACATTCTTCCATTGCCTTACCACTCAGCCACCTTCTTCTCGACGTTAAACGCCACGATTCAAAGATATTTCCCAAATAAGTCCGTGCCGCGAGGCTGCATGTTTTGAAACACCACCTTGCCAAACGGCCCCAAGTCTAACGCCTTTGCCTCAAGGATTCATGGACCAAGGCTTGCAACAAGGATCTAGTGCGTGTAGAGTTTCCAGAACCACTGTTGAATTGGCCCGGTTTTGAGTGGCTTCGCTCCTGTGCCACCATAACACGACTTCATGTGCAGCAGCTGCAACTGTGCCGCACGTGCTAAGCACTGCCTTACGATTTCTAGGGTTCGTATAGAAACGAGCTCTCCGCACCTTACTATCTGGAAGCTTTTCTAGGTTCGGTCCAAAATCCCTAGCCATGAACTTCCAATTACATTTCGTGGTGTTTGGCTTTCTGTCCGCAATAATCCACATCAAAAACTGTCAAGGGGTAGACTCCAGCGAACTGAAATCAACAACAATAGATCCACGCCTTCCATCTAGTACCAAAGCTTCCTCGACAAAGAAGCTTTCCTCTACCACGGACAAGTTCCACTTCACGGACCTTCCCTCCAAATCCACCGCCGACCCCCTCGATACTACCATCCGCGCAATACTCGAGACAGCCTTACCGCCAGTGGTGGCTTCGCTTGCTCTAAGCTCTCCCAGAGAATTTGCCAGCGCTCTTAGCTTGGCCCTCTTTGAAATGTCCAGCACGCCGGCATGGTTTTCCGCCCTCCCAGATGATGTTGAGACCTATCTTATTACGGGATACGTTCCGGATGCAAAGGCTCAAGCTACACCGAAATCATCGCTCACTACTTTGAAACTAATAACTTCTTCGAACCCTTCGGCAGGAGAGTCATCTAGAAATGCCCCAAGCACTTCCACCCTAACACACTCCCCAAATCCAAACGAAACCCGCCCAGGCAGCCCGCCTACAAAACACAGTCTCACCACCGGCGCTAGAGCAGGAATAGTAATCAGCCTATGCGTCTTCTTTCTCGTCATCGCACCCACTGCAGCATTTTTGATCGTGAAGCGGAGGAAGGTAAAAGCTGAGAGTGAGCAAGCCCTGATGGATGGTATTGGGGACGAACCGGAGTATATTGGGGCTGGGGAGATGAGAAAGGAGAAGGGGAGGTGGAGATGGAGGGAACGTGGTAGACCGAGGAGTCTGGTTAGAGAACATCAGGATGTTCCTTGAGCCTTGAAGAGCCAGAAAGGGTCCGAATAGGATATAAGACATGATTCAATGATGAAAAGGTCTAGGGGTAAGCGAAGCAGAATTACACGTAAATAATTAATCTCAGGTCTACTCGACATCTAGATACTTCTTCGGGCGTAGACTCTTATCCGGTAGACCTTCCAATCGTGACCGGAAACTAGTGGTTATCATCATCATCTTGTCTCAGGTCTCCCACTAATCACCGCAAAGTACCCTCGCTTGTGTCTCTGCCTGATCATCCTCCTATGAAACGGGTATAACTCTAGTTTTGTTTTCACTCCAGAAACGAACATATGCTACACTATCCTAGGTTTTTACTCGCAGGAAGCACCTAAAGCCGTTGTGATTTCTCTGTTTCATTTTGGACTATAAAATTCTCAGGCGTGTATTCTACGGTGGAAAAGTCTTTACTAAAAGAGGTACTTGTCATGTACCTCTTCTTTCCAAGGTTCTACTCCTCTAGCTCTTGAATGTGCTTTCTCAGCACCCGCTTTAACCCCTCTTCTTCTTCAATCTCCTCAGTATTGACATGTTAGAGGAGTATATGGACCTCCCACCCTGGTCCATTTTGCCCTTCTTCTCTACGGCTCTCTACTCCAACTCCCAGAACAAGGGGCCAATGCCAATATCATCATTGACTCACCCGTCGGCTTTGGATTTAAAAGAAATCTGCGATATCTCCTAGAATTGCTTGCCTGTGGAAGCTAGCCGTGATAGTTTGGCATGCCATGTGTCAATCTCGACACATTTAGGAGTTAGAATCGAAGTGTACTTCATTATGCATCGTTCGCAATGATCACGGCCACCGACCTCCCGTCACCGATCCTTAGAACGATATGGGTCCCATCCTCTAGGCCCGGTGCAACGTTTGGCTAGCCCGTATGCTTCCCCGCGTCCCGCAAACAATCATAAGCAATTATCTTCATGGGTTTAGATTCTAAGCCCCACATGCATGCGGTAAGAATAACACATATTTGAAACCCTTGAGGGTGTGGGAACTAGACTTCGTGACCTCTCCCTCTTTCGAACTTGAACGTAACAAATTAGTCACCTTTCAGAGTGAGGCATCCTCCACGCCCGAGTGAATATAAACCAAGAATTCAACTGGCATGGAGTCTTATCCCTCCGTGAGATCACATACCATCAAATACCACCAACTCTATAAATATTATATTAACACTCTAAAATCCATTGTCAGCCCGCCCATGGCTTGACAGAATGCGAAACCGGAACAACAGCCCTACCAGTTTATCACTTCTATAAAATACTCCCCAGGCGCTAAAATGTAGCTCTTTGGTACATCCAAACATTATATAGACAAAGCCTTGTTCGGAAACAATTTATTTTTCCGTACAGATACCCAGAGTAGTAGATAATGGATATAAATATCATTTTGCAACCCGTCGTGGAGTTTTACGCAGATATCGACTTGAAGCTTGAACAGGCTAAAAGAATCACTACCATGAGTCATGGCTTTAGATTCTCCTTCTAGGGGGACAAAAGGCATGGAAAAGAATGCATGGAGTGTGCTTGACTTAGTGAGATTGAGAAGCAAGAAACCGAGCTACATCTTCGTGCATGCGGATGTTGTGGTGGCTTTAAAAACCGATCACAGATCCCCACCTAAATACTCTGATGCTTTAAGAACAAAGTACCGGGGTCCTTTGCCCAAGAGATGTAGTAGTCGATTCTAGGCAGTTAGAACTTAAATTTTGGAGGCTAAGGTGAAATCCTGAGAGAGAATGGCGTAAAATCGGCCAAGGCCTTGGATCGAAGCTCGCGATTGATTCTGGTTTTAGCAGACGTGAATAGGGAATGCGGATGTTGTTCATCAAAAAACAGTGGTGGAGAACGGGATTGTAAGCAGACATACTGAAAATAAGACGGCTTATTCTTCTAGAAGTGTTGCTTCAGCACACTTGTCCTCTGTCCGCCGTTAATTCTGCCCTTGTGACGAAGCTGCTCTCCTCGCTGAGAAGAAACTCATTAACCTTCGCAATCTCCATCGGATCCGCCTTCCTATGTAGTGTCTGATTGTGTTGAAGAGTCCTAGCATCGCCTTCCAAGAACGATTTTGACAAGTTCTAAACCGTTAGTGTGTTGAAAATGCCTCTTATCTAGTTAGCAAAAACCCCTTTCTTTACAAAATACAAAGTGAGCAAAACACTCATGGCACAACACAATTAATCCTAATTCCCTTCTCTCCGACCTCCATCGCTGCACTCCCACTCAATCACTTGGGCGAATTTACTAACGTCCGTGGCACTGGCGAGGATTCTCTAGTCTTCGTAAACAATGACCATGTCTTTCGCAGATTTCGAGAGCATTTTGAAAGGAATTTTGTTGACGAGCCAGGATATAGCTTCTGCAAAGCCGATAACAGAGGCTGCGCCAGATACAACCATACCTCTGCTAGTGAAATCGAACGGCATGTTCGAGATGTATTTAAAAGAAGGGTTGAAGGACAAGGCTAGTGAGATATTGTAGAGGCGTATGTGAGTGAATGGAGTTAACACTGCAGAAAGAAACGAGTGAGAATTTAATGAGTAATCAAAATCGAGAGAAGGAAGTAAGAGATATCTAATATTGACAGAAAATGGAAAGAATAATGGAAAGAACCGGCATAGAAGTGGGGATGCGGGTGACCGACATCGAACGGAGAGCCCCGCTAGGTCGGGTGCGGAGTTGAGCGAAGTAGTAGGATAAATACAACATGTTATTACATAGTGCGGAACATGGCTAGGAAGATTCTATCCATTAAAACCTCTTGCCAGAATCGGAGAGAGTGCCGATAGGATGCAAACTCCTAGGTTGCCCAGTCGTGTTCTACGCTGAGGCGAAAGGATGCAGTACCTTTGAGGAAACTAATCTAGCATCCTTCTTTACGTTTCCCGAAACGATCTCCTCGTGCTGTGGATCCAGTGAGCTGTATATAGGAATTTTCCAGAGCACTGCGCATACTTTGGTCGTGCATCGAAGGCCTAAACAATCCAAACCATCCAGAGAAACACCCCAAACACAAATCCCCAGACCTGGAGTCCAGAAACAAACGCTGCGGTTCCAGTTTTAGCAGATGTTGATGCCGAAAATGTAGCAGTCGCAGTTATTGTTGGGGTCGACAGAGAGATTGTAGTCACGGGAAACCCAACAGTCGGTAAAGTCTTCGCCACCGGCCCGGTCGTCGACGCAGAGTACGAAGTAGACGAATTTTGATGCGGTGCTACCGATACCGTAGCGACTCCAAGGACTGACTTAATCAACACACTTGAATTCCCGTGATATGAGCTATTTGTATTGAGAGATCGGAAGCCCATTCCATAGAATTGGTAGACGTGGTCCCTGTAGACGTTAGCACGTTGGCCTCTGCCAGGAATGACGAAGAGAGAAGACATACCCGTTCCACCAACCCTGTCTTGCACCTCCTATGACGCACTTCTCGATAATATATGCTGTTGAATCCCAGCACTCCTGCTTTTCAACACCGTAATCTGTGGAGCTACGATATCCATATGCCTCGGTGGCATTGGTCATCCCAACAGATATCTCGCACCAATTAGGGAGGCCTACAATAGCCACATCGGATTCTGATATACCTTCTGGTGCTGAACAAGTCCCGTTACAAATCATAGCCCTTATGCGATAAAGGAGTTCGGCCGGACTGATGGCGCCGTCTTGGGCGAGAACACCCTTTGGAAGTTTTGGTAGTTCGACATCTGCACAACCAGGTGATTCGATGGGATATGCACTTTGGGTGATGAGGCTCGGCTGGTTTCGTGGGGATAGAACTGGAGTTGCTGAAGTTGTGATGGTTTCTTTTGAGTTGTAAGATTTTGGCGAAGGCGCCTCTCTTGAGTTCGAAGAGCACGCTCGTTGGGGAGTTGCCCTAAACATCCACACTACGCTATCCGCTAACGTAATATCCCATGGCTCGTTTGGAGCGAGTGTGAAAGTGTGCGAGGAATTCCAAGCCGTTTCAATCAAATAGCCTACCTCACTATCCAGTCCGATACTGTTATTCAGTATTATCCTTTCCGTGAAAGAGGCATCTGACGGTGGTTCAAGGAACCATTTTGAATCACCCCGAGTTCCATAATTTGTGACGAGTAATACTGCAACACCGGTTTCTGGGTCAGGACCAGCAATCCAAACTTGGTGCTGATAGCCCGCTGTTTCTCCTGCTTTCCCTCGTAACGGCCACATAGGATATTTGGCAGTGAAATGGGTCATCTCGTTTATGAGAGCATCACTCAGGAGTGATGACCCGAAATCGTCGAGTTGTGTGAGATCAGATCCGAGCAATAGACTGGCTCCGGCGCCCACCCAGTGTGCCATCACAGATTTTCGTTGCTGGTCGTCTAGACCAGTGAGCGCCTCAGCGTTCCCAACATAGAGATTATCTAAATCAGGATATGCTGTGAGCGGAACGTTCACGCCTTTTTGTTTTTGCTCCAGAATGTACTCCCTGTACATCTCAATGGTGCGTTGCACCGTAGCCCACTTGACGAGGGTCGACTCATGGGCGTTATTAACATCCTGATCTATGCGTATAGCATCCGCACTGCACGCCCTTGGTTAGGTTCTGTGACTATTATAGCCAGGATGTAGATTGGCTCACCTTGACTTGTAAATGCCATATGCCCATTCAATCCTCCAATCTAGCTTCCAAGAGATCTCGAGGAAGATATCGCGACCACTTTGTTGGATGGCCCGATCATAGCAAGCAACAGAGCCGCTCGAGTTCACCGGTAAAGTACCTCCATCCGGGCTTCCAGGTGTGATATAGTCGAGCTTAATATAGTCCACTCCCCTAGTGAACGTTGTTAGTGTGTGTCCGGATTATGGGGGCGACATCCATAGAGAAGCTACATGGAATGGAACTTACCAGCTTGCCCAAAGATTGACATTTGAATTACAATACTCCTGTGCTCCAGGTGCGTCCCAATCTACATTCAATCTGCAGTTGAAGCCAGGGTTCTGATCACCTGTTGCGGCGATTTCGCTAAACTTGATGTTGGTACCTTTGATGGTCTTTTCTTTATCTGCTTCAAAGAAGCCTGGCTAAGGCCAATTAGTACAAATTTTAACACTAAGATAGCTAGCATAGGCTCCACTCACATTGATGTAGATTCCAACTTTCAACCCCCTGTCATGTAAGTGCTTAGCTAGAGCTGGAATGTCGAAGAGAGAAGAATCGTATATCGTACGACCGAAATCATCTCCGTTGCAGCCCACACTCCAACCAGAGTCGAGAGAGCAATACGTGTACCCCAGGTGACTGATACCTTTGAGGTTTTCGCACTGAGATATGACATTATCTTGGTTAAGGATCAGTTTTTGGTCATCTTCCAGACTCTGCAGCCCAAAACTATTCCATCCTCGTGGAGGAGCGGCGAATCCATGTGGTGTTGTTTGGTAGTGAAGAACATCAACAGATAGGGTAATTGTAACCAAGAATGGGAGAATGAAGAAATACAGTAGAGAACAGCGGTAGGGACCCATTATGACATTCCGATTCAAGGATATGAGGCGAGTTGCAGTTTAGCTCAGAGAGATACCCAAATGCACCTTTAAAAAAACTTGGAAGATAAGAGCTCGAATAATTGCCTGCAGAAGTTTAGAGCGCCTCAGCCTCGTTGATCCTTTGCTTTTTTTTTTTTTTGGAAATTGTGAGCTGACGCTGCCTTTCAGTCATTGCGCTCAGTTTGATACAAACTGATAAATGATCGGACATGCTTCTTGCTTTCTACACAGGGAGTCCGTATAAACATCGCAGTTAAGCAGCAGGTACCACATTGGTCAGCTTTCGTTGATGAGTGTGGACTACTTTTCGAATCCTAGTCTATTCTTGAAAGTTCTCGCGAAGTTTATGTCTGTGCAGTTTACCTGGTCTCACATTAAAACAAGGTCTCGGCCAGTGTAGAGTTATGGCATCTGAGGATCTTAGTGCGGGTAGGGCCCAAAAGTTTAATCAGTCTGACTGCTAAATTTGTAGCGTAGAGGGGGCGTTCTTCCGAGGCTGCTGACATTTTTTTCTACTTCAGGCGTCGATGGACGTAAAAGTTGCCAATTCCGCTGGTGGAACATGGCATCCAAAAGCACTCGCAATCCTTTGCAGGCCAACTTTGCTCTGTAATGCTGCATCATACGGACATGTTTGATGTTTGTTTCCATTAGAGATCCCTGTTCCATCAGCGGCGCCCCTGGTAGGAAATGGGATGTGGGGGCCATTGGAGGATGAGCCTCAACTCTCCGAACTTGATCGAAACTAGGTCCAATAGAGTTGCGAAGGCAAAGGGACCCACCTATTACTTTCAGATGCGTGCACAAAGGATCGGCGGCGTTTGCGGAAGAGGCAAATGATAAAAATTTTCTATGATTAGTGCAGTGTGAGGTTTCAGGCAATTAATGGCCTGCTCTGGTCGCACATGTACCTCCAAGTCTTCGAGGAAGCCATGAACAATTTGATCAGCAATTGGGCTGATGACAATGGGTTCATGGGCCCCAGATTGGAGCTTCATGTTGCACAGTTCCAAGGCTCTAACAAAGTCAACGCACTGGATCGAAAGCAATTGCTCACACCGCGCTGCAGTCGAAACAAGAAGTAGTTTGAATCTCGCCTTGTCAGGTTCGCCATGATTTCAGCCTGGTGTTGGGTTTGTCTTGTCTATTGTGGATCCATTCGCACGGCTTCTGCGGCTTCGTTTAAACCCTCGCAAGTGGAAAGGTCGGGCAGTGTTACGGCACCATTCGTAAGAAGGCAATACCATGGTTGTAAGTCGGGATACGAGCGTTTTTCTTCTAGCTAAGCTAACTCTAAAAGCGTTTCTGATCAACAAGACTCTTTACATAGACGGAGGAGAGTACACTTGGGTGAACGGAACTGGTATAGCATCGTCAATTTTGTCAGTATTCTATTCATTCTTCGACGGTTCACTAACTGATCGGTATTTGCAGAGATCAAACACTTGCAATTGACCTCAGCGTTTCTTTCTCTACGCAGTCCGCAGAACATATAGTGATACCTGCAGTTATTGAGAAGGGGCTATGCCCAAACCTCAACCGGGTCAACTTTTGGTGCGATGAGCAACACGGCGTGGTTTACGCGTACGGCGGCGAGATTAGCGAGCTTGTGCAATGGGACGGACCTTTGACGGTGCCTCTGGAAAGTCTGTGGAAATTCACCCTGCTTGATCCTGGCCCTGGTGGGCACTGGGACAAAGTTGAAGTGAATAGTCCGGTATGGCGAAGTTTAACCCGTCCTGCAGGCGGTTCGGCGGCCTTTGGAAGAGGTGAGGGTTACTATCTAGGCGGATATGCGAACAGAAGAACAAGCCAGTCTACGAACACAGGCAGCAATGTGCCTACTCCTGGGATGCAAGCAATGAACTTCACAAGCGGTCAATTCTACAACGATACAGCACTAGGTTATTCTAAAACAGGTACTCACGAATTCGGTGGTATGATTCATGTGCCTAATTGGGGAGGACGAGGCTTGGTGGTCGCCATAGGCGGCCAAACTTCCCCTTCTCTAGAAACTTTCGATGACGGAAGCTTATACCAGGACATGGCCAATATTACCCTCTTCGACCCAGCCCAACGCCGATGGTTTAGCCAAACAGCATCCGGTAGACCAGAAGATATTCCAACCCAACGCGACCGATTCTGCGTTGTGGGAGCTTCGGCACCTAGTAGTTCGACTTTCGAGATTTTTGTATACGGAGGGTACACCAACACAGCATCGCGGTCTATGAACTATGATGAAGTCTTCGTCCTCTCGTTGCCTGCATTCCGTTGGTTCAAAGCCAATTACACATCGTCAGAAGCTCGTATTCGGCATACGTGCCACGCTGTTGGAAGGCAGATGATCAGCATTGGGGGAGTCAACTCATCCGACGCGAGCACAAACAGTGATCCAGACCCCTTCACTCAAGGCCTAAAGGTGTTCGATATGACTGCGTTGCAGTGGACGAACAAGTGGGACGCAGCGATCCCGAGCTATGATACTCCAAGCATCGTGCAGGCCTCCTATTCCAGTGGCAACCGCTACCCAAAGGCATGGGACGACTCCGGGTTGAAAGACGTCTTTTTAGCAACATTTAGTCCTGCGCCAAGCTCGACGACGGGGGCGGCTGCAGCGTTGCCTCAGTCCCACACTGGGGTCATTGCAGGCGCAATCATCGGAGGTATTGCAAGCTTGGCAATGGTAGGGGCTGCGCTCTTCTATGGAGTATTGCACAAGCGCCGACATGAAGCTAGGCTTAGGGTTGACCCAGTCGAGCTCCCTCCTGAGCATAGGGCAGAACTATCGGGAGAAGGCCCAAGCATAGTGGAATCGCCGCCAGGAAAGAAGGAGTCTGTTGAGATTCAAGGACACATAGACGCAAGGGAGAGACAAAGCCTTGGTGCTGCGGTACAACCTTTTGAAGTCAGTTGAGGATGTGGTAACGGTCTAGCTTTATCGACAAACTCCAACAATATTGAACGTCTGGACTTTCTAGGTAACAGAAAATTGGAAGAAAGACTGTCAGGAAATGGCTCGACAACGACATCAGAACCCGGGATGAATTTGTAGAGGATTTCGCAGTGGAATTTGATGAAGGGCATGATACGGAAACTTTGAAGAATTGTTCCGAATAAAGTTAAGAGCCGTAGGACTTGATGAGTATAAGACTCAGAGAGCTTGGAAGCCAGTGAGGGAGACGCGTCAAAATGAGGTCTGCATGTCTGCCAAGAGTTGGCGCGTGTGTTAACCTTCAGGAGTTTGTGCACACCAACCTAGACACTTCTGATCAGTTGTCCCCTGGGTTCCTTGCTGCCCTCTTTGCACACCTCAACAACGTTTCTATAAGATCAGGCAACGATCAAAAGATATTGAGCTTTATCTTCTGAGATTTTCAGCAAGCCACCTTGACCAATCACTAGTATCCTCAAGATCTCTGGTCAATTCACTTGAGATTGCTTTCTCTGTTCAGAAATAAATATTGCTACCTCTTATTGCGGAAATATTCCAGTACACTCACCGCCGTATTGAATACTATAAGTATTAAGCTATTTCGTTCCACCTAGTTAGAACGGAAAACTTTCATTTGCTCAAGGTTACAGTTCTTCTCACTATATGCCATACACCTCCCCCTAAATCACCGTCGTTTTACTCAACCCTCATCCCAGTCAGCTCTAGCTAATTCCCGTACATCCTCTCCTCTCCGTGTACCCTACGCACTAAGACTGACGGCATGATATCGCATTCTTAGAGTCTAAAAGGTCAAGGGACTCGAGGTACTTCCTTCACTGTACGATAACTCCGATTACTAAATGATATGTCCTCCCAGGTCTGGGACTGAAAACAGGTCGCGCGAGACCACGTGTTCGGACTATGTATCAAAAATTGCCCCCCAGGGGTCTTGTATGCTAGAGTGTTGTAATAAACAAAGCTTCCAACAGGGCGTACTACGGTCCGTACAAAGTGAACCGTGTGACGGTCACGTGTTCAGTACGAATGTACCCAGTTCGTGGGCCGCACCGTATGTCTAATGATGCCCTAGGTACGTTACGTAGTGCAGACTGTATTGCCATTTTAGAAGGGCTCTGGCAAGCAGTAGGTCTCGGGGAGCGTTTAGGGGGGTTTCTAGCACTCTATTTAGCTAGTAAATTTGTGAGGACTGTAAAATCTCTTTCTAAGTGTTTTTATCTATCTATCTGCCTATTATTAACTATACTCTATTGTGGAGTTACCTATCCATGCGCTTTGCTGCCTCACAGGCCTCGTCTAGTTAACTAAATCCCTCTGTTGTCTCGTCTTTTAGGTGGCAGAAGTTAAGAGCCCTATACACCGCGCCTCCTGCCATATCCTGCGGTATTACGCTGTCTGTAGCCAAAGACTAATCGCAGCGAGGTAAGGTAATCTGCCTCTACCTCTGCCGTTAGTGCTATAAGTAGGGCTCTTAAAGCGCTACAAAGGTAGTAATCTGCAAGCTTTTAGACCTTTCTGCTTGTGTTGCTAAGGGAATTAGTTATCTAATAGTTTTATAGACCTTAATCCTTCTTCTTTTGAGACTTATAATCTTAGATGTTTTAACTAGAGTGCAGCGTACTTTGATTGAATTGTACTACTCGTTCTGATCACGTGAGCCATAATGGTTACAATGAGTAAACCTACCACTCATCCTCTATACTGTACGAACGTACACAAAATCTCACCTTTATAGGCATTAAAATCGCCTAATCGTACAGTACTACGCCTTGTTGGAAGCGCCGGTAATAAGTGCAAGGTGCAAGAAAGCAATTTCTGCTCTGAAATTATCACTGGCCCACCGCTTGTCAGTTCTGGTCCGCACCAAGTAATAAAGTCACAAGCGACAGGAACATAGGCACGAATCGGCGAGACTAAGGGTGTAAGCTGAAAAGTCTCCTTGTTATTCAGTGAGGCGACCCTCGATTGAGCAAATTCACCACACGTTTGGAATTAAACCAAAGGAAACTTTCTCATGTTTCCACTCCTGTTCTTTGCGTATCTGAAATTGGAACTGGGGATGCCCTTCCAGTGTCTTCAGATGGGTCTAGAGCCGGGCAACGGTTGATTAAGCACTTCCTAGACGTCTGGAATAAGATCCAAGAGGACCTGGAAAAAGTCCTCATACCCCTCTTTCTTCTGGAATAGAATTCACGCATTCGGACTCTAATCACTCTAGACGTACCTGGAGTTAGGGAATCGTCAATAAACTCCTTCCTTCAAGGTCTAGAATAATTTCTCAGGAGCGCTAGACTATATCTTTGGAACTCTACCCGCTTTTCCTTTATCGCAAAGTTATTATACGTCAAGAACAAAAGGTTGGCGCCAAGTTACAGAGTGTAAGTCTAGAAAAATGTAACAGTAAAAAGCGTCATGTATTTTCTCTCGCTCGGGACTAGAATGCACCAGATTCCAGAGTATCTCCATGTCTTGCTTGTCTCCACCCTCAAATTCTGAATGCTAACGCACATGCCTACACAAGAATTGAATTGAACTAATTTAAGAGCATGTCCTTCCCAAAAAGGGGTAATAATTTTGAACAATTTCTCCATAAATTAGACCTTAGGCTTGGTATAAAAACCAAAACCTTTCTACACAAGGCTTGAAAAAAGACCTATCTAGGAGCCCCATGCCTTCGCAGACCAGACAAAGGCCTAAAAATGGATCACTTTGTCATGTCTAGACTCCGAACTAAAACTCTACTCCCACGCTTTTGATGTCTCAACCTAGACTGGAGGCTTTAAAAATAGCTTTCCTTTCCAGTATGCCTGCCAACTTGTCGCGTTCATTAACATTATGTGAAGCAAAAATCTTCTAGCTCTGAATTATGTTGGACATCTCTCACTTCTTCTCCTCTAGCAAGAAATAAGGTCGTCCTTGGTTATGTTGTTCTGAGTCTAGAGACTTGAAAGAAGCTTAGGTAAGTAATTCTTTCCACCCTTCTTTTCTTAGACAGTCATGCTAACCATGTTAAGAACTGAATGGAGATCATCCAGACTAGAACTAGAGATACCGCTAATCTAGTAAGGATCTAAATTTAGGCTACGAGTTAAAGAAGATAGTCTTAAACTGAATAACACGAGCAGGTATGAGCCTTCCTTTTCGGAAGCTTGGATGAGGAAAATTTAGCAATAACAAAGGAAGAATAGCGATATAGACGAACAAATCTCCCGTGCCGCCGACAATGTTCATACGGAGCACCGCGTCGGTCAGTTGCAAAGTCAGGTTTGACATTCGGAAGACAGACGCCGACATACCGATTCCGGCTTGGCGACACCTTAAAACTGTAAACAGTAACAAAGGGGCAAACTGTAGCCCACTAACAACAGAACACAGCATTATAATATTGCATTAAAACACCTAGAATATAGTAATAGACCTAGTAAAATATATTTATTTGCCTTAAAAATCTAGAATATTTGCAAAAGTGGTGGAAAGTTTTATAGGCTAATTAGACATTAATCTGGCGCTTTTTTAAACTAATAAGAGAAAAGACTTGGCAAGATGTACAGTGAATAATAGAGATGAAATGGAGAGGTAGCTAAGCCTGTGTTAAAAACAATCTGTCGTGGTTACCTGACCCCTGAGTGGCTAATGGCGTGACATCGGGTATAATCCGTCCACGCTCTTCAGCCTCTGTAGCTCTGTTTCCGACCCTAAGGATTACTCTCGCTCTACCCCTATCCTGCTCGATAGCTCTCACACAATCACAGTGATTATATATTACACTCTATTAAGTACTTTAAAGAATCTTAGTCATAGTTATATTGTAGAATTTTAAGGATTTTTTATTAACTTTTAGGCTTAATACTTTAGAATGTGTGCACACATCTTCAAAGTATAGTCACACACCATTAAAAGTGAAGAAATTCGCTCAAAAACCTTAACCCCTACAACGTTGCGAACTGAAGGAACATTTCACTTTCGGAGGTGGAGTGCGAATGCAAATTAGAGGTGTGTGAATATGTTGGACCTTACTATTACCATCACAGCTTCATGAACAAAAAACTATTTTAGAAACATTATTTAGAGAATTTACGATGAGAAAACCTAGGACTACTACCCCCGATTACGGTCTTCCCAGTGCTCCCCCCTGGAACTCTACACAATCTTCAACTTCTCAAACTGCGCAATACTCTTCTCGAAATTGCCGCCCTCAAGCTCCGCCGCGCGCAACTTCGCCTGCTCCATCTCTTTGACAGCCTCGCTGACCTTCGCTTCCCAACTCTCGTCCATGATCCTGCGCTGCTTCTCGACCGTTTCGTTCGCCTTCTTGAGTCGGACCTTCGCTTTCGCGATCTCCTTGTCGATGTCAATTCGGCCCTTGACGTCGAGGTACACAGTTGCTGATGTGCCGACGGTGTAGACGGCGGAGCCGGTGGGTGAGGGGGAGGAGGGGGCGAGGAGAATGAGTGAGCTGATGGCCTTGCCGCTGAGGGAGAGGATCGAGTGGCGGGAGGTCGGTGCTTGGAGGATGGAATGGGTGGTGTCGTCTAGTGCGTGTATGAAGGATTGTGCCGAGTCTTTGATAGCGTACTCGGCCATGAGAGAGCGGAGGCCTTTTGAGACACTGACGAGCAACTCGTACTCCTTCTCGGCCCCTTGATCGTGGAAGGCCTTGAGGGTGGCGAATTCCGGGAAGTTGGCGACGGTGATGGACGGGGTCTTGTCGTCTTGACGGCGAGGAATGCGCTGGAAGAGCTCCTCGGTTAAGAAGGGCATGAAAGGGTGGAGTAAGAGGAGACCACCTTCGAGTGCAGTGTAGAGAGTTTGTTTTGTGCCCTCCTTCTGTTCAACGCTGCCGTCTTCTAGGATCGCTTTCGAGTTCTCAATGAAGACATCGCAGAGGTTGTTCAAGAAGTACTTGTAGCCAACATAAGTGGCTAAAGAAAAATCCCTCGCCGTCAGATGCTCGTTGATCTCTTTCGATGCTGTTGCTAATTTGTGCAATATCCACCGCTCAGGCAAGGTCTCTTTGCCCGTCTTTTGAACCGTGCTACTCGGTGTGAATTCGCCTAACCTCCCGAGGACGTATTTGGTCGCTTGGTAGATTTTGTTGCAGAATCTGCGATAGCCGTGGATGACGCTGACATCAAACGAAATATCCCCACCTCCAGTGGTGTATCCGCAGAGAGCCATGCGCAGCGCGTCGGCGCCACACTCGGGAATTCCCTGCGGGAACGCAGTGTTCTGATACTTTTCGGCAGTCTTAAGCTCTTTGGGATCGAGGTTGCCAATGCGCAGCTTATCCTTCAGTTCCTGAAGGCTGATACCTGTCATGATATCGATGGGATCAACAACGTTGCCAAGAGACTTGCTCATCTTGCGGCCTTCAGAATCACGGATCAAGGAGTGACAGTACACTTCCTTAAACGGGATCTTGCCTGTTAACTTCAAGCTAAGAAAGATCATCCGGGCAACCCAGAAGGGTAAAATATCCCAGCCAGTCTCTAGAACGGAGGTAGGGAAAAGTTCTTTCAAATCAGTCGTTTCCTTTGGCCACCCGAGAGTACTGAAAGGCCACAGCCCTGAGCTGAACCAAGTGTCAAGAACATCCTCATCCCGCTCCAGGGTGAATTTTTTCCCTTTAAACTTATCTTCAGCCTTCTTTGTAGCCTCTTCTAAAGTACGTCCGGAAACCCAAAGTTCGTTGTCGGAAGAATCGTTGTCCCCGCCCTCGATCTTGACAAAGTAAGCTGGGATTTGATGACCCCACCATAGTTGTCTAGATAGGCACCAGTCATTGATGTTTTCCATCCAGTGGTAGTATACGCGCTCAGAGGTTTCCGGCCGTATTTTGATCTCGCCGTCCTTGACAACTTGAATGGCGGGCTTGCTCAGCTCCTTCATTCTCATCCACCATTGAGGCTTCTGGAGGGGTTCGATAACGTCCTTAGACTTATTGCACAGAGGAACTTTCATCGCGTTATCTTCTTTCTTAACGAAGAGCCCCAGTTCAGTCAGTTTGCCAACAACAGAGTATCGTGCATCGAAGCGCTTTTGGCCTTGAAAGGGACCGGCATTGTGATTTAGGTAACCATCATCCGTTAGAATATTGATAAACTCGAGGTTGTGGCGTTGTCCGATGGCGAAATCGTTAGGGTCGTGAGCAGGTGTAATCTTGAGGGCACCAGTACCAAATGCTGGGTCAACATAGTTGTCGGCGATGATAGGTAGAAGCCTGTCTAGGAAGGGATGTTTCGCCTTAGCGCCAGTCTCGATGAGATGCTTGTATCGATCATCATTGGGGTGGACAGCGATCGCAGTATCACCGAGCATCGTTTCCGGTCGGGTTGTTGCCACGGTGATGTACTCCCCGTCCTTGCCGTCAATGGGGTATTTGAAAGATGTGAGAATACCGAACTCGACCTTGCGCTCATAGCCAGGAACATCGAGTAGAGTGCGGCCGGGAATTTCCTTGTTGTCGACTTCAAGATTTGACAAGGCAGTGTTCAACTGCGTACACCAATTAACCAACCGGTTCGACCGATAGATAAGTCCTTCCTCATGTAACCGAACGAAGGTCTCTGTGACAGCGACCGACAGATTCTCATCCATGGTAAAGGCCTCCCTCGTCCAGTCGAACGATCCGCCCATGCGCTTCAACACAGAGACAATCCAGTCGTGATGATCGTTCTTCCACTCCATGACTGTCTCCAAGAATTTCGGTCGACCAAGATCATGTCGGGTCTTCTTCTGACGGCGCCAAAGCATATTCTCTACAACGGATTGGGTGGAGATACCGGCATGATCGCAACCAGGGAGGTAAAGGGTCTGATAGCCTTGCATACGATGCCATCGGATAAGGACGTCCTGGAGCGCAGTGGCGAGGGCGTGGCCACAGTGAAGTTTTCCAGTGACATTGGGCGGGGGAATGGGTATTGTGAAGCTGCCCTTCTTCTTGGCGAGTTCGCTGCGATGCTCAACATTGTACTCGGGTTTGTAGAAGCCTTCTTTATCCCACCAGTCGTTCCAAGCAGACTCGACGACCTTGGGGACGTATGCCTTGGTGAAGGGGCTGTCGTCTAGCGGGGTAAGGATCTTTTTCTCGCCTTTCTTGGTTTCCTCAACGTATTCACGGAGCTGCTCCTCGTCGGCCTTCTTCTTTTTCTCTTTCTTCTCACTACCCTTGCCAGAGGCCTTGTCGTCGCCTACTGCAGCTTGCGCTGCCTTTTTCGCCTTGAATCTGGCATCCTTTTCTGCCTTCTTCCGCTCCTTTTCAAGCTCTTTCTCGGTCTTGGCCTTCTTCCTTACGCCCTTCTCGCCGCCATCGTGGCCCGGCGCATTTTGGCCTGTGGCATCAGTGTTGGCGGGGTCGAGGGCGGATTTGGTGTTGGGTTCGGTTTTCTGGCCCTGGAGAGATTGAAATGTTATATATGAATCCCAAGACAAGTGAGGTGGAAGCATTAATAGTGATTGAACATACGGTAACGTCATGTGATACCGCATTCAGTGCCATATTGCTGGAATAAGGGCAGTCCTGCTGCAGTGCTCACTAGTGTGGTGGTTGCCCGCGCAAACGTGCCTTCGGAGTCGCAATCAATGCTCGCAATTGCGTGCGGTAAAAGTATCTAGAGGAGTTGTAGAAGTGCAGCCGTTGCATCCTGCGCTGCAGAAAAAAAGTCAAGAGTCATATGTGCAGTAGAGAGCGCGGAGGTAGCACTCAGTTGGGCAGCATATGCACAGTCAAAATGTGAGTCGCAGCCCTTGGCGAAAAGATGACTCCAAGGCCCGTTGTGCTGCACCTCAACACCAAATCCAACAATCATGATGTCCATGCACCGGCTTTTAGGCCTGTAGGATATTATGAGAATCCGTGGGACCTACTGTGTTATCAAGGGAAAGGAGTGTGCATCTATTGTGTGCAAAAATCGGTAGATTTCCTTGGCGACACGTCGTTTTCACATACAAATTAACTACTTTTGTGAAATTAACAATGCTAAGTTAGTTTTCTAGCTGTAAGTTGTTAACTAAATTAAAGCTGTAAATGTACGCTTAAGGACCTATACTAACAGAATTTTAGTGTTGTAGGACTTTGGTTTTAAGCCTACACCGTCCCTAGAGCACTAAACGCGCAACGCGTACTTCTAATCTCTTGGAAGTTAGTAATTAGTTGTTGCAGCCTGAATAGACGTAGACGCGTTAACACATATTACTTTTACTAGTAGGTTAGCCTTATAAAGATATTACAGTGCAGTGGGGGGAGGGGGAGGGTTCCTCTTAGGCAGAGGTGTACTGAATTAAGCAGTCTGAAACTTTATCGCAGCTTTATCGCAGCTTTGTAATTCTAACACAAAGCTTAGTTACCTGAAATAGGCGTTAAGATTTTCACCACGTAGGGACGTTACATACACTTAACCTATGACCAAAACCAAGACACCTGCACCAATCCGTTGTCCAAATGCGCCCAGCTACCAGACGAGAACAAAACACCACTCTAATCTGCGCACATCATACTAACGAGATGCATAACTAGTGCTCAATCCTCCCGCTTACGTAATCTTCAATTTTTCAAACTGCTGAATGCTCATCTCCCAATTCCCAGCGTCCACCTCCGCAGCCTTCAACTTCTCTCTCTCAGTTTCCTTAACAGCCGCACTGACCTTCTCCTCAAAGTCCTCTCCCGCAAGAATCTTCTTCTGCTTCTCCACCATTTCACCCGCCTTCTTCAACCTCTCTTTTGCTTTCGCAATCTCTTTATCGATATCCACACGCCCCTTGATGTCTAAGAAGGCAGTTGCAGAAGCACCGACAGTGTACACAGCGCAACCGGTAGGGGCGGGATCCGAGGGCGAGAGGATGGAGATGTTTGAGATAGTTTTGCCGGCTAGGGCGCGGATGGAGGGGAGGGAGGTTGCGGAAGTGAGCGCAACGTGGGTGGAGTCGTTGAGGGGTTGGATGAATGTGGTAGCTGATTCCTTGATCGCGTATTCGGAGGTTAGGGAGCGTAGAGCTTTGGAGCATCCTACAAGTAGTTCGTCTGCGAATATCAGCATTTCTTCCTTGTAGAAGGATAGCGGTTGAATTGAACTTACATTCCGCCTCGGCAGCCTCGTCATCGAATTCCCTAATATACTGTGGATATGAAGCTACGGTAATGGACCGCGTCTCATCGCCTTCCCTCCTTGGAAGTCGCTGCCAGAGCTCTTCAGTCAAGAACGGCATGAAAGGATGAATCATTAGGAGACCACCTTCAATAGCCGTGTAGAGCGTCTGCTTAGCGCTCTCCTTCTCCCCCTCGCTTCCCTTCGAATCGAAGATTGCCTTGGAGTTTTCAATGTAAGTGTCGCACAAGAACTCGTAAAAGTACCGGTACGCCACTTGCGTTGAGGTTGAGAACTCTCGCTGCTCGAGGCGCTCATTGATGAGCTTTGACGCTGTGGAAAGCTTGTGCAGAATCCAGCGCTCAGGGAGTGATTCTTTGCCGGTCTTCGTGATTGTAGCGCGAGGAGTGAACTCTCCAAGTCGACCGAGCACATATTTTGTCGCCTGGTAGATCTTGTTGCAAAAGCGACGGTAGCCATGAATAACAGATACGTCGAACGAGATATCTCCACCTCCGGTAGTATATCCGACGAGCGCCATACGAAGAGCATCGGCTCCACACTCTGGGATACCTTGGGGGAAAGATGACTTTTGGTACCTCTCCGCCGCCTTGAGTTCTTTGGGATCCAGGTTCCCAACAAGTAGCTTTTCATTGAGTTGCTGCAACGTAATGCCCTCCATGATATCGACAGGATCAATGACATTTCCGAGGGACTTGCTCATCTTTCGGCCTTCGCTGTCACGAATGAGGGAGTGGCAGTAGACCTCCGAGAAGGGGATCTTTCCAGTCAGATGAAGCGAAAACATGATCATCCTGGCCACCCAGAAGAACAAGATATCCCAACCAGTCTCGAGGAAAGATGTAGGGAAAAGGGTCTCCATGTCGAGTGTCTTTTTCGGCCAACCAAGGGAACTGAAAGGCCACAGACCGGAGCTAAACCAGGTATCAAGGACATCTTCGTCTCGCTCAAGGGTGAACTTCTTGCCTTGGAACTTGGCCTCTGCCTTATTTTGTGCTTCCTCTTCGGTTCGTCCAGTCACCCACAGCTCATTGTCGGATCGGTCACCGGATTCTCCCTCAATGTTCACGAAATACGCGGGAATCTGGTGGCCCCACCAGAGCTGACGTGACAAACACCAATCATTGACTGAATCCACCAATTAGCAAGTGTACTTACTCACAACAAAAAAGCGAGAGCACTTACTGTGCTCCATCCAGTGGTAGTAGATCTTCTCCATAGGCGCGGGAGAGATGGTGACCTTTCCACTACGCACAACCTCGATCGCAGGCTCAGCCAAACCCTTCATCTTCATCCACCACTGAGGCTTCATGAGCGGTTCAATTACGTCCTTGCTCTTATTGCAAAGAGGCACTTTCATTGGATTGTCCACCTTCTTAACGAACAGACCCAGCTTTGTGAGCTCCTCCGTGACGGCGTATCGAGTGTCAAAGCGCTTCTGACCTTCGAACTTGCCAGTGTTCTTATTCATAGTACCATCGTCGTTTAGGATGTTGATGAATTCGAGGTTGTGTCGAGTGGCGATAGCATAATCGTTGGGGTCATGGGCAGGTGTGATCTTCACGGCACCAGTACCGAACTCCGGATCCACATAGTCGTCCCCAACGATGGGTAGCAGGCGGTCTATAAAAGGGTGTTTGCCCTTCTTTCCGAGGAGATGTTTGTATCTCTCGTCATTGGGGTGGACGGCGATGGCTGTATCACCAAGCATCGTCTCCGGACGCGTTGTTGCAACCTCGATGAACTCGTCCGTTCCATCAATGGGATAGTTGAAATGTGTGATGACACCGAACTCGACCTTTCGCTCATATCCTGGCACATCCAGCAGCGTTCGGCCACTCAACTCTTTGTTGTCGACCTCGAGATTCGACAAAGCAGTGTTCAGCCGCGTACACCAGTTGACAAGACGATTTGATCTATAGATGAGACCCTCCTCATGCATGCGCACAAAAGTCTCGGTGACGGCAGCGGAAAGGTTCTTGTCCATGGTGAAGGCTTCTCTAGTCCAGTCAAAACTTCCACCCATTCGCTTCAACACCCTGTTGATATTGTCATGATATTCTTTCTTCCACGCCATCGTGATCTCGAGGAACTTCGGTCGGCCGAGGTCATGTCTAGTCTTCTTCTCTCGCCGCCATAACATGTTTTCCACAACGCTCTGTGTCGAGATACCAGCGTGATCGCATCCTGGGAGATAGAGTGTTGTGAAGCCTCTCATCCTGTGCCATCGAACGAGGACGTCTTGCAAAGCCGTTGCCAAGGCGTGACCACTGGATCAAGTTAGAATAGGGATTACGAACGCAAGGCAAATGCCTACCAATGAAGCTTTCCGGTGATATTAGGAGGCGGAATTGGGAGAATGAAACTCCCTGCCTCCTTCACCTTGCCATCCTTGAGTTCTGGCAAGAAGAAGCCCTCCTTCTCCCACCACGCAGCCCAAGCGCTCTCGACGACCTTTGGGATATACGCCTTGTTGAACGGGTCATCCAAGCTCTTGAGAACCTTCTTTTGCCCCGGCTCTGTCTCGTTAACATACTCTGGCAGCACCTCCTTCTCCTCCTTCTTCTTCTCCTTGCCTCCGGCCTTTGCACCCTCTTTTCCGGCCGGACCAGCAGCAGCCTGCGCCGCCTTCTTCGCCTTGAACTTCGCGTCCTTTTCCGCTTTTTTCCGCTCTTTCTCAAGCTCCTTCTCTGTTTTCACTTTCTTTGGTACATCCTTACCGTCGCCGTCTCGGCCCGGCGCAGATTGTCCTGTAGTCTCGGCACTAGCGTTCTCTAGGATGTCCTTTTTGCTGTCGTCGCCGACGCTGGGCGGGGCAGCAGTCACAGGGCCAGTCTTTTCGCCTGGAATGTTGTGGGAAGCGGCATTGAGCGCCATGGTGGTCGTGTAATGGTTACAGTAAAACGGTGGGCGGGATCGCGATGGGTTTCGGTGCAATTGGACTGTAGGGTAGAGGAAGCACCGCGGCAAATGAATGCAACGTTGCTGAGGGTATCTGAGGGGGCTTTGTTTGAGAGTGAGAGAGCGCAGAGGGGGTACTCGGCGGGGCAGCATAAATATCCAAATTTGACCTGTGAGTCGAAAATCAGTTTGCAGATTGGTCTTGGCGCTGGGGCTTACGATGATGAGTCAAGCGGGGAATGCCCCGCCAAATTGCCCCTCATCACCATCAAATCTGCAATAGAAGCTCTAATTAACAGAAAGAATCGCATTATATTCACGTCTTGTCACGGCATCAGAGGGACTCTTTGAATAGCATAATCTGTCACTCCGCGGATATCTACTTATAAGCGATTCAACGCCCGACAATGCAATGTAATGTGATACTGAAACAAGGAGGTGCATCAGCAAACCACCGGAAGCATCGCAGAGATTCGACAGTGATGCAGGGGGATTAATAACATAGCTGTATTTGTGGGAGACGCATCCTTACGACATTGCGATCTTGTATTGAATTTCGGAGGCGGCTCCATGAGCCACGATGCATTGCCAGCCACAGTGTTGATAAACCGGCTCAAGTGACGAGATGAATGGGGCTGTGGTGATCTGGCGGGTTGTACAAGGGCGCGAATCCTGTTTTCTAGAGCGCCATGCCGACCCCATCGGTACGCAAAATCGATGATGTCAGTGGTAACATGTCTTCCAGTCGGGTTTAGGGGGTTGTCATTCATGAATGGGATGAGGCGGCAGTATGGTTCTGCATCGTGTTCTGTCGGACAGGGGCAAAATAGGGGTGGGCCATTGCCTCCTTCGCCGTTAGACGATCCTGATAGCAAGTCAGCATTGTGGATATAGAGCGTGGTCATTAGGGTATTGCTTACCTGGTGGTCATATCGAAGAAGCTTGTCGAGGAAGTCAATCGCGTCGTGGCTGACAAAACGCTGGTTTTCAGCGTTGACGAAAGACTGCCAAGGTTTCTTGGGATATCGTGACAGAATATCGTCGTACTGAGCATCAAGCTCGATGTCGTACTTGTCTAGATAATCGAAGAGGTCTTCTGTCCCGAGGACCTTGGCAATTTTGACGAGCTGGTCCGAGTTGCTGCTCCCGTGGAAGAATGGCTCTTTTCGGAAGATCATGGAAGCGAACATGGCTCCGAGGGACCACATGTCGAGAGAGTAGTCGTACTCCTGGAAGTCGACAAGGAGTTCTGGTCCCTTGAAGTAGCGTGATGCCACGCGGACATTGTACTCTGTGCCAGCATGGTAAAATTCGGCCAGACCCCAATCGATCAACCTCAACTATGCACAGGTCAGTGGTGTCTTTCTTTCTTCCGTCACTAAATTAAACGCCCATACCTTTCTCTTTTCATGGTCAATCATGACATTGTGTGGCTTGACATCCCTGTGCATAATGCCCTTGCTATGGCAGAAATCCAGCGCTTTCAACAGCTCATAGATATAATATCTCACGTCATAGTCCTGGAATTTGGGGTAGAGGCTTCGGAAATCGGTGTTGTTGACGTACTCAAATATCAACGAGGGGGTTTTGCTCTGCAATGCGGGCAATTTAGCACTCATCAGGAAGGAGAAAGGGGGGCTAGACGACGCAGCGTCACTGACCTGGTTGTCCCGCACCACATCCAGCAGGGCTACGATATTCGGTCCCCCAGACAGATTCTGGAGAATCTTGATCTCACGTTTTATCTTCTTCTTCTTCACCGGTTTCAGGACCTTGATGACGCATTTCTGGTAGTTTACCACATTGATGCCCTCGAAGACTTCCGAGTATTTTCCGCGGCCTAGAGAGGATATTAGCAAATGAAGAAGCTGGCCAGACAGGGGGGGGGGGGGGATAAACACACCAATCTTCCGCACAACCTCGTAATTCTCCAATATGCCCCAGGAGATGTTGACGCTATCGTAGTCCCAGTATGCGCGGGGCATGTTGGCATTGACGTCGGCATACACACGCGCAACGCTGGCCGCGGCACCGCTGCTGTTGAGCTCCATGGCCGGATTGTCCGGTGCCTCTACGACCGGCGGCAGCTGCTCGGCCGCGGTCACGTTCTTAAGGGAGTCGTCGTGGGTCGCGGAGACGTCGTCGCGGGGCTGGTTGAAGCGGAGGCTGGCGGGACTGGCGAAGAGCACAACAAGGGCGGCGAGGAGGCCTAGCACAAGCCCAGCAGCAAGAGCCTTGTGTTTACGGATGCGCACAATAAGACCAGAGTGCGGGTAGCGGCTTGGACGCGAGACTGATTGCGGTGTTGGTGTTGTTGGAGGGGTTGTGCCGCAAGGATTTGAACGCGGGCCGTGGTGGTCGGTGTTGCTGATGGCTTGTTTTGTGTGAGATCGCCCAGCACGTGATGGGAAGCTTGGACGCAAAAGCGACGATCGGCTCGCATCAAAGAGTTGCAGGTCAGACTCACCGGCAGACTCACCGGCAGGCTCCCTCTTGCGCAGCTCGCCGGCGGCGTGGACTTCACGCGCCGAACTCATCGTGAGGATGTTTCACGACCTGAATGTGCCCTGGGGCGACAAGGACAGAGAACTGCAGCGCACCGTTGCGTTCCTGGACGAATGTGAGCAAGCACCTCCCAGCTGATCGTTCTTGCCTGCGGAATGCTTCACGCCGCAGTTTCGACTTACATAGTGCAGTAGGATATGACGTCGTTGCGCTCACGTACACGTACTCGGGGAAGCTCCCCGCAGAGCTTGTAAGTGTGTTCCAAAGTTTCGATGGCGGCCTTTTATGTTCTCCCCGGATGTCTTCATTCTGTGATTCGACCACCCTTCCGAATGACGCCGCCGGGTAACAAGCATCCGCCTTACTTCCAGTCCCAGTTCTAACACAGCACCTGCACAGAAATGCGTGATACCCACCCCTCTCCCTTTCCCGACCCCCCCGCGACTCCGCATCCTACGAAGATGCAACATCTTCCTCACCGACGCTACGACGAACCACCGTATCCCTCAACTACAGCAAGCTTATGACATTCTCGCTGCTCGGCCAACCGATGAGCGGACCCTCCTGCAAGCATGTCAGACCCTTGATGTCGACCTCATTTCCCTCGACCTGACCCAACGATTTGAGAAACACTTCAAGTACAAAATGCTGTCCGCAGCAATAGCGCGCGGAATTAAGATTGAACTGTGCTACAGTCCGGGGCTATTCGCTAGCAATCCAGCAGCGAAGACGAATCTAGTCGGCAATGTGGTTCAGCTCATCAGGGTCACCCGAGGACGAGGGCTAATATTCAGCTCTGAGGCGAGGAACGTACTGGGGATCCGCGCACCAAGCGATGTTATCAATCTAGCTTCAATCTGGGGGCTAGGCCAAGAGAGGGGCAAAGACGGCCTGACAAAAGAGGCCAGGAGCGTGGTCGAATTTGCGCGGTTGAAGCGGACTAGCTTTAGAGGGGCCGTCAACGTCATATACGGAGGCCAGCAGCCTGTATCCGAGGCAGCCGTGGGAAAGAGCAAGAATAACCAGAAAGGTCTGGGTAAAGACCAGCGGGCGAATGCAGAAGCCCAGAAGAAACGGAAGGCCGAGAGTCTAGAGGGCACTCCGGTGAACCAGTCTGGAGAAGACCAGCCCGGAGAAGATCAGCCCATGTCCAAAAGGGCGATGAAGAGAGCTAAAAAGGCTATGCTTCAGGTTGGCCAGAAGAGCAGTGCTGAGGCCGGCACGACAGAAGCGGAGAATATACCCATCATGCAGAAATAGCAACAGAGCAAGCAAGCCCAAAACTACACATACCATGAATTTGAAAAGCAAATCGGTTTATGTCAATCGTGAATTGGCAGTCCTATCCAATCCCTCGGGCCCTGCTTAAGAGAGGCTAGTGGTGTATCCCACACCTGTATTCCTACACCAGGTCACTAGACTACAGGCCCACTGCGTATGTAGTGCAGACCCCATTTTCTCTCTGCAACACGACAAGAAAAAAAAAAAAAAAAAAAAAGGTAAATAGGGTATTAGTGCTAACAGGCCGGACCAGAATCTAACTCTACTATCCATCAATCTGAAGAAAAATGCTTCACCCCCCTCAAATGCACTAGTTCCTAGCTTTACCTCGCCGTCGGCCTCGGCATCCGAGCCCCCAGCTTGACTGTTACGGCGCTCTGCAGCGCTATCGTAGAGATGTCGAAGGGGAGTCTGTTGTTCTGTACTGTTGCTGTGGAGCTCAGTGTCTCCGAAGAGCCGGCGACCTGGGACTGAGCTGCTGGCGGTGCGCTTGTTGCCGCGGCAGAACTGCTTGCTGCGGAGCTTGAAGCAATGGCTTCTCCTGCGGAGCTCGAGGCAATGGCTTCTCCTGCAGAGCTCGAAGCAATGGCTTCTCCTGCGGCCGAAGTACTCAGTGCGAATGCTGCGCTCGATCCGGATCCAGAGGAGCCAGCAATGACAGTTACGGCGCTCTCACTTGCTGCCGCTGCGGCAGTGGATTCCGCGCCCGCACCCGCAGTAGCTGAAGACCCGGCGATGACAGTCACCGCACTTCCAGCTTGACCCGCTGCGCTCGTCACGGCCCCGGAACTAGCTGCCTGACCGGCTACACCAGAAGAGCCACCAGCAATTACCGTGACAGCACTCCCGGCCGCGCTCGCAGCGGAACCCGCAGCAGAACCCGCAGCACTCGCACCACCCGCGCCAGCCGTCGAACCAGCTATCACCGTCACAGCACTCCCAGCCGCACCAGCCACCACCGTGGAAAGCGTGCTGGCAGGGGGTGCAACCATCCCCGCCATACTGCCCGTCTGGAGCTGGAAGGGCTGTGCTTGTTGTGCCTGTATAGGGAACGAACCAGCGGGACATTGGCATGAGCATGTACACATGGAGTTATCGGCCGCTCGGACAGTCGTTGCTGGGGGAAGAGCACCCGCTGAACTGGCGGCACCAGCTGCATTACCTCCGCCCGCGATGACGGTTACTGCACTCGCAGCTCCGGCTGCGGAAGATCCAGCGACGGAGGCTTGAGCTTGTCCTTGGCCGCCTGCTGAAGAGCCGGCGATGACGGTCACGGCAGATCCTTGGGCTGCAGCAGCGGAGGTTGCTCCTAGAGAGAAGGCTGCCGAGGCCGCGGCTGCGGTGTTGGAGCAGATCTGTGGGGTTTGGTTAGAACAGTTGGTCATGGAAGTGGAAAGACGAGGGAAGAGACATACACTCTCAGTTACAGTCACAGTTCCAGCCGCAGCCGCTTGCCCAGCCGCAGTCTGAGTGATCGTGACCGTTGTTGCAACAGTCTGCCCAACATTCTGCGCAACGGTTTCCTTGACAGTTTCGGTTACCTTCTCAGTGACTTTCTCCGTCACTTTTTCGGTAATCTGTGACTGTCAGCTCTAATCTATCAACCCCAAAGCCCAAAATAACAGGTTTCCAACCCAACAAGCACGACAGGTAGACATACCGTAGCACTCTCAATCTTCAACTCGGTAACCGTTTTATTCTGCTGGATCCTCTCAATCACAGTCTCCTTCACCTCAATAATCTCAACATTGTTAGTATTCTTCCTACCACCACCTCCTCCTTTGTTCTTATTCAAGCCATCCAGAACACCGTCGAGGTTCAAGTTGTTGTTGTTTCCGCCTTCATGCGCTTGCTGAGCATTTGCGAGGTCGCCGATGTTGATGCCCTGTCCAGCTCCAGCTCCCCCTCCACCTGTTAAGTCGCCTATGTTTAGACCTCCCGCTTGACCATGTCCATTTCCTTGGTTTTGATTTTGCCCGTTTCCAAAGTTTCCTAGGTCCGCGACGTTAATACCCTGGCCTACACCGCCCACATTTACTTTCGCATCTAGGCCTCCTCCACCACCGATGTGTGCGATGTTCGAGCGCTTTCCGCTGGCATGGTCATCCGGAGAGATGTCAAGGGTGCCTATGTTTGCGATGTTGGACCTTTGTTTGTGCGGATGCACGTCGATGACGTTGCCCATGTGCAGGTTTTCGATCTTACGGTCGCGGAGGTTGGGGTTCAAGGCTTTGAGGTTGAGGGAAGGTCCCGGTTCAGCGGATACAGTGACCTGGGCTGGGGTTAGGAGGAAGGGGATGGGGTGGGAGATGAGAGCATGGGGATGATTGTGGTTGGACTGACTGCGGAGAGAAGGAGGGCTAGAGCCCAGGTTGATTTTATTCTCTTCATATTGATATTGGAGTGGTTAGCCCTTTGATCAGATACCAGAACTCAGGTCAAGTACACCCAAAGTAAGGTTGGTTAGGATAAGAATTATTCGAGTAAGAGTAACAGTCCAGCTGGAATTAAAGAGCGGCGAATGTCACAGACATGCAGCACGACTGCCGAAAGGAAAGGAAAGAGAAGAGAAAAGTGTGGGTGGGTAGGTAAAAGAGAGGAAGTTCGGAAGCTGCAAAACCGCCGAACGAGGACCCAAACATTCAAAAAATCGCTACCTCAGGCGCGAATTCAAGTCTTCTTTAACGCTGCCCGTGTTTCTGCTCAGGGCTTCCCAAGTTTCCTAGTTCCTGCCACGCGGCTAGGTCTCAACCATCCTGTAATTGCAAGCTGTAACGCCAGCAATGCCATTGTTCGGCGCCCACACCGGCCAAGACTCCGAGTAGGGAGTCCGAATTACGAGTAAGGGTCAACAGGCTGGCGTGCAGCCTGTGAGGCCCTTTTGGCGTTTGCGCCGTGTCAGTTCGGTCTGGGTTGCCGCTGTGGTGGTGGAGTTTGAGACGCGACGTGTGCGAGGTTCAATGTCTCGTGCATGTCACGTTTCAGAAGGTCCGCACTAGACCCATCTAGTCCCGGGTGGACTAGTACCTGACATGAAGGGACGGTTATCCGATCGAGTCCTTTTGTCAGACTTGGATCCATCAGTTTTGCAGAGATTTGTGTCTCTGGGTTGAAGTCGTTGCGTTGGTGTTTCTTTCCATGCTCGTGGTCTGTGGTCTGTGGTCTGTGGTCGGTGGCCTCGGAACACGAAGATCGCGGGCCAGAATCTCAACACCTCCCGATCGCTTGGCATCGCGATATCCTGCGTCATCATCGAGCTTTTTTGGCCATTGCTCTTCGCACTTTGTACAATACGGCCGTTACTACAGGATCGGAGAAATTTCTAAGTCGTCATCTGTTGAAGCTGGGTTCTAGAGAGCTGCTACCGAATGCGAAGAGTCTAGTATATGAGAATGCGTTGATCTCCTCGAATTCGGGCGTCTCCTCTAGATTGCAGTAAGATTTCAACTGCAAAAATGGGTGCTGTTCACATTTTGGACAACTACTATCTTGCCATCACGCTACTCATCACTATCGCCTATCAACTTTTCTTCTTTTCGATAGCTTTCTCGTTCAAGTTCGACAAGCTTACCGATTTCGCTGGAGGCACCAATTTCATTGTTCTTGCAGTCATCACGCTCGTATTCAGCGGCGCCCGAGATAATGCACGCAACATCGTGGCATCAGTTTTCATTATGATATGGGGAGCGCGACTTTCCGGCTTCCTACTTTTCAGGATCTTGAAGACGGGGAAGGATGACCGCTTTGACGACAAGAGAGATAAATTCTGGTCGTTTCTTGGCTTCTGGGTATTGTGAGTTCCCCTCGGCACAACTTGAGTAACAATGCCTAACCCAGCCCAGCCAGATGCTCTGGGTCTGGATAGTATCCTTACCAGTTACTCTCTTGAACTCGCCGAATGTCACTCAGTTCAACCAGCCTGGCTTTGGGACGGGCCGAGACATCGCTGGGATCATTCTGTATTCCATTGGGCTGGTTATGGAGAGTGTATCCGACGTCCAGAAGTATCGATTCAGAAGTGCCCATGGAAGTGATGGCGCTGTATGTGATGTTGGATTCTTCGCCTGGACACGACACCCAAATTACTTTGGAGAGATCATTATCCAGTTTAGTGAGAGAATGACCACCGTCCCTGGTATGACTAGAGTTAACGTGGTTAGGTATCTTCATGATCGCTGTTTCGCCAGCAGCATACGGCTATGCTCACGGTGGAGCGTACTCAGCATTGTACGCGTCCATCCTCGGGCCCTTCTTCCTCACAGCGCTGCTTATGTTCCTGTCCGGGCTTCCTTTGCAAGAACGGCCGGGGGCGAAGAAAAGGTACGAGAAAGGTATCAAGTGGGCCGAGTATGAGAGATACCTACACCGTACGAGTATTCTCATCCCATTCCCACCCCAGTTGTACGAGAAGCTGCCTATGTTCCTAAAGAGGTCGGTTTTCCTAGAGTTTCCGATTTATGTGTTTGATCCGGCGAAGCATGCCGACCAGAGTAAAGCGCAAGCTACGGCCGCAGAGGAGGGTCGGACGAGACCTAGTGATGAGCAAAGTCTGAGATAGTAGGAGTATCGTGGTCGTTGAAATGCATTGTTTGCGCAGTCAATCCACTTTTACCCCTGAAAATGTCTTCAAGAATCACAGGAGCTAATCTGATAAAACCTGTCCGCCAGCTTCAAGTGAGAATAGGTATACGCGGCTCATGTTCATCTGGCGTGACCCTGTGGAAGAGGACGTTGAAACTAGTTTGATTTACCGGGTTAGCGTACTAGACGGAAGTGAATGTCCAAAGGTATCAGGTGTGGGGTCGACGCTCAGACATCGATGACGTCGCACAACGCAAACCGAGCCTCGCAATGCAACTCCACAACCACATGTTAAACTAACTAAACAATTGAGAAATTTATTCTCCTTGTTATTGCAAACCCAATGATACCCTAATTAAAGCAGAAGTCCAGGGGCGGCTAAGTTTTCAGAGGCCAGAGGCATTTAGCATACATATATACATATTTCGCCATTTTAGAGTCTGTAAACATCAGGGCTAGGTCATGCTCCCTAAGAGATCTGCTGATAAGAGACATTACAATAAGGACGACATTAAGCATGACAGAAGAGGCAGTTCATAATTAATAGGGCCATTAATTTATTCTAGAAGAAGACAGGGACTCTGGATATCGCCATAGCAGATTAAATAGTAAAATACTACGACAGTTCATAAATGATCTGTAAAAGCAAAGCTTGCTTAGAGCAATAGTTAGCGCATTAAGGTAGGTTATTTAGGTTAAAGAATAGTTGCAGCATAATGCTTAGCAAAGTAGTATTAGACAGGTAATAGACGCATAACAACAACATTTAACTGTAGCATGTAACTAATTATAGCCTGTAACTAAGCGTAGCTAATACTAATCTCTAACACACTAATGTAGCTAATTGTTTGTAGTAGTGACACTTAGATGCGTTGTCACTATTGTTACACAATAGTCAGATGTGTTGTCACACGATGGTTAGATGCGTCAGCACTATAGTTGTATGCATCTCACCATGGCCTGTTGCTAAGACTCACCTACTTATTTCGCATATATATAGACTCCTACAAAGGATTCCTCTAGCAATACATTTAATCTAGTTCCTTATGCTTCTAGTGTCTTACATAGCTTCACACTAATACTAATCCCTAACACACTAATATAGCTAAAAAAAAAACTTAAATAATAGCTATCTAATTCTTAGCTTTAATTAAGTTAGTAAAATTTTTTTTTAAAAACTTAAAGTTTATATAAATTTAAGATTAGTTATTTAGAAATTAGTTAATTATTAGCTATAATTAAAAAAATAAGTTCTAGCTTTAGCTCTTAACATGTTTCTACTCTTATAATAGTCTTCCTCTTCTTTGCACCTTACAGTCTCTAGCGTTGCGCCTGTTCCTTTCACTGCCTAATACTGCCACGCTAGGCTTAATACTACTACTTAATATCTTTAATTTAATTATTTTAGCATTAAAGCCCTAGTTGTAGAGCTGTAGCTTGTGTAGTTTGTTGCCTCTGCAGGAATTTCTTAGAGTCCTAGAGAGCTCTAGCGCTGCCTCTGCCTCTGCCTCTACCTCTCTATCGCTGTAAAGATTAATGTAGTACATGTAATACCTTAATAAGCTGTTTTGCTTGCATAACTGCTAGTTTTGCTTCTTTAACTGCTATTTAAATATAATAGGCTAATGTCTAGAGTTGTTAGTAAGAGATTACCTAGCAGTGTTAAGAAATGCATAAAGTAAATTACAGCAAATTATAGTAAACTACAGTAAATTGCAGTAAACTACAGCAAATTGCAGCAAACTACAGCAAATTGCGGCAAACTATAGCAAATTGCGGTAAACTATAGCAAATTGCACTAAACTATAGCAAATTACAGCAAACTACAGCAAATTGCGGCAAACTATAGCAAATTGCAGCAAACTACAGTAGATTACAGTAGCAGGCAGCAATCCCTAGTAGATATTAGTTCTGTTGCAAGTAGCTCTACGTATAGAGAGGGTTCTAGGGGGGGTAATGCCTCTAGAAAAAAAGCCTTAAAAAGGGCAGCAATAATTGTGCATAAGCTAGTGTTAGCGTAATAGAAAATTACTAAGCTTTAAGCAGCTAATAAGGCAGCTACATTTAGAAAGGCCTGCGCTTAACAGCTCTAAAGGAGGTTAGGGCGCGCAGTGACAGGAAGAAGGCAAAGAAGCAGGTGCAAGCTAAAGTAGGTAAGCAATCCTAAAGACGCTGCGGACAGCGCAATTAGACTAGGCATAACGCGCAAACGTGTAAGCAAGAAGTAGAAGTAGTATCTAAATAATATTCTAGGCTGTACTGTACTTTATAGTGCTAGAGCGGGTTGTTATAGGCCTGTCAGATATGCGCACCTACTGTCAAGACAGGAGGAACGCTGGACGAAAGCTGCTACATAGTACGAGCAATAAGCTCGAACAGTATATTGCTGCAAATTGCTGCAAATTGCTGCATGTTGCAGTATTTTGCAACAAATTGCAGCATGTTGCAGCAAATTGCAGCATTTTGCAACATTTTGCAACAAATTGCAGCATGTTGCAGCATGTTGCAGCATTTTGCAGCAAATTGCAGCATTTTGCAGCATGTTGCTGTCAGATTGAAGCACTGTTTCTGGGCTTCCTGAGATGAATGATGGGTTTGGATATGATGTATGGGATGATGATTGATTGTATTGATTTATTGATCCTTTTTCTGCTCTACTCGTGTTGCTCGGCTTTTTGTTTTGCCGATCCGAGTCCCTCGCGCACTTGCCCTATGCGCGACCAGCTTGCAAAATGCTGCAATTTGCTGCAACATGCTGTTCGAGCTTATTGCTCGTACTATGTAGCAGCTTTCGTCAAGCGTTCCTCCTGTCTTGACAGTAGGTGCGCATATCTGACAGTTGCAAGCTGGTCGCGCATAGGGCTAGTGCGCGAGGGACTCGGACCGGAAAAACAAAAGCCGAGCAACACGAGCAGAGGAGAAAAAGGATCGATAAATCAATACAATCAATCATCATCCTATACATCATATCCAAACCCATCATTCATCTCAGGAAGCCTAGAAACAGTGCTTAATCTAACAGGGCCATAATAAAGTTTGTTGTGGTGTGGTCTTGGCAAAAGTGAGCAACTCAGGTGTGTGAGCAGCTGCCAATCCCTGACACACTGATGCCAATCCCCGACACACCGATGCGGCTGATGCCAATCCCCGACACACCGATGCGGCTGATGCTAATCCCCGACACACCAATGTGGCTGATGCTAATCCCCGACACACCAATGTGGCTGATGCTAATCCCCGACACACCAATGTGGCTGATGCTAATCCCCGACACACCGATGTGGCTAGAGAGGTGGAACAGACGCCACTAACAATAATTTAAACATGTTTTACACAACGCATGCTAGAGCAAACTGCGTGCAAATTAACAGAAAGGTGCACTTATATTACGTATACATTTTTTTTAAAAAAGAATGTAAGAAATACATAAGGTGACAGAGAAATAGCGTTACCGGGGTTTATCCGAAGAAATTCTGACTAACTAGCGCGTCCAAAAGAGGAGATTCTGCTCAACTTTTCGTTCTGCAAACCCGAATATAATAAGCAGAGCAAGCTCTGCTAATAAACCTAAGAATAAAGACATGGATTAGAGTAGCACTTTAACTTCCACTTCTCTCCTAATTCGTCTCCTATTGGAAACGCCTGGCAGCATCTAAAGTAGTACGTTAAGAAGTTCCACTATTTTGATGAATCAGACACTAGAGAACTAACTCTTAAAGGACAAGAGACAGTCTCTGAGAAGTTTGTGAATGTAAGGATCTACTCTATGCCTTAAAGGCTTAAAGATGTAATTGAAAAGGATGGGCAGTTGACTCATGAGGAAGAACAGGCGGGGTGAGAAGCTGTGTTAAACTTTTGGCCTAAGAAGCCCCTATTACGAGCGGTTAAGGATTTTTACCCCTCCAAAAGCATACATAGAGAGATTATATACATGCGAAAAGCTTCATGCGATTATTCAATCAAAATGGCGCTCCGCATCTGATTTTGCTGGTGATTGAAGGAGGCTGTGGTGCCAAGCATTTTTAGAGTACCGTGTTTTTGTCACCCGCGTGCCAAGCTGCCGGAGTTAACGGAGCTCATCCAGAGTTCATCTTGTGTCATGATTCAATTGCTTAAGTATTCTTTCTTCATTGCTGGGACGCTCATCGTCGTATTCTCGAATTGGTCTGGAATTGCACATTGCTTCCCGTGCGCATTTGTTTGACGAGGTGTGTCCCTAAAACAATAGCGCCAAGGTCGAGACAGTCGGTCTGACAAGATGGCAGCCACAATGCAAAGCATCTTTCCGACACAGAAGACATTGGTCCAGGCTTTTGCAGGCTGTTCCTCGTTCCAGTCTGTCAATGCTGAATCGCAATCCAAATATCCCTCAAAATGGTTAGCCCGCCATGAGCTCTACCCCGTCTGGAGTACGGTTGAAGATGCGAAGAACAAAGCTGCCAAACTGAGTGATGCTGCTGTTGCCGAGCTTGAGAAAGCAAGCCACAAAGCGCAGGACACGACTGGGAAGATTGTAATGTACTCGCCCAAATTCTACACGGCCTGCATATTTGGAGGTGTCCTTGCATGTGGACTTACCCATACTGCCGTGACACCCCTGGATCTTGTGAAGTGCCGTCGTCAAGTTGACTCGAAGATGTACAAAGGCAACTTCGAAGCTTGGGGCAAGATTGGTCGGGCTGAAGGCCTCCGTGGAGTCTACACTGGGTGGGGCCCGACATTATGGGGCTACTCAGTTCAGGGTGGTTTCAAGTATGGCGGATACGAATTCTTCAAGAAGTGGTACGCCGACTTGGTTGGAGAGGATAACTTCCACAAGTACAAGACTTTAGTCTACCTCTCAGCTAGCGCCTCTGCCGAGTTCATTGCCGACGTTGGGCTCTGTCCGTTTGAAGCTGTCAAGGTCCGCATGCAGACCACTATCCCACCGTTCGCGCGTACAACATTTAATGGCATCAGCTATATCACCAGTAAAGAAGGATTTGGCGGGTAAGCGGGACAGAAAGCTTCGCAGAGCTTGTTTGAACAGTGTACAGAGCTAACTGTTTTTAGTCTCTACAAGGGCCTGTATCCGCTATGGGGCCGTCAGATCCCATACACTATGATGAAGGTATCAATGTTTTCGGGACCATGCGTACCGGAAGCTGGGCTGACATTTGTAGTTTGCCTCGTTTGAAACCGTTGTCGAAATGATTTACAACTATCTTCCCGGAACAAAGAATGACTACGGAAAGGGCGCACAGACTGCTGTTTCCTTCACAGGGGGTTACATTGCTGGTATTCTCTGCGCCATCGTTAGTCATCCTGCCGATGTCATGGTTTCGAAGCTCAACGCAAATCGTCAATCCGGGGAGAGTTTCGGCGCCGCGACTGGCCGCATCTACAAGGACATCGGTTTCGTAGGTCTCTGGAACGGCCTTCCGGTGCGTATCGTGATGATTGGTACTCTCACCGGATTGCAGTGGATGATATACGACTACTTTAAGATCTTTATGGGACTGCCAACGACTGGCGGTGCCGCACCCCCAGGTGAGAGAGCGAATGCCTAGAGTGGCAGTCTTCAGCATCAACAAGCCGAACACTCAACCTGGAAGCGAAACCGCTACTCCCTACTATTAGTGCGAGCTTGGAGTTTATTCTGGGGGCGCTTTGAGGTTGGTTTCGGCTTGACGACGAAGCAATGAGGGAGTGCACAATTGTGATATTGCTTTTTGTACTCTAACCCTTCAAATTCTATTCATTCACGACCACGTCTTCAGCTCTTCCGGGCACATGAACGCCAGAACTAATTCTGATATCACGAGTTTCGCCAACTCGTAGCAAAACATTCCTTTCCACTCACGGGTGCCTCGCCAGAATTCCCAGTTTTCCCACGTGCCTGCCTCGCCTCTGCCTCTGCTCCAGCACCCATGAACAGTGCAGTAGCTCCTACGCAGCATCATCCGAGAGCCTAGGCGAATATGGCGAACATTGCGTACATCGATCTCGTCAACAGTGGGATGCCACTCGCAGTCGAGTGCCAACAGGCATTCTTAATCAGCAGTCTGGGCGAATCAGGGTCCGGGGTGTTATCGGGACCACCAAAAGCATCACATCACATCATGATTAAAGTCTGCGTAACCAACCCCACGGCACTTTGAAGTCTAGCACATGGCAATTAAAACACCATTTGGAAGCTAACTGTGACGGTATGGATAGGTGAATTGAGCTGTGGCTGCATCTCCGCCAAGCAACAATGCGAGCATGAGGAACGAGCAATGCTATGGGCCGTTACCCTGTGAGACATGGAAGGCGTTTCCAAGTGCATCCCGTGTTCGTTCTCATGTGAGCGCTGCCTTGAATTCGGTGGTGCCTGTGCGTCATTTTGAAGGCTTGGTGAACGGTATAAAACTCAGGGACTACACCTGTACCCCTCTGCCCCTCCGTCATCCTTGACATTGTCGTGTATCGAGAATCCTTGACTTTTTACACATCCTTTCTAAAGAAGCGGCGAGAACGAATCATACTAAGATATGTCTGACCCGATCCACTCTACCGGCCGTGGTGGTAAGCTTCCCATGTCGTCCTTACTGGGGCCTTGCCGTGAAGGAGCTGATAGCGTACAGGTGCTGGCAATATCGGCCCTGATACTACTGCGTGAGTTCGCCTATTTCATCGCTACCTTTAGACTCTTCTCTCTTTAAGTATGGTAACACTTCTGCAACCACTTTCTAACTGATACACAGCTACACGGACGGAGGCATCATTCGCGAAGGCGTCCAAGGCGAGTCTGCGGATGGCGCCTACTCTACCGGCGTCAGTATCTCCCTCCTCCCCATCAAAGCCCATGGCCTAACACCTCCCAGCGCGGCGGCACCGGCAACATAGGCATGTCGCCCCGACTCAATCCTCAAGAAGGAATCCCGCGCCGCTCTCAGGACATTATCCCCGAGACGGCACTGCGCGAACACCAGGAGAACTTCCACACAGGCGTACGTCAAGCCCTCACCCACCTACTCGAGGAATTGCGCTGACATTATTGTAGAGGGGAGGCGAAGGCAACATCCACAAGGACAAATACGGCGGTCACAGCCACTCCCCCGACCGCAAGGGCGTCGTGGACAAAGTCAAGCATGTGCTCCATCTGGACAAGGATAAGAAGCCCGCGTCCCCGTTAGCCAGCGAGTCTAAGGACTAAGTGCTCTCTTTCTGTATCCGTATGTATCACGGTCGTGTGTGTGACCCGGGAGAATTAATGGATGGCTTGGCTTGGCGTATAGATAGGGTGATTGTCTAGAGATGATACCATTGAAGGCTGAAGCAGTTTCTCAGGGGGACAGTGAGAAACAGCCTATGTTTTGTTTTATCAAATGTGTGTTTTATGTGCCCCATGTAGAGAGATGATCTCGGATATCTAATTCACGGAGGTTTCTTTGGAATTTCGTGCAGTTCGTATGTTTGATGGTGAGGGTAAGGGTGAGTGCGAGACTGGTGGTGGTGTGATATCAGTCGAGTGCCAAAAAGCCGTGAAACAAGACGACGCGGGGAGGATGAGAGGGTCAGTGCGCTTTGGTGGGGTGAAGCTTCGACCAAGCATAGATCGCGTCATTCGGCTTGTGAAATCTTCCTTTCACGCGTCCAAGATTTCTCAGGCGCCATTTACATTCCATTCTACCTCCGCCATGGGTGACACGGTTGGGAAATCCGCCAACGGCACTGCTACCAATTCAAATGACCATCTCATCCACTCAGAGGATCCATTGCACCCTGCAAACCACATATGCACGCTCTGCGCAAAGTTCTACACCTTGGGCTGGGTACGGAGACGGCCCCCCTCGCTCGAGCTTCGAATTTGATCAAGAGACAGCTAACCTTGCCAATTGACTAGGTGACAGGTACGGGTGGCGGAACTAGCATTCGACATGGCGAGCATATCTATATAGCGCCTTCAGGAGTGCAGAAAGAGCTGATGAGGCCGACGGACATGTTTGTTATGGACTTCAACACGAAAGAGTATCTGCGAAGACCGGATGTATGAACATTCTTACTTCTCGCCTTTTTTATACTGTACCTCATGTTTCTAACTCGCGCGAACTAATTAGGTCCACAAACCCTCCGCCTGCACGCCCCTCTTCCTCGCAGCCTTCACGCGCGGTGCCGGATGCTGCATACATACGCACTCACAATGGGCGGTCCTTGTCACGTTGCTGGTTGAGCGCGATTTTGGCCGGGATGCATGTTTTGAGATTGAGGAGATTGAGCAGATTAAGGGGATTCCGAAAGGAAAGGGAAAACTTGGGAATCTGGGATATTATGACAGATTGAAGATACCTATTATTGAAAATACTGCACAGTAAGTTCAGGCGCTATGATCACTAGCCGGGGGAAGAAGGGGATGAGCGGGTTTAGAGTGGACAAGTGCTGACGAGGGATAGTGAGGAGGATCTTACGGGTAGCTTGGAGAAGGCCATGGAGAAGCATCCGGATACGTTTGCTGTGCTGGTAAGGAGGCATGGCATGTGAGTGTCTTCCCAAGCTTGATGAATTCAAGGTGGGCATAGATGCTGATAATTCCAGCTACGTCTGGGGGGACAATGTCCATAAAGCAAAGACGCAGTGTGAAAGGTGAGCTCTACTGTTAAATTTCCATTAGCAGTTGGCCAATGCAATTGCTAACTCAATATCGCTCTTAATAGCCTAGATTACATCTTTCAGCTCGCTGTTGAGATGAAGAAACTCGGACTTCCGTGGACAACTAAATAAACGTCATATTCGACCGCTTAATAAGAGCTATTACGAAATAATATCCAAGCGCATAGAATTATACCAGCTATAAGCGGTAGTGCAAGGGCCATCAAGCTTGCCATTAGCTTCCCTGGAAAACTACGAGTCAGCTGTGCGATACCGTATGCATGCAGCGTCGCGCGGAATGAAGCGCATCCTTTATTATCCTTGAAAGCGCGAGCTTTCAGGTCGAAATTCTTCGATTCAGATCGTAGTGTGCGGACCACTGCCAACTATCCGTCCCAAGTCCAATCTTGTTCGTCCAAGTCAAACAAAAACTCCTCCGTTCTTTCGGATAGCCTCATAAACCAATACTTAATACAAGCACTCAAAACTCTAAGGGGCACTCCATGATGCTCCCGAGTGCGGTTTGCGGTTTGTATTTGAATTTCAGCTGTGGGTCAGAGCACCACTTTATGGCTACATACAGGCTAGCCGAGAGCTGCCTTCTCGTCGTTTATAAACAGTACAGGCTCACTACTTCCAAGACGCAACCTAGGTTATGAGGCTAATTCCGCGTCCTAATCCTCATTATATTCTCCACATGGGTTTTAGGGCTTGAGGGACTAAGCTCTGCAAGTGTTGTAGCAACCATCTGACCTCCATCAAACCCATATCTTTGATCAGCATTGGTGTTAAGTATTCTCTCGTCTGGTCAACATATTCAAGCAAACTCGTCTTCACGAAATCCTCTTTCCTTAATTCTAACCTCAATTTCCATCCAGGCAAAACCCTGTAATTGCATCATGGCACCCCCAATCTCTCCCTCACTCGCTGCCTCCCTCCAAGCCTTCATCAACAACGCCACAGCTGGCGATAAATCTGCCCTACCAGGCGCTATCCCGCACATCGTGGACAAAACCAACAAGACATTATTCCACCATGCGGCAGGTGGCTCCGTGCCTCTCAATGAAAACACAATCTTCATGTTCCACTCCCTCAGCAAAATCATCGGCGCGATCGCCTTCACGCAACTTGTTGAAGCCATCATCACCACCCTTGACGACGTCTCTATCACCTCAGCCCTCCTTCCCGAGCTCGCGGCTAAGAAGGGTTTAACGGGATTCGAGGACGATAAATAGGGTGGAGAGCACTCCATGCTAGTGGATAGACAGTGAGATATCACGCCTCGCATGATAATAACCATACAAACCGGGCTAGACATTCGCACTTCAATTGTCTGATGATAAAATACCTATCCAAGGGGCTGAGAAACCAGGAATAAAGTTGCGGATCCGTATACCACGATTTTCGGCGCGCCGTTATTGTGGCAGCCGGGGAGTCATACGAATAATGGGAAGTGCATGGGTTAGTTGGGTGCGCTGATTAAAAGACTCACGAAAACATTCTTGGACGTCCTTCTAGAGGTAAACATATTCTTGAAGTTGGGGTTTAAGAAGACCGGGTATGAAGAAACATATGGTGGAGATATCACGGGCCGGGAGAAGAGCTCGGACGCGTTTTGGCCGCGGAGTTTGAAGATTCCCAAAGGTTTCCAGAGTATTGATCCTCCGGCCCTTACGATGGTGGAAAGGGAGGGAAAGTCCCCGAAGGGACTTGCTATATTTTTCCGCTTGGCGCCGGCCTTGTTTCCACAGCCAAGGAACTCGCACGACTTCTAGGTATCCTGATGAATGAGGGCGTCGACCCAGTGCCTAGAATACACCTCCCCAGCCCCACCTCAGTCAAAGGAATATGCAGCCCCCAACTCCCACTGCATATCCGCATCGACTCAAGAAGAGTGCTGTCCCCAGTCCAGGAAATTATCGAACCCGGGGGCCTTGAATCAGCGAATATGGATCCGGAGGGGAGTTTGGGGCTGGGTTGTGGTGTTCAGGGTGAAGATAGAGCGTTGGCGGATGAGAAGAAGGGAAGGGACAAGGGAAATGTGTATTGGTATGGTGCTGCAAATAGCGAGTTTTAGATGAATGTAGAGAAGGGTGTCGTCGTGATTATAGATGGGATTACTTCTCGCGAAATGGGGCAGCTTGGGGGAGGTTTGTGCTTCTTTAACTGCTCTATCTATTGCTAGAACAGAACAGTAAATTAACTCCTTAATTTACATGCTTCTTACCGCTAATATCGCCTCCATTGTTACTATAAGTATGCGAAAGTTCCTTTTAACCCTACGTAACACTTAAAGCGAGCAGCAAAAGTACGCTGTTGCTAGCTAGCCTAAGCACTCTAGAGCCTTACTTTGCAAGCTCTTGTCGCCTTACTTTGCAAGCTCTTGTCGCCTTACTTTGCAAGCTCTTGTCGCCTTAAGAAGTTAAGGGCTGCAAGATTTTGTTAAAATTAAGTCCTCTAGAGCCTATAGAAACACTAGTAACTGCAGTAACTGTTACTGCCTGTAAGGCTGTTTTAGTTAACTCTATTACCGCCAGCAACGCCTCAAAAACACTACTGACAGTAACATTTACGTTCTATTCAACATCATGATAAGATATCTTGAATCGATCTTTTTTCTAGACCTGGGCTTAACATGTGTCTGTACAAGCACTTAAATCTCGCTCGGAACAGTTACTGAACAACTTTCCCTTTTATTTTAGACAAATCTATCTAAGTTTTGATGCTTCCACTGCGATTCTTTTGAGCCCATCCGCTCTAGGACATTGCCATGAATTTTATTTCAGAATCTCTAGATCTAGCTATAGTGAAGGGAAGACGTTTCTTTCATCGCTGCAGATATTCACACCTTGAAACCGTCCTCTCAAAGGCCCTAACAATTGATAGTTGCTTTTTTTTTGTAAGATCTAGATCTAGGCATAGTAGGATGATCTCAGTTTATTTTGCCGAAACAGATCCAGACATGGGGATTTGAGTATCTGGGTTTTAGTCTCTAGTCATGGGAGGGTACTATTAATTTCTGAGAAAGTGGTAAGTCGAGACCGGGCAAGTAGTTAAGGGAAATTTATTCTGGTAGAGGCGGCGGCTGGGGAGTACGGAGTTATTCTCTGGGACTGACTGGCTTTACTAGCCCACATTTTATACTCCATCTTTAGAATTTTCGAGGACTTGCGGCGTGAAGAGGTGTGTGGTTGAGAAGTTCTTTCGGGCGGAGACCTGAGGATTTATATAGGGGAGGAGAGGAAGCAATGGACGAAGACATGATGAATAATCGAGCCTACGGGAGAATGTGAAGGCCGCGGCGATGAATATGTCAGGGATGAGGCACTTAAAATTTGTATGCTTGTATTCCTTTCACACTTTCAAAATGGGAATTGGTGGTACTGATGCATTCTCTATCTCCTACCTCTCGGATGGTCTGAATTCGCTTAATCATATTAGTTACGTGATAATGCCCACCAAAAATATCCTAGAGCCTGAGGATGGGTCTCTTCGATATGTTTCTTCACCTGGAATACTTTCTTCTCTTGGAAACTTTATTCGCACATCATACCGACAAACATGGACACGACGTAAGGTGAACATGTTGCTGCTAAGGGGTTTGATGGAAACGATAATTGCGTGTTCTTTAGATTTTATCGAGACTATAGCGTTGGGCATAACATCGCCATCCGCACCTTTTTGAATCTCGCAGGCGAAAAATCGCCTTTTGTTTTCTTCCGGATGACGGGACGCTTCTATGGTCACCTCCCGCAGATTTTGAATGGGCTGCGGCTTACAGGTTCCTTAGTTGTGTTGTTTCTGAATGTGAGACCGCCGTTTCGGAGGACTTTGCAGGTGGAGAATCCAATGGAGGGTTAAGCTGAGATAGATACTCTAAGATTCGTTAATAGAGATCGAAGGCTGGTGCTGGGTGTTGGGAAAGTCTTCACGAGGCTAGAAAGATGGAAGAAACCATGAATAAGGGAAGGAAGATGGAGTTACCCCTATACACTACACTCCGCTAGAGAAAAGTATAAGAAAGCTTGACGGACTACTACATATCTCATTCAAAGCTCAGCATTGCTCTCCTAGACTGTTGGAAGAGGTTCGAAGAGATTCGCTGACGCGCAGCTCTGTGAGGCATCTCATAACCCCTCTCATTTTGTTGACTTATGTAGTAGCTTCACATCCAATGTGTAGCAATTTTTGGTATCGATACTCTGCATAGCCCGTCCAAAGCGATTCGTGTAGAGAGTATGAAGCGAAACTGATATGGCCCGTGCGCAAGGACCAAAGGGGATCTCTTGAAGTGGTTGAGCCTGACACTTCAACACCACCACTAGATTGGAAGATGTACGAATGGGGTCGAAGCAAAAAGTGTAAGAGTCCTTCCATATCGAAGGTCTGAACAGGTGAACAGGGCTATCTACAGCTGTTTTCGTCCTATGGTTGATCGCTAGGAGACTTAGGAAGAATATCAAGAGGGTACCAATATCCATCCTAAAGTACTCCTGCATCTTTTTTCTTGTGGAACGAAGAGGGGAAGAATTGATTACATTGTGAGGAATAGAGGAAATGGAGGAAAAAGCAGGATTGAGGGCAGACATCTAGATGGATGACTCCCAACATCGCGTTCCTCGTGTCAGCATCTCCTCGAGGTCCATCGTCACAATATAGTTTTTCAGCTCCTACAAAGCCTTCGTCCCCTACCCCTACACCCTCCTCATATACTCTTCCCATCATGCTCCTTCATAGTCAAACTCTTCAGATCGACATCATGAAGCGCACGCACGTTAACAGCTGTATGTTCCCCATAAAAGGTAGGATCCAGGCTCTTCGCAAAACACGATGTGCCACAGGTCGGGCAGAAGTAATGCCCCATACGATGAGAGCCGAACGTATATTGCTATCTCGCTTATCAGCACATTCCATTGAACCTAGAACCTGAAGGCGAGGATTCTGGGGCTGAAATCGTGCAGAACTTACAGTCAGCTCGCCAAAAGATCCCTTATCAAATGTGAGATCGGCGTGAGGGACATAGATAAAGATATATCCATGTCGAGAACAAATGCTGCAATTGCAGCTCGCGACGCCAGCAGCGGGGTCGGAGAGAGGAGGAGATTTGACTTTAAAGGTGACACGACCGCAGTGGCAGGAGCCAGGATATGTTTGGCTGGGTTTGGGATCTTCGGTAGACATTTTTGATATAACTAGGGAATTGAGATCTTGGAAGATGAATGGAGGAAAAGAGGGATGGATCTGAATGCTATGATGGAAGAAGAGAGATCCAGAGTTTAAATACCCCGCACCTGAAAGCACGTCTGGTGCTCAGATCAAGCACGTTTCCGTTCAATTCGCTTTCGACCGCCACATGCAGGCCAAAGCGCTGCCTCCGGCGAATGATATCTCGCGCTCTCGCGAAGCAGCGCGTAAACGACAACGCGACGTCAGCTGAGTGGCGCTTTTCTTCGCCAACATTGCCTCTGGACCCGAAATACGAACTCAATGAGAGAATGTGAGTCATTGTTGATAGATAAGATACGGAAAAGAAGGGGCAGTTGGCGTGAGCTTGTTCTTCTCATGCTGACCTGGTTGTGTAGCCTTGCAGGTGCACAAGTTATGAGAGGAGTCCTGTATTGTGGACTGAGGGTCTGAGGAGCTATATGATTTATATAGTATTAATAGACGCAAAGCCTAAGGTTAATTCGGCAGCCTATTGTAGAGCCCTTTAGCTTACACGCCCCCTCAGCTTTAAGCATAGAGTCGGAGCAATAGTAGCTATTAACATAGTATGGTAGCGACAGTAACTAAAGTTAATTAGGTAGCCCATTGTAGAGCCCTTCAGCTTACAGATTTTTATGGAGATTTGATGCAGTACATTGTAAGTCAACGCATACGCGAAGACTAGCATTGAGTGATAGAAACTCTAGCACCTACTACAGTAATCACAGAGGCAGTTAAGAGAGTGCATCAGAAGGCACTAAAATAATTCCCTGACCAGAATGGAATCTCAGCTTGAATTTTCCGCATGTTTATTCAAGGGTTGCGTGGTGCTGACATGGAGTGCTCGTAAGGCTTCCTTAACCTAGGGATATTAGGTACACTACCGAAAGGGGAAGACTAAAAGGCAAACTTCAAGACTATGCATCGCAAATCTGATGATCAAGGCTCTTGCGTCGTGACTCACGCCGTTCAAGTAGAAAGAATAGCCTCCATGGTATACCAAAAAGATACTCAAGAGATTGGCTATACCATACAAGAGAAGAAGGTTTGCGTCATAGTAGGCGTAGACCGTGATGGAAGGTATGCTTGCAACATTTAACAGCTTATATTTGCTAACATACAGTGGAAGCAGCAAGAAGGGGCTTGAAAGCATCAATAAAATGCGTGCTAGACAGCAGAGTTATTAAAAAGACCAAAGAGAAACATCCAACGAGAATGCTTATATGTTCTCACGTAACGATACATTCCGCGAGCTTCCTGTTGCGTATAATGGGACTCTGGTCAAGACTGCGAGTGAGTGTAACAAGGTTTACGCCTTGTTGTTAGCCGTGACGTTAAACGCGGGAGAAGTATTCTAAGTCTCGCAGGTGATGAACTCAGTATCCGATTGTAAAATCGAAATCAGAAACAAAAAATCTTTTAAAAAGTAGAAAAACCGCAAACAACACGTGGGCGTAGAACTCCCTCACTCTCAAGGAAAACGACAGATTCCATCCTCCCATGGCTCCCATGATACTAATTTACCTGGACGCGGACATCAACGTCAAGTTCCACTTCATGCTGCGGTAGCTAACATTATAGGATAACAAGGTCTTGAGCAACAGAGTGAAGCCTTTCTATTTGTACGTAAATTTTATGCCTCACTAGAGTGGCCACTGCTGTCTCTCAGGCGGCCCCAGTTCTCGGCCACTGAGCATACTATAGTATTGATGGTGACCGATAGCCAAGCAAAAATTCAGTATGAACTGAGCCACCATAACAGTTAGGGACGCCAAGTGAGTTCTTCTACTAAACGACGCTGCGGCGTTCTTGTCTGTTTCCCTGTCCCAGCTATGGCTTTAGGTACCACCGCCAGTTATAGAGGTATGGCGTTAGATTAGAGGCTGATTGCTACGTATGGCTGGTGTTGTGAGCTCGATATCGGTCAAACTGACGATTACATCGTCAAAGAATGCGGGAAAGGGGTCGGCGTCTGCGACACATTTGTAACGGTCTGGAGATATTTCATCGCATTGCCGGTTCGATGCGGGTGACATATATTCGTGAAGTAGAGCTGTAATCTGACCTGGACATGACTCAAGAGCGATGTTGCAGTTGTGGGATGAAAAAAAATTGATGTCCCTCCGCCAAGCGCAAAATCTCTCCTTCTGCGGCAGTGTAGCATGCTGTGCTCAACAAAAGAGGTGGGAAGAATTGCTTGCTCCAATGGTGCGTGAACGGCGATTAGCGAGGCGCTAAATATATGCCGGACGATGGATAGTCAACCTGACACTACGTTGAATGAACGTTCCGCAATTGGCATATGTAACATATTGAACATGCAGTGGATCATCCTGAGAGCGGGGGTAGGGAGGCCGCGTGAGTCATACCTGCACATGTTCCATTTCAGCATCCATTCTAACATTCATAATTCTCCACAAGTGTAGCATGTTGAAAATGCACTAACTCGCTGCGAGACCTTGAGTAGAAGGCTCCACGAGCTATATGCTTTAACGTGTCTCCTTCCACTCAGAACACTAAAGCCGTCGTGGATTTCCTTGTGCCACTTCCTCCCGGCTATTAGTGACACATAAGTTGAAGTGAATGGGCATGGAGTAACAGCAATGCTGTGGCATGATATCTAAAGAACTACTTGAACTGACGGAGGACACAGTGAGCCGGTTGGACACTCTACCCCAAGTTAATTTAGCAAACTACCTATTCTAAACTTTTGGAGGTGGCTGAGGTTTCTGACCAACACCCATCTTGTGTATCTGTTTGACGTAATACACTTGCACTTGTTAGTATGGTGGAAAAGAAATGTAACATATAAAGTCAACTTACTTGTATCCACACCAGTTCCAAGTATCTTGATTGGCAACATCCTTATCAACCAATTCCCTTTAACGGGGGTCAGGTCAATTGCGGCATCCTCATCTTTCACACCCTCATTCAAAAGCATATCCTTTGGAAAGCTCGGCAAAACAGCTGCTGGTCTCGCGAGCCCAATTAAGTCGCAAGAATTGCTCTCTAGAGCAGCAACCATACCTATCCGACTTCTGAACCCGCCTGTGACCATCAAGATGATATTTGGATATCTTTCCCTCACCGCTCGAGCATAGTCGAGGAAGAAAGCCTCTCGTTGGACGGACCTTATTGATGGGAGATTGTCGCCTTGTGCCATCCGCGGGTTTTCATAAGAACCACCGCTGATTTCAAGGAAGTCGACTTGCTCCCGTGAAATGAGTCCGATTTGCTCAAGACTTTCTTCGAGGTTCTCGGAGCCAGCGACGTCAGCGGAATTGAGCTTGATGCTCACACAGAATGAAGGAGGAACTTCTTTCCTGATTGCTCGGATGATATCGATGAGGATTTGCGCACGCTTAGCAGCTGTGCCCCCGTAGGCATCTGTTCGGACGTTCATCTTAGAGGAGAGAAATTGCGAGATTAGGTATCCATGTGCGCCATGTATTTGGATGCCCTTGAAACCACTCTCATACGCCAGTTTTGCAGTCACCGTGAACTGGTCAACCACCTCCGCAATCTCTTTCAGTGTCATCTCCCTTGGGGTGCCGAAGATGGTGCGTGATAATACGCGATCCAGAATTCCGTCGCCAAGCTTGAGAGGTATCGCGGAGGGAGCTATCGACTTATCGAAGAAACCACGATTTCCGGCTTTTGCAGGGCTCTGCCGACCTGGATGAACTATCTGGACGATGGCAGGCGTTCCATTACGTTGTGAGGCTAGTGCCCATCGAGTCCAGGCGTCTCGCGTAGTGGGAGATATAGATGGCATCACCGCGACTGAATTGTTGGATCCCCTGTAGATAGAAGAAACTTCCACGTTACCTTCAGAATATTAGTGGAGATCTGAGGACTGGAAGACGAGACATGCCAGTCAGAATTGCGCCCCATTCACCGGATCCCCAACTGGTGTATGCTGCGATAAACTTATCGCCTGGGTTAGAATCATCGGCCATAGCCTCGGCCATCGCCGCCTACATGGGTCAGCCTCAGGCCACTTGGGGAGTATTAAGTGTTAAATTATACCTTTACGAGGCGGTTTGGAAGGGTAAGCCCGCATGGTAGTTCAATAGCAGCGCCTAATGTTGAAGACATGGTTGCATATTATGATAGAGGAGTTGGGGAAAGGCTGCTTAAGACGGGTGAAACCGAAGAAATGTGTTCAAACAAGGAAACAGCAAAGAGGATTCGCTATATATATGATACCCAGAGATATTATCAATCTCGTTCCTGGCGTGAGCATGATCCCGCGTTAGTCCCGCGTCTCCGTTGCAGGTGTGCGTGCGACGCGAAGCCATCTCTGATTGGAGAGCTGTCGGCCAGACTCATTTTTTGGGTGGAGTTCCGCAACTCGTTGAACAGGCCACCAACCGAAGCGTCATATCGACAAGTGGACGGGTTTTTTTTCGAGTAAGCTTTGTAATGAAGAGCGATAGCGAAACACTTGAGGTGTTGAGGCGGACGAAAAGCGGATTGAAGACTTGGCACTGAGTTGAAGGAACCGGGGCACTGACCACACAGTCAGTTCGCCGTAATAAATCTTGCACACTGGGATACCTTCCTAACTTGGGAGAACGTGTGATCAATTGAGGATTTACAATCACATAAGAGACTACATTAGGGATGTTCTTACGCTTAGTAAGAATTCATATTGAACTTTGGAAGGGTATCTTATCATCATCACGTGATCATACATTACGACTTAGGCAAGGCTTACGAGGAAGTGGTCTGAGTGCATTTGTGACTCCTTAGACAGCGTGGCAGGTGGTGGTGACTCGTGCCTTTTCCGAGCCACTACTCCCGCTATGTTTTGTGTCAATGCTTATCCGGCTGTTGTGTGATCCCAAGTCACCTAATTCCAAGCCAGGTATTTCCTTCGCGCTAGTTGAATGTATGGTCACCTCCATATTTTGATATATCTTGAGAGGCTCTCCGGTGTAGTTGATTCGCTCTTGGCTTTCGCCTCTCCGCATACTACCGCTCTTACTATTCGATTCGGATTGAAGTCTCGTCTTTGGTGCGTTGCTTTTGAAGGCAGATATTGTACCATGAGGCCTTGAGTGAGTTCCATATTGGCCAGTACCATAGGAGTTGTGGCTCCAGTTATTGAGATTGAAGATACGTTGGAGGACAGGCCAAGTTAAAGGAAGATTGGCGCAAAGGATGGCGGTGTAGGATTCGCGGAGATACCAGATTGTCCATTGCGTGCCGAATGGATGCGTGAAAGAGTAATATTTATTCAATACGGCTGCAATGATCTGAGAGGCATTAGTAAATAGCAAGGTGTGAGGAGACATCGCTAAGGCTAGATCATACCGTAAACGTCCCGATAAGAAACACGCCGAATAGTATAGTCTTGTTCTTCTTCGGGAGCTTAACTTTAAACAGTAGTGGCATTGGGATAGCGATGATCATAAGATCTGAGGAAATGTTGAACACGGCGTTTGTTATCAGATGATTGGTAGCAGCGGAGCATTGGGCTAGATTATAGAAGTTAGCAGTTAGACATACCTGGGTATGGAAAGGTTTCATACAGCTTCGTGGTGGTACAGCGAAGTATTGTGAGAATGGGCGGCACCAAACTCCGAAATAAAGTATCTCCATCACCACAAATCCAAGGGCAACATAAACCGCCACAGCCTTGACTAACTTGTGTTGTGGCAGTAGTACTCTAGGAATCTCTGTCAGTTAAGTCTGAATGGGTCGTGAAATTGCAAGCATACGTCATGCGATTATACATGATCAACAAGCATGTCTTAACCAGCCAGACGGTAAGAATCTGCATCTGTTCCGATACTAGTACGAGCTTAGAGCCGTATATTCTTTCGCTGATATCCTGAGAGGAAAAATGCGAGACATCTTCCCCAGGGGCGATGAGGTTACTACTTGTGTGAATAATGATATGCATGATGGCCATCAAAATCGTATCCGTGGCCTTGGGCACCGATTAGCGATTTACTTGGACAGAAACCATAGAGTGGTACCATTGCCAGGACGATCAAATAGTCGTCAAGTTGGAGAGATTTCCATGACCCCAAATGCAGTCGTCTTGAGGCAAGTCGCGTCAATACAACAAGCCAGCAAAGGGCGTACCAGATTCCAGATTCGGGCTCAAGGATCGACATGGTAACGATAGAGTAGGGAAGAGGTGCTTGACGCGCGACAGGGTGGAAAAGCGAAGTGATGAGACTAAAAGAACTGGGGCATCATTATAATGGAATAATTGTGCTGTAAGGGAGGCTGCACAGTGGAGGATATCGTGACCAAGTCCACTCAAGCAAGAATGTAGTCGGAGCGAGTAGCTGTGTAAAGGTGGGCGAGTGATATGTATGACAATGGGTTAGGCTCAGGCCGCAACATTGCCTGCCAAGGGGTTTCGGCCGACGGGAGACTCAAACTGATAAAGTAGGGTGGTTATCTCCCACTTTTCAAATTTGCCATCGAGTTCCCGCCTTCGAAGTTTCCGTGACCTTGACAGAGAGCGCAATTGGTCCACGAGGGCAGGGTCTAGCGGTAATGTGGGATAGGTTGGCCGCTGCATTGCAAAGCGTCCCCCGAATTCTGCAGGTGTCAACCGGCTTGTTCGAGAACTTGCGTGCCATCGGTGGAGCTTAAAGATCGAAGGCGTCGTATGGCGTTGAGGTAAAACTGAGCCCCCCGACCGAGCTATCCGCTTTGTGGAAGGTTCGTCCTCGGTGCAGGGGTTCTGTTGAGATAATCGATAAATCCACGTGGGCTCACCCGCGGCCACATTCCAGGAACATGGGATGACACTCAGATGTCCCTAGTAAACTGTTACATTCGAAAAAGTGGAATGATCGTAGAGCCAACCGAACGCCTCAATATCCTTGAAGCTGTGCGAATGACCAATCCGCACCCTTTGGTTCCTATGTCGCCAGGAACAATTACTCGCGTATATGCGCGTTTCGGGCCGTTGTCATCCATCCACTCGAAGTTCTCGTCTAGAAGCCAGCGACGACTTGATGGCTTGTGAAATGCAAACAGTCCCTCATCGCTAGCCGACGCCGGGATTACCCCCTTCGGACCGCCCTTTGGATTGAGACCACTTGAGGCTTCCTGTGTATCATGACTACTGGTCCCATCGGAGGCTATCTTCAGCGATTCGTCCGACGCGACTGTGAATCGTCGACCCCTTCACGATCATCCTCCAGGGATTCGTTTCAGAGAGGAACATTTGACATGCATGCTAGCAGAAATTCATGCATCTGCTTCCTAATCCGGGTGATCCTTTCGCTCTGGAATGTGCATCGAACTTAGACACGAACATCATCGTTGAGTTGATCGTGTTGGGATCGCCAGGACAGAGGAGTACTCATCCCCCCTAAGTACAGCAAGGGCCGTTCCATACGGCAGACGATCAAAGGGTAACGTGACAAAACTCAACCAAGAAAATTTTCTCGCACCTCCACACACCCTATATAGTATTAAATTAACCTGTAGAACGCTTCTATAGCTTTAATACATGTTTAAATAGTATTTTTATTATATAATATTATTTTAGCATGCCTAGTCAGTGTGTAGACTTATTTTAAAGTAAGGTAAACTATTAACGTTACTAAGCTAGATAAAATCTCTCAGCGTAACTTGTAACAAGGTAGGTACAGTCAGCCACGTGGCCTTATCTTGCTTATAGAGGTTTAGGTTAGACTAGAGGCAACCGCTAGTACTAGTGCTAGCCCTAGAATTATCTATATATATATTATACTATGTGAGAATACTTAGCTTATGTAAGGCCGGATGTTCCAGAACGGGCTAGTATGGCCTCCCCTGACCTGTTTGGAGGTCACATGACCTGTGCTTCGTATATAAGCATGAATCCTGACCAGTGCTGGCGATAGATCGATCCGATTCGTGGATCGATCCGAATCCACGCTATCCTGAATCTGGATTGGATCCTCGAATTAATTCATAGTCTTGGCTGAAAATTTGCTTCCCTATTAACAAAACAACTTTAAAAGTCTTGTACAATAGAATCCTATAAATTAAGCTTAACTCTAGTGCCCAAAAATAAGGGCGGTGACATTAGAAACTTTGTACAACTACTAATGTCTAATAAACCTACTAAACAAAACAGCTAGCTTCTTTAATACTGCAATTTCTATAATTGCGACTACGCTTTAGAGGTTGTTATAAACTTTTAAAGGCACTTAAAATCTAACTACTAAGTTTTAGCAAAGGGTACTCTTTCTCTTGTACAACAAGCAGGTGCTATTAAACTCTAAGAGCTATAGGACTGCGCAGAACCTTGCACAAGAGGAGATATATAGAATGCTGTGTTTAGAGCCTATCTAGACAAAAATATTATTTAAAAGGCTCTTATATAACTAATTGTTTAACAGCGTTTTACTTTCTTAGTTGTTAAATTATTGTTCTTTTAGGCTTTTATACAAGCATTAAATCTTGTTGCTAGAGAGGCTATTTTAGTTTTACACTCTACTATTTGTACAGCAATCTAAAGCTATTAGTATGAAGAGAAGCTTATTCTTTAGCGCAAGATTTAGACAGCAACCTTAAAGATTAATGTTGCGCTTAATCTCTAGACCTCTCTAAACTAAATCCTATTTATTACAATTACTAAACACTTTGTATAAAGCTTAGATAATACTGTTACTAAACACCTTCTTGCTTTACAACTAGTCTTAGGCTATTCTAGTAAAGAACAGTTCTCTGTACTTTGTACAGTACTTAAGGAGTATAAGATTACTAGAAATCTAGAAGCAGTTGTTAGAGATAATGCTAGCACTAATAACACTCTCTATTATATAATTAGCAAGTGGTATTCTAACAAACTTAATCTGCATTAGGATCTTAAGAATAAAAGAGTTTACTATCTTAGTTATATTATTAATCTTATTATGTAAGCATTTTTGTTTTTAAGTTTATATAAAAGTTATCTTAAAGATCTTAAAGCTGTAGACCTTAAAAAGGCAAATAGATTGCCCTCTAATTCTGTATAACAAGATATAATTAGAGCTATTAGTCCCTTTAGCAAACTTTATAACATTGTGGTCTATATTTATAGTTTAGGGCTTTGTACAAATAAGTTTATCTTGCAAGCTAGACAGATAATACCTTTAGACAATTGTATAAGATAGAATAGCTAGTATTATATAATTAATACAGTAATTAAGCTTAAAATGCACATAGATTTCTATGTTAAAAACTAACCTAATTTTAAACACAATACTTTAGAGACAAAGGATTAGAAAATGCTTTGTATAATAAAAACATTTTTATAGATTTTTAAGGATGTAATCCTTTAAAATAAAGGAGATGCAAAATGCCTTAGATAGGCTCTTCCTTCTCTATAGATCTTACAGACTCACACAATGGCTTTCCTAGCAAAACATAAGAAGGGAGATACATAATTTAATAAAGATTATGTTATATAAGCTACCTAGGCACTTACAGCATAGCAAAAATAGTAGGACTTACTTTAGAAGCATTCTCTCTACTAAATTACAACAGTTTTACATCTTTATTATTATACAAACTAGGCTAATAAGGTAATGCTTGCCTTAAGGTTCTTTACTAAAGACTAAAAAGCATAGAAAGCTTAGCTAAAACAATTCTAGCTTAATTTTTAATCTAAATATTAAGATTTATTATTAACACCTCCCTAAAGTAAAGCGTAAGAGCAAAGAAAACAACAGGCTACTTGTTATACAACAGCATAGATTATTTATAAAGTCTAAGATTATTTAATTAAAGCTATAACTAAGCAAATTTTTAGTAATTAGGCTTTAGTAGAGAATCTAGATAAGTAGGCAGAGTATATAAGAGAGCTAGCAACAAAGGGGGTTAAAGATGTGTTAAAATAGTAGTAGGATAACGTATAATAATCTTAGTAGCCCTTTCTTACTTATCTTACACTTAAGATCTACTCTATACTACCTATAAGTAATAAACTAGAATGTATTTTCTCTAGAGCACGTTATATAATCTTTTAAACTTAAGCATTATTAAATCTTAATATTATTAAAGTAATTAAATCTTTAAATTACTAGTTAAGTTAAAAATAAGTAGACTATTTAAAAAAGTAAAGATTTTTATTTCTTATCTTATTCTTTGCTTATAAAAAGACTGTTAATTCTAAGTAATTTATTGTATAACATTCTAGCGCCTATTCTTATTATTACTCTCTAGCTCCTTAATCTTGTACAGGTAATCTGTAACAATGTTGTTTGCACTAGAAGACAAAGTTGCTAGGGGACCTATACTATTGTTAGGTGTCAGACGATACTGATTAGGTCAAGAGCTATTGTAGTGACTGTAACAGGCAGCTTAATCTTTAAATTTGCAATTAGCGTAAGCAGCTGCCTACTTAAACAAGAGTAAAACACACTCTAAAAATAGACTATAGTAAGAATAGCTAGCACACTCTACTATGTAAGTTAGTTGTTGTATAACATGTAAGATAAAAGGCATACAGCAAGGTTTTATGTTAATAGTACTATAAGTCTAAATTAACACTGCATTAATGTATAACAGGCAGTAGGTATTTAATTAGAAGGCATAAAAGGTGCTGCTGTAGTATTTAACATTGTTGCAGGGTGCAGAGAGAACCTGTTTCTGCTAGATCTAAAATTGTTAGCTTATTATACAATAGGGGGAGTAACTTACAGTATGCGCTACAACTCCCAGAGCTGCTTGTACGTTTGGGTTAGAGGCAGCGGGAAAAACCTAGATGCATCTTTTGCAGCCATCAGCGCCATGCTGCTCCTAGCTATTTTCATCATTCTCCTTAGCGTTCTAAATTGCAATGTCCATGTTTTTGTATAATAAGATAAAAAGAAGATACTTTCTATAATACGTGTTGTATAAGGCAGGGCTTAATATACATTTCTTCCTCTATTGTTTAGATTTTAAGCTATTAACTGCTCCTATTATAAATAGAATCCTATTGTCCTAAGCTAAATTTTTATTAAATGTTTGTTGTACAACTTATTAAGAGTACAATAGCACAAAAAATTAAGTAAAAGACTAATTGTTTAGAATAGTTGCCTATTTAGCCTTAGCGCTGGATCGATTCATGGATCCGATCCAGATCCAGGATAGCGCCACGTGATTCCGGATAATCGATTCGGACCGATTCCCGCCAGCACTGATCCTGACAAGCGAGGCTTGGCAGCGATTCGTCTCTCTTACTACACTCCTATCTTTCTCCGAACCCTTGCTCTCAGTGCTATCCGTTCTATCTACTATCTCATCTTT